AGAGGCCACTACATATAAGCGACAGGAAAGAGGCCACTGGAGACAAGCCACTGTAGAGAGGCCACCAGACTAAGCCATTGTGAAATATCGAAAAAAATTCTTATAGTATGGACACCCAACATGTATATCAAAACGACATTGTTATTTTAACTAATTATCATTTATTGCTATAATTGTATCTGGTAGCGACAAACAGTAACAGTTTAACACATTGTATAACAGGTCTTCAACATGAAGGACCATACTGGGAGGTCGTTTAACAGTCGTTGAATTATATAACAATCGATTATTGATTGCTTACTACTTCTCCCAGGATAAAAAGTCATCTTGATCAGTTGTGTCTTGCTTTTTGTCAATCGTATTTCGTACTTTTATTTATAGAATTATTATTTTTAATTGAATTTTAATTGAATTGAATAATTGAAGAAAATGAAGTATTTAATAAAGTAACATTAATACATTTAATTGTGAATGTTTGATTTATTGCCATTTAAAAGTTAAAAAAATATTCTACACGTCATCCTCGATACTCTACACCCCTTGAACATGTCATGGCAAAATTGAAGACACATGCGAAGTAATTTGATTGGTTCCAGCAGAAAAAAACCTGACCAATCACAGGCTGATATGGAATTTTTGAAGGAGCGACTCCCAATTTGAAAGCCATTACAATATATCGTTATATAACCTCGATACTCGTTTGATGTACAGCAAATGATCAAACTAGTCTTTTCGTTTTGTCCACAAGATGTCGCACATGGAACCTTCAATTTTGCCATTACACGTTCCAGGGGCGCAGAAAGCGAAAGCGATCTTAACCACAGAGGAATCGAGGATGGCTACACGTAGATTAATCCAGTATTCAGTTAAAAACAATCGCAGAAAAAACTCTTCTTTTCGTTTAGTACATCATTCAAATTAATTGCATTAGCTACCTAGGAACTGGACAATTTTACTTTTCAAATGATATATACGTATTTGATTGGTGGATTTGGTTAATCCTTGAAGTGGATGTTTTACTGCCGATTCGAAGTTGATAGACGTATATACGTAACTGAATGATACCACCTGAAACTGAATTAAGAAGGTGACAGTGGCTTTTTCACAGCCTTATTTGACGCGGATTTAAGCTGACAGACATAGCTACTTGAAAATCAATGACCACTCCGAATCGCAATGCCTTTTCAAAAATAAATGAGGACAAAAAAATCTCACGAACGTAAGGTAAACAGACGGAAAAAAAACACACTAAAAAAGTATTTCAGTTCAGATCCAAATACATAGCTGATAGCTGATGTTGACGTCTCGCTCCGGATTCATCGATTGATGTTAGCTCAGTTTTAGTTTTTAGAAGAATACAATCGAGTTGCCCGATCACATGTAAAAGTTTAGCTTAAACTCGTCCGAGTTATGTCTATAATATGTAGATTCCAAGCATCCAAGACATAAGTTCACCAAAACACGCGCTAAGACACTTCTACATTTTAAGTTCTCATCACCCCGTCTCTCTGGTGCGGCGACCGTCGGCACCTGTGACATAAATTCTGATGTTCGGAGCAGTATACTAAACTATTTGAGGAAAGCTGGATTGTTACTATCAAGAATGCGGTTCATAGTAGATCGTCCCTGTTCTATGGATACATGGTTTTGGGCTCACGGTGGCCAAGTGGTTAAATCCTCTGAGCGTCTTTATCACTAGTCTTCAACCTGTGGGTCGCGGGTTCGAGGCCTACGTGATGCAGTCGCCAGTCGCCAGTCACTGGCCACAGGTCGGTGGTTTTTCTCCGGGAACGCTGGCTTTCCTCTACCAACAAAACATGGCATGTCCTTAAATGGTGCTGGCTGTTAAGAGGACGTTAAGCAACAAAGTAAACCAAAGTAATTTCTGATTGAAGAATAACAGATAAAATCATTAAAAATAAAAAAGGGGAAAAGAATAGATAAAATGGGCGAGGTGGCAACCAACTTAACTTGAAATACTAAACTCCGTGGTCTGTTTCTTTAATAAAGTCCTTGTTTTGTAAACAAGCCATGAGGTTAGGAATTCGTGCAAAGCGCCGGCCAGCCAAACCAAACATCGCGATACTTTAGAGTGTCAACGACCTGAAACACGTACCTTTATCAGGAGAAGTTCCAATAGTCAAATAGCATACCTTAATCGGGAGGATTTCCACTAGCCAAATAACATGCCTTGATCGGGAGATGTTCTATTAGCCAAATAACATACCTTGATCGGGAGGAATTTCATTAGCCAAATAACATACCTTGATCGGGAGATGTTCTATTAGCCAAATAACATACCCATAAACATACATACTATACAGAATATTTTTGATTTTGATTTTTGACACAAACAATGAGTGAACTATATTTTTTACGAGTTTTCGAAAACATGTTTCCAACAAAGAAAATAAATGTCTGAGTCTTAACAATTCAACTGTTATGGCGAATGGACAAGAGTGTAAAGTAAAGCTGTCAAATTGTCAGGACGTCCAAACAGGCCGGGCACTCTTATATTACAGAAATCTGAGGCCGGACCTTCTTGTAGAAACTGGTGCTGATCTCACTGAACAACATACTATATATAATTTTCATGGTGTCCAGAGCGGTTACGGTAAAATGACTTATCCCAAGGCTGTACCAACACAAAACTGAAGTCCGTTTCACAGCTCAAAATCACACTCACACACAAACCGCCTCGGGTTGGGATCATCGAATCCCACAATTCGGACCCTCACTTAAACTGTTGCAAAATCTAACGCTCTATTGACCGAGGAGTCGCGAACCTTGTTAACGAAGAAGCACACTGGTTTTCAAGCTTGCAGCAATTCACTGTTCGTCGCTGCTGCATAGTTTACCAAGAATAATTTGGCTTCTGGATTTTGAAGAATTTTGATGTATTGTAGTCCGGCTTCAAGGAACTTGTTCAGTGTACGGATCTAATCATCTGACCTATGCTATTACACAGTTTCACGAAAGTGCTGTGACCTGTCCTGCTTTGATAAATACAAGTTCACTATAATGTTGTCTTTATAGATCTAGACTTTGTCGGACGGCCACTGTTCTTGTGTATTGTTCTTCCATGTAACAGTTCACGTGTTTCTTTGCGTATTGTCAAACTGTCCGTTGATTTCTCAATGAAAACCGTATTTCTTCAACGGAAGTCCTCAGCATTACTTACTTGCCTACCTCCAATGTTTAAGGCTTCAGTTGACTCGGACAGGCCGTGATCTTAAAGTGAAATGATTTTTTATTTAAAACCAGTAGAAGAATCACTCGCTAAGCATACATCGCTCCCCGCCGCCTGTGTCACGAAACAAGTGTGGTCCGAAATTAATGACGTCATGTCCTCACGCTGTCAGCGCATTACGTATCCCGGCTACTGATCAGGATGTGCTGCATTTCGGAGAGTTTGATTGGATTTGTTTTCAGTTTGATTGGATTTGTTTTCAGTTTGATTGGATTTGTTTTCAGTTTTCTTGACTGTTCTGACGATATGAGGTGGCTACCTGTATCATCCTCAACAGAACAGCGTTGACAACTCACCAGATCTCAACCTGATAATGACCCTATAATGACCTGTTGAGATTGTGAAAATGCTGGAATCACCTTGTATTTCATTACTTTTGATGAATATCTAAAACTTCAACATAAATTTTTGAATCTTATATAGTGAGAGTGATATTCAAATATAGCACAGACCATCTTTTAAATGTCCACACTTGTGATAACTATAAAGTAGAACTGACTACAAAGTTCTTGCTTTCTTGATGGCCCATTAAATATCCTGTCAGCTTTGATTTTCAAGGACTATGAACAGATAATAGTTGACTACAGGTTTGCGACACTGTAAGTATATAAAACCAGAATTAAGTGTATTGAACGTTTCATAGAACTGATTTATATATGAAGGTATCACGTGTATGTGATCTGGTAGCTTGATGTACCTGAACTAGTCACATGCTCTATGGTTACAGCTTAGTTGCTAAAACTTAACTGGATGAGCAATGTTATCAAACACCCCACTAAGCATCTGGAGCCAATTAATGTGCTATTCAAATCATTCTCCTTCCCCTCCTAGTTGTGCATTCCTTAAATCAGGCTCTACATCAAAAAATAAAAGAGATCCCAGAGGGATCTTTGTGCCCACCATTGTTTGATCTTTATTTGTTCTTTAAAAGTTGGGTCTTTTCCTTTTTTCACTTCTCAACTTTTCTGCTCTTATAAATACAGAATTTAAATATACCATATTCAAGATGGTCACCTCTAAGCCATTTTGCTTTTTTGATCAGTTCTAAATCAAACGGGCACAACTAGGGACCAAGCGGAAGTCAAAATCTACGATGGCTACCTGTTGGCCATTTTTGAATCAAGAGCTTATCAAACCCTGTATTTGGAATCAAAATTTTATAGAACCCTGTAGTTGGATCAAGAGCTTGTCAAACCTTGTACTTTGAATCTAGAGCTTATCAAACCCTGTATTTGGAATCAAGAGCTTATCAAACCCTGATTTGGAATCAAGAGCTTATCAAACCCTGTATTTAGAATCAAGAGCTTATCAAACCGAGTATTTGGAATCAAGAGCTTATCAAACCGAGTATTTGGAATCAAGAGCTTACCAAACCCTGTCAGTTCACTTGTAGGCCTTCACACTGATGTCTATCTACATCATTCAATTTCTCTAAGGCTTATATCAACCCTAATTTTCATGAACATATTTCATGATTATCTTCTAAAACAACTGTCTCTTCCCTGAGTTTATTGTCCCATGACGAGACATTTTAGTAGGAGTTGTAGAAGCTGGAGGTCATATCACTGAACATACAGGGGACCTGCTTCATCTTGATCAAGGATACAAGTGGTTCAACACAGGAGAGTTTGTTCCTCTGCTTCCAGTGAAACACAAACAGACCTTGTAAGGTTACACCACAAATCTCGGATCTTCACCTGAGGTTCACAAGTTTCCTCCGACTGAACGCCTTAAAAAATATAACTCTTAGTAGTAATTTACAATGTTTATTTTTATCAAAGTAAGGTAATTATATATACATGTATATATATATATATATATATATAAATGGATAACTGAACTATTACAGTAACAAGGCAACCGAAAAAAACAAAAAATTTCTGAAGATGAATATAGCCAATAAATAGCTACATTAGTATGATAGACATGTGATGTGTATCTCATCACTATGACAACAGTAGTGCTAGATGATACGAAGGCTGTCCTCAACACAGTTTTGCTGAATATGGTGAAAAATTCCTGTGTTTGATGTTTTTGTCTACAGGGTGAAAATATAAAGAGCCTAAAAGTCTGATGATGAAATGTGTGATTATGATTTAAGAGCAACTTTAACATCAAGTGAAATTCTTATGAGGAAAATTTGGACAAATTTGTACACATAAAACGATGACATCACATGGAACATACACAAAATGATAACATATGAGTAGTGATCTCACTTTTGATTTGGAACTCTCCATTGTTTAAGTATTTAAGTCGTTGTTATAAAATTCCTTTAATGGTATATCTTTCTTGGATCTATTCCTATTAATCACAACAATTATGTAAAAAAAAAAAAAACGCTTAAAAACATACCTACATCATCAGTGATCTATATCGTCAAATACCTGTTCACCACCAGGCAAAATGAAAGTAACCGACATTCAATTTATCAAAACAGCCTACTGAATAAAATTTAAACTTGACTGGTTTTTACATATGAATTTACAAGATGACAGGAAGACCATTAAATAAAGAATTGATTTCAGGGCTATAAAGCTTTGTTACTGGTTTGGTAGGTAAAAGTGTCAGATAATATCAGGAAACTTCTCACTAAAATCAGGAAATGGGGCATGCTTTTCTTCAACAAGATTTCAGTTTTTCATGCAATCAGAGAACCAAGATAATAGCTTTGACAACATCAAGGAACAAATTTTATCACTAATAATCATGATCTTATGCATCACAATGTTTACTGGGGCTGACTAAAACTCGTGCTGTAGACATACACATCGTGATCAGTAACTCCCGCTGTAGACACACACCTTGTGATAAATAACTCCCCCAGTAGACATACACCTTGTGATAAACAATTCCCCCAGTAGACATACACCTTGTGATAAACAACTCCCGCAGTAGACATACACCTTGTGATAAACAACTCCCAAAGTAGTTATACATCTCATGATAAATGACTCCCACAGTAGACATACACCTTGTGATAACTCCCGCAGTAGACATACAAAATGTGATTACTCCTGCAGTAGACATACACCTTGTGATAAATAACTCCCGCAATAGACATACACCTTGTGATAACTCCCGCAGTAGACATACAAAATGTGATTACTCCTGCAGTAGACATACACCTTGTGATAAACAACTCCCGCAATAGATATACACATCGTGATCAGTAACTCCCGCTGTAGACACACACCTTGTGATAAATAACTCCCCCAGTTGACATACACCTTGTGATAAACAACTCCTGCTGTAGACATACACCTTGTGATAAACAACTCCCGCAGTAGATATACACCTTGTGATAATCAACTCCCCCAGTAGACATACACCTTGTGATAAATAACTCCCGCAGTAGACATACACCTTGTGATAAATAACTCCCGCTGTAGACACACACCTTGTGATAAATAACTCCCCCAGTTGACATACACCTTGTGATAAATAACTCCCGCTGTAGACACACACCTTGTGATAAATAACTCCCCCAGTTGACATACACCTTGTGATAAACAACTCCTGCAGTAGACATACACCTTGTGATAAACAACTCCCGCAATAGATATACACATCGTGATCAGTAACTCCCGCTGTAGACACACACCTTGTGATAAATAACTCCCCCAGTTGACATACACCTTGTGATAAACAACTCCTGCTGTAGACATACACCTTGTGATAAACAACTCCCGCAGTAGATATACACCTTGTGATAAACAACTCCCCCAGTAGACATACACCTTGTGATAAATAACTCCCGCAGTAGACATACACCTTGTGATAAATAACTCCCGCTGTAGACACATACCTTGTGATAAATAACTCCCCCAGTTGACATACACCTTGTGATAAACAACTCCTGCAGTAGACATACACCTTGTGATAAATAACTCCCCCAGTAGACATACACCTTGTGATAAACAACTCACGCAGTAGACATACACCTTGTGATAAACAACTCCCAAAGTAGTTATACATCTCCTGATAAATGACTCCCACAGTAGACATACACCTTGTGATAAATAACTCCCGCAATAGACATACAAAATGTGATTACTCCTGCAGTAGACATACACCATGTGATAAACAACTCCTGCAGTAGACATACACCTTGTGATAAATACCTCCTGCTATAGACATATACCTTGTGATAAATAACTCCTGCAGTAGACATACACCTTGTGATAAATAACTCCTGCAGTAGACATACACCTTGTGATAAACAACTACCACAGTAGACATACACCTTGTGATAAACAACTCCCTTGATGAAAAACCAATGCTATACAGAGATGTCAGCTGAAGATCCAGAATATGACAATGGAATCAGATAATTTCAAATGCTCCTTGGAAAATTCAACTTAATATTCAGCATTTACATAAGTACATCACATTCCAATTTTAGTACATGAAAAAACTAACAATTTAATATTTTGGTGACACCATTCTGTAAAAACTCCAATGGTGATTTTTTACTTAAGTAAAAAAAAAAAAAAAAATAATGCCTGATATAAATCACCCTGAAGAGCAAGGCACAGATAATGCTTTACATGTAAAAAGGAAATAATAATAATGATTGCATACTTCATAGATTTCAAAAGACATTTACAGAAAATACACTCAGTCTGAAAACAAATTCACTATCCAATCTGATGTAAATGAGCTAATCCAGAGTATAACTTCACAATTTCACCCAATATTACACCACTGAGAGAGCCTGTAAGCCAACTTTCTATTTAAGGGAATTTTGCAACTGAAACCTGTGAATTATGAAATGGATAAGAGAGTTGGTTTACAGTACACAAGTTGTCAGTAGTTTGTCTGTAGTACTGAGCACAGGTCTACACGAGTGTTTGTCTGTAGTACTGAACACATGTCTACACGAGTGTTTGTCATTAGTACTGAACACAGGTCTACACGAGTGTTTGTAAGTAGTACTGAACACAGGTCTACACGAGTGTTTGTCAGTAGTACTGAACACAGGTCTACACGAGTGTTTGTCTGTAGTACTGAACACAGGTCTACACGAGTGTTTGTAAGTAGTACTGAACACAGGTCTACACGAGTGTTTGTCAGTAGTACTGAACACAGGTCTACATGAGTGTTTGTCTGTAGTACTGAACACAGGTCTACAGGAGTGTTTGTCTGTAGTACTGAACACATGTTTATGCGAGTGTTTGTCTGTAGTACTGAACACAGGTCTACACGAGTGTTTGTCAGTAGTACTGAACACAGGTCTACACGAGTGTTTGTAAGTAGTACTGAACACGGGTCTACATGAGTGTTTGTCAGTAGTACTGAACACAGGTCTACACGAGTGTTTGTAAGTTGTACTGAACATAGGTCTAACGAGTGTTTGTCAGTAGTGCTGAACACAGGTCTACATGAGTGTTTGTAGTACTGAACACAGGTCTACACGAGTGTTTGTCTGAAGTACTGAACACAGGTCTACGCAAGTGTTGTCTGTAGTACTGAACACAGGTCTACACGAGTGTTTGTAAGTAGTACTGAACACAGGTCTACATGAGTGTTTGTCAGTAGTACTGAACACAGGTCTAACGAGTGTTTGTCAGTAGTACTGAACACAGGTCTACATGAGTGTTTGTCTGTAGTACTGAACACAGGTCTACATGAGTGTTTGTCTGTAGTACTGAACACAGGTCTACATGAGTGTTTGTCTGCAGTACTGAACACATGTCTACACATGTTTGTAAGTAGTACTGAACACATGTCTATGCAAGTGTTTGTACATACTGCTATGTGACTTTAATGCTTTTTAACCATGATGCCCCGAGATTTTCATGACTACATAAGGAATTCCTGGTCTACATCCTGGAAAAGTCTTTATAAGTTCAAGTTCTAAACAAAATTCTATACCCACAAGTTGAATAATGTTATTCATCAGACAAAAATGGGGCTAAACTGACCAGCCTAGAGGATAAATATAACTTGAGATGACAATCCTTTTTACTTTAATATCATACCGATATTTATATTCAAGATTTTCACCAAGAAAATCACAAAAGTTAAGGTTCTATTACATGACTGCATTTCAACAGTTTATTTTTTTAATGCAACATCACACCTCACTTTGGCAATTTTCTAGCATATAGAATCATTAGATTTAGTGGGAAGACTGTAACTAAGCTGAAAAAAAAACCCATCACATCAATAATTTTAATTCACAAATTGACATAGAAAGGATACAAAAACATATAATGTACAATATTTTTGTGATGAAATACTACAAAACAGTTCTTTTTCTTGAAACATTTCCAAGTACAGAATTTGATGCAAGATAAATTATCTCCCCTTAAGGAGATGTTTTTTTTGTTAGGTATGTATGATATGTTTGTGAAATGTATATATAAAGTTTGATATGAACTAATGAGAGATGAAAGTGAATAGCTGCCAAATAAATCCAAATTATGTCGTCAGCGACGTTCCATTGTTAGGGAAACTAAAATACTTAAACACTGAGTTCCGTTATGTTGAGCTTTATCATACAAACAACACATTCATGGTCTATTGCACACTGATATCAAAGTTTTTGATCTGGAAAAACAGTTCTTTTTGCACTAAAATAGAATTTGATGCAGATACTGTCCATTATAAAGATTCCTATTTATATTCTAAGAATTTGATACTGTTAATGGAAGTAAAATTTGAACAACTTTGGTATTAAAATCCAAGATGACCAGGTCCATCCTCAAGTAATGATAGTGATTTCTGGGCTGAAATCAGATACTTAAACTGAAAACAGGTAAGTTACACCGAACTTGTCAAAAAAACTTTGCGAAAAGATTATTATTCATAATACAATGGTTGTTGTGTGGAAGCCAATATGATTACTGAAGAATGATCTTTGTTCAACACCAACACAGCCAAGTTTGGCATTAAGTCAACTTACCTGTAATTTTTGTTTTTTTATTAAACTGGTTTTATCAGAATGACTAGAAAGGGTATATATGTTTAATATCTAGTACCAGTATGGTCCAGCCTGCTGTTTATTTTTGAACAGTTAGATTATCAAAACCAAAGTACACTAAACACAGTAGAAAATAATAGTAACCAAAGTTTTCCCAGACAAAATGTTTAGAAGGATCATTGAAAAGTCATCCTCACCACAACAAGTTCTTTGTAAATGTTTTCTTTGGTCTACAGTCTAGACCAAAAAACTGACAGAAAAAAATTGAATCTGTAATAATCTTTTTAAACAAAACTGGAAAAGTTTACATTGAGTTGTGAACTAAGCTTTCAAATTCTATGAGTACACAAACTTAAGAACATATGTTTTGAATGCTACGTTCGTCTTAATCGTTTCCTGCCGTCATCAGATGTAACTGGGGACATGGAAGCCAGTCGCCCACTCTTTCGTGTTGGTGTGCCCACAATACTGGAAGTGGAAGCTGAGCTTGGAGTGGTACTGCCGTTTGGAATTGTAGTTTGTGGTGTTGTGCTTCCAGACACTTTGGGCCGTTTAGATGCTGATGGCCCTTCTTCTGAGCTGGGAGGCGGATGCATCGTCTTTCCTCTCTCAGAGGCAGGAATCCTGGGAGTAGACATTGTCACACCTGGGGAAAACATCATTACCTTTCCAGAATGAGACTCTCACAAGAAAACACATGGAATTGATGAAACATTAGTATATATAAATTGTAAACTTAGATATCAAAATGGATCACCACTGGAGTATGATGGTGGACACAAACACACGTCTTTTCACCGAGATTATTCTCTGATCAGATATAAAAATGTTTTGATGTCAACTGTCCAACACTGTGTGTTTTCCAGGGTTTCCTCCCCATAGCAAGACATTTGCGTGCTTTTCTCCTGGTCAACAAGAGTGATAAATAATTGTCAAGGACTGTTCAAATTTTTGTTTCGCACAGTGGATTTGAACAGAAATATGGTATACTGATATCTATTTATACGGTAGCTCATTACTGACTTTTTGGACGACGTCTTTGGAAGATATTTTCCTTTCTACATAGAATTTGAGACATGCCATACCTCAAGGTGGAGAAAAAACCCAAAATGTTCCCTGAGGAATCTTGGTACCTGTCATTGTTTCATCTATACTTGGTCTTAAAAGTTGGATCTTTTATCTCGTTTTCTTTGTTTTTACTCTAAACTTTTTGAATGATGAAAATTCACTTCAAGAAATAGTGATGATAAACTTAACTCTCAAATCTAAAATGGTTGTCTATCAGTATCCTCTCATATTAACCTACTATTTTTTTCCCCTGCAGAAAGATAGTCCCATCACATATTTTGTAATTCCTTCTCATATCTGTCACCATATTGTTTTGAGCTAGTTATTTATAAGATGTAAAGAGAATGGCAATGATTTAGCTGTAATTTTCCCACATAAACTATAGTAAAACTAACCCTCTTCCCACGTGTTTGGGTTTTTTAAGAAGTTGGAAATGTAAAAAAGTTCACGGATGCACAATGCCCGATAAATGTGATCCTAATATGTTACCTTTCCGAAATGAACTGTAGTAAACTGTACCCCCTCCCCAAGGGAAAATGTGAAACTCCTGGAACATGGAATTGATACTTTGGATAAAGCACCTAATGTTATTCCAGCTATGAAGAGCATTTGATTCTACCATGTCTAGGTGTTGATGATTTTTTTAAATGTTGGTCAATATGGTCCCTTTTGGACCCTCCTTCTGACCCTGAAGTTCAGTCAGGGTCAATTTTTGCATGCCATCAAACAATCATTATATACCAGTTATTTTTATTCAAACAATCATGGTCAAAAGTGTAATATTTTTTATAAATTATAGTAAACATAATCCCCTCCCCTGGGGTTTGTGGGTTTTTAGAAGAAGTTATAACGCAAAAAGTTTATGGATGTACACTGTACGACATGACAGAGGACAAAAAGCGATCACAATAGGTCACCATTCTTAGTTAACCTGATAAAGTTTTAAATAGGTCTTGCTGTGAAGTGAACACTGGTTATAAGGTTTTGGGAATATGTTTTTGTTCTGTATACATTTTTAGGTTTAGGTCGATGATGATATATATTGTGAATGTTAAGGATCATGTTGACATGTTAAGTGAGTAATTCTTGTCAATTTTGTTGAATGACACTCGAACCTCATTATCTTGAAATCAGCAAGACTGGTAAAACTTATCTGAGTATTTGATTTCAGTAAGTTGGAATGTTAAGTGTGAAGTTTGGCTGGGACTACCAGGATACTTCAAATTATACATTGTCTTCTAGTTATATGAGTTTGAGTTACCGAGTTTAAACTGTAATTTTAGAATACATTGCTTTGCCTAAAACGTACCTAATTTTTGTTCAACGTCTTTGAGCTCGCCCTCAGCTTCTCGACATTCCTTGTATTTCTCTTGCATTTCTGGCAGTTTCATATGAGCCACCTGCTCTGCCAGCTCACTCTTCGCCTTCCCCGACTTTGTCATTGCTACACGATAATTCTGGAGCAACTCTGCAATAAAAGATAGATAACACACACGACTGAAAGTTTTTCATAATTTCATAATTTCATAATTTCCTGATGGTTGATTGATAAATTAATTGGATTTAAAGAACTTCTAACATTTCAAGAAATTTATAAACAAGAGTATTATTGAAACTTACGAATGCTCCTCAAAAACGACATTATTGGACAAAAGTTTTTAACTTTAATGAAGGGGTTGCTGGCCCAGAATCTGGTACACTGCACATCTTCTTAGTATGATCAAGTTTCATTATCCTTGTTATGCCCCGCACACAAAAGGACAGAAGACAGACCGATGAACCCGAATCTTAAAGGAGCATGAATTTTGCAGAAGAAAGGACGAGATGGAAAATGTTTATACAACTGTACAATGAGTTTCACTTAATAATGTTGTGATAGTTAATAACAGAATTATCTTGAAATCATATTTCTCTTAATGTCAAGATTCTCTTTAAATCACATTTCTCTGTGTATCACATTCTTGAAGGGCAAATGATAAGTGACTTCCAAGGAGAATTTCTGCTTGATGTGAATGTACCAATCACTTACATTTGCTCTTCTGAATCCTTTCAAACTCAGATTAATAACACACCAAGAACTTACCCAACTGGTTAGCAAGGTCATGATAACTCGAGGGCAAAGGTTCACTAAACACTGCCCCTCGTAGTTTTTCTATAGAAAGAGCCTTGTTCATAAGACCTCCAAATTTTCCATTACTACGAATTCGATCACCAAGACGTGTCAGGATGGTAGGACAGTGTGTGTATTTCACAAGCTGCTCAACAAGAAAAGACGAGTCATATTCTCAGATAAAGACATAAACTTTTTCACAAGGTCAAATTTGCATCAATTGTTCATTTGTCAAATCAGTGGTAAATTTATTATAAACTATTCCTAAATGATATCAAAGAATTGTTGGTATAAACAAATTAATTTTCCATATACAAAATACTGCCTTCTGGAGGAGAGGGGTTGAGTGAAACATAGGTACTATGGGATGAATGCGTTTTTGTCTAGATTAGTATTTAACTCACAACTGTAATAATTCAGTGTCTAGATCAGATATATACATAGTGTTGAACCAACATCTGTAACAATTCGATGTCAAGATCAGATACATACATAGTGTTGAACCCACATCTGTAACAATTCGATGTCAAGATCAGATATATACATAGTGTTGAACCCACATCTGTAACAATTCGGTGTCCAGATCAGATATATACATAGTGTTGAACCCACATCTGTAACAATTCGGTGTCAAGATCAGATATATACATAGTGTTGAACCCACATCTGTAACAATTCGGTGTCAAGATCAGATATATACATAGTGTTGAACCCACATCTGTAACAATTCGGTGTCAAGATCAGATATATACATAGTGTTGAACCCACATCTGTAACAATTCGGTGTCCAGATCAGATATATACATAGTGTTGAACCCACATCTGTAACAATTCGGTGTCAAGATCAGATATATACATAGTGTTGAACCCACATCTGTAACAATTCGGTGTCAAGATCAGATATATACATAGTGTTGAACCCACATCTGTAACAATTCGGTGTCAAGATCAGATACATACATAGTGTTGAACCCACATCTGTAACAATTCGGTGTCAAGATCAGATATATACATAGTGTTGAACCCACATCTGTAACGATTCCGTGTCCAGATTACACAAAAAACATACCTCCTGTCTGTATTCATTAGCGTGGTCCAAATTATCTAGTATTAAGGTATCGCCCAACAGCATACCAAAAACTGAATAATATAAAAACATCACAAACAATGCAGAGTTCATACTTCTTCCTTGACAAATGCAAAATAATCGCTAAAAATGTGAAAACCAATAAAAATCTCTACAGGAATGAAGCCACTGACATTCTGGCTAGGGTTTTTCCAAAAATAGTAGCAATGACCTTGACCTTGCAACTATTAAATCCAACTCATCCGAAATATCATGATCCTTAATACATGTGTGATGAATGATTAAAAATCCCTAAATCAATGAAGTTAAATAAACAGAGAGTAGTTAAACATCACAGTTTAACTACCTAACGTCAAAGTTAGATCTGAGAAATCTTCTCTAAAACACTACTTAATGGAAAATGAAACTAGACATTTTATACATAACAGTCTTTGTAACAGGTGCTACCAATCCTGGAACAGCTGTATGTATTATTTACTTTGGTAGAGTAAATACTTTGTTAATTGCAGACATACATAAATTAGGCATTTAAAAATAAAAAAAAAAAAAAACACTTTTAAATTTCTGAAAGAGATTTCATGTTAATGATATCACTATTAAACCAAATAATAATTGTTTTGCAATTACTATTAACAACATAAAGAAACCTGGATTATTAAAATGTTTATATATCACAAACAGGGACTGTTCTCAGAATTACATATGACCTACCAATCTTGCATTTGTCTTCATTCTGTGGGAAAATGATGAGATTTCTTGCGTAGATGGGGTTGCCGGGAGGATGCCAGCTGGGCTTATATTTCACATGAGGTAAAGGTCTGAAACACAAAGAGTACTCTATGTTACTGGGAAAACATCAGTGACATCAGAAAGAGGTAACATTATTGTATGTTAATTGTGGCAAGTCTAAGGGGGCCTAGTCCTCAGAAAGGGGGTAACATTATTGTATATTACATGTGGCAAGTCTACGGGGGTACCATTACTGTATATTACTTGTGGCAAGTCTAAGGTGGCCTAATCCTCAGAAAGGGGGTAGCATTACTGTATGTCAATTGTTGCAAGACTAAGGGGGTAACATTACTGTATGTTACTTGTGGCAAGTCTAAGGGGCCTAGTCCTCAGAAAGGGGTAACATATCTGTATGTTACTTGTGGCAAGTCTAAGGGGGCTCAGTCCTCAGAAAGGAGGTAACATTACTGTATATTACTTGTGGCAAGTCTAAGGGGCCTAGTCCTAGCAAAGGGGGTAACATTACTGTATATTGCTTGTGGCAAGTCTACGGGGGCCTGTTCCTCAGAATGGGGGTAACATTACTGTATGTTACTTGTGGCAAGTCTAAGGTGGCCTAATCCTCAGAAAGGGGGTAGCATTACTGTATGTCAATTGTTGCAAGACTAAGGGGGTAACATTACTGTATATTACTTGTGGCAAGTCTAAGGGGCCTAGTCCTCAGAAAGGGGGTAACATTACTGTATGTTACTTGTGGCAAGTCTAAGGGGCCTAGTCCTCAGAAAGGGGGTAACATTACTGTACATTACTTGTGGCAAGGCTAAGATGGGCTTGTCCTCCCAAAGAGGGTAACATTACTGTATGTTACTTGTGGCAAGTCTAAGGGGGTAACATTACTGTATGTTAATTGTGGCAAGTCTAAGGGGGTAACATTAATGTATGTTAATTGTGACAAGTCTAGGGGGGCTAGTCCTTAGAAAGGGGGTAACATTACTGTATGTTACTTGTGGCAAGTCTAAGGGGGTAACATTACTGCATGTTAATTGTGGCAAGTCTAGGGGGGGCTAGTCCTTAGAAAGGGGGTAACATTACTGTATGTTACTTGTGGCAAGTCTAAGGGGGTAACATTACTGTATGTTAATTGTGGCAAGTCTAGGGGGGGCTAGTCCTTAGAAAGGGGGTAACATTATTGTATATTACACGTGGCAAGTCTAAAGGGGTAACATTTCTGTATATTACTTGTGGCAAGTCTAAAGGGGTAACATTTCTGTATATTACTTGTGGCAAGTCTAAAGCGGTAACATTTCTGTATATTACTTGTGGCAAGTCTAAAGGGGTAACATTTCTGTATATTACTTGTGGCAAGTCTAAAGGGGTAACATTTCTGTATATTACTTGTGGCAAGTCTAAAGGGGTAACATTTCTGTATATTACTTGTGGCAAGTCTAAAGGGGTAACATTTCTGTATGTTAATTGTGGGAAGTCTAGGGGGCCTAATCCTCAGAACAGAGATAACATATTACTTCATGTACTTACTTTTTCCAATCTGGAAGGTTTTTCTTAAATATTGAGTCGATGGGTAAAACTTGCTGCTTTCCATTGGTCTGTGCATATATTTCTTTAGCCTGTAAAAGAAACAGCTTACGTCTTTTAGTCATCTTTACATATTCATACTCTTTTTTAAATCCCTGGCATTTTATTGAGTATTGTAGTAACCACGACGTCTCGTTTTGATTTAATGTCACATTTTTAGAATCCTTCAAAACAATCTACATTTACCCCATATTATCACATCAAGGTGCACATTGGTCAAGGTAAAAAGTGCAAAGGTCACAAGTAGTATTTAGAATTCATTTAACAATGATTATGTATGGATGTGGGGACGCTCATGTCTGACAGACATTTTCCTGTTGAAAGTCTTATGGCTTACACCCTGGCAAAGAAAACTCAGAGCAATCTCTGTACCCACTATAATTTAATTTTCTTTTGAGTTTTTAAAGATGGGACTGTTTCCCTTCTTTCCTTTGTCTTTGCTTGTGCTTATATAAAATTTGAAAATTCCTTTAAGAAATAGTGATAATAAGAGAAAATGTCAAAGCCAAGATGGTCAAAAAGACACAACTAGAGACCAAGGGACAACTACATATCATATCTGAGAATGACCCATCCTGTACTTCTCAAGAAATAGTGATACAAAAATGGATTACAGACAGACACAAACGACAAAGATTGGGTAATTTGATTGGCCTGCCATCTGATGATGTAGGGCCAAAAAATGATTCAAATCTGTATGAATTTTGTTTAACAAAAGTCTGTTAAGACTTTTTGATGAGAGAATGATGACAACTCATGAAGAACCATACAGCTTATTCACTGCTGTAGTGCTATATAAAAGGTTGATGAAGACTACCTATATAAAAGGTTGATGAAGACTACCTATATAAAAGGTTGGTGAAGACTACCTATATAAAAGGTTGATGATGACTACCTATATAAAAGGTTGATGAAGACTACCTATATAAAAGGTTGGTGACGACTACCTATATAAAAGGTTGGTGAAGACTACCTATATAAAAGGTTGGTGAAGACTACCTATATAAAAGGTTGGTGAAGACTACCTATATAAAAGGTTGGTGAAGACTACCTATATAAAAGGTTACTGACGACTACCTATATAAAAGGTTGGTGAAGACTACCTATATAAAAGGTTGATGAAGACTACCTATATAAAAGGTTACTGACGACTACCTATATAAAAGGCTGGTGAAGACTACCTATATAAAAGGTTGGTGAAGACTACCTATATAAAAGGTTGGTGAAGACTACCTATATAAAAGGTTGATGACGACTACCTATATAAAAGGTTACTGACGACTACCTATATAAAAGGTTGATGAAGACTACCTATATAAAAGGTTACTGACGACTACCTATATAAAAGGTTGGTGACGACTACCTATATAAAAGGTTGGTGAAGACTACCTATATAAAAGGTTGATGAAGACTACCTATATAAAAGGTTGGTGACGACTACCTATATAAAAGGTTACTGACGACTACCTATATAAAAGGTTGATGAAGACTACCTATATAAAAGGTTGATGAAGACTACCTATATAAAAGACTACCTATATAAAAGGTTGATGAAGACTACCTATATAAAAGGTTACTGACGACTACCTATATAAAAGGTTGATGAAAACTACCTATATAAAAGATATAAAAGGTTGGTGAAGACTACCTATATAAAAGGTTGGTGAAGACTACCTATATAAAAGGTTGGTGAAGACTACCTATATAAAAGTTTGGTGAAGACTACCTATATAAAAGGTTGGTGAAGACTACCTATATAAAAGGTTGGTGAAGACTACCTATATAAAAGGTTACTGACGACTACCTATATAAAAGGTTGGTGAAGACTACCTATATAAAAGGTTGATGAAGACTACCTATATAAAAGGTTGGTGAAGACTACCTATATAAAAGGTTGGTGAAGACTACCTATATAAAAGGTTCTACCTATATAAAAGGTTGATGAAGACTACCTATATAAAAGGTTGGTGACGACTACCTATATAAAAGGTTGGTGAAGACTACCTATATAAAAGGTTGGTGAAGACTACCTATATAAAAGGTTGATGAAGACTACCTATATAAAAGGTTGATGATGACTACCTATATTAAAGGTTGAAGACTACCACAATTAACAGTTGCAGATGTTTTACCTTTTTGTTGGTGAGAGTGACAACACAGTCCATATCAGCTGACATATGCCATGATAACACTCGTGCAATATCTTCTTCCTCTATCTGACCCAAGTGGCCGATCTGTTGAACCAAAGGGAGATAATTTAAACAAAAATCCACAACTTTAACATGTAACTATGTAAATATACTACTCAATAACCTGTTACTCTGTTTGTATACTTATCCTACCAAATATCATCAGATTACTAAGGTAAGGCAATAAGGTAACAGCTATTTGTATACAGATATTACATAAAATTTTCTCGAGTGCTTTCTTCTGTGTTTGAACAATCAGGAGTGGAAACTTCCATGGACATTCTCCAACTATCATCTAACTTATGACCAAAGCAAGGAAAACAGTGAAACATATAACGCTTGAATTTTCTGTTGCTTTAAGGAGTCATTTTTCAGAACATGCCAGGTATAGTTGGTGGTGGAAAGCTGGAGTTCCTGAAGAAAAACCACTGACCTCTGGCCAGTGACTGGCGACTGCCCCATGTAGGATTCGAACCCGCGACCCAGAGGTGGATGGCAAGTGATAGAGATGGTCAGACGCTTTAACCACTCAGCCATCTTGGCCCCTTTGCACTATATTTCATATAGACTACAAACAAGTATCAGTTCTGCTGATAAAACTGCTTGTGACTTTATTAAGTATTGACATGTGAAGTACACTACACACGATATTAGAAACCAGTAGTTCAGCAGGACCATTCCTTTACAAAACAACGCTTAAAGCTTATCATTTCAAATAATGCCTATAATGGTTACCTACTCTATACTGAAGTTTTCTCTAGTGAAACGCTTACTTTGCCCAAGACCTCATTGTCTGCTGGAGCTTCCGTTAGACCACATGTTCTTCGTTTAGAAGTACGGATATGGTCACGGCTACGGGATTTTTCTTCTATCAGTTTGTCAACACTAGGTATCTGGAAACAAAATATTAAGCATGTAATAACATCACTATTTCTTATCACAACAATGACAAGAGTCACCTGTAAGTCACTTTCAATTTAATAACATAATCAATTTCTGATTGCAGCGATGAAAAACACTTCAGGGTTTATTACAGTAGTGATATAAGCAATCCTAAATTTAACAATGACCTTTGACTGGTGACCTTGACATTCAGGCTCAAGTTGTTCAAAGTCTGGTTAGAGATAATCAGTATTAAGTGAAAATTTCAAAATGTTGTTACTGAAAAAGCAAGGACTTTCAAATCATTCACACTAATATAATATCAAACAGACCTCTCTCAACAAAATGACAACTAAAAAAGACTATAATGTTCCCAATTTTCTAAAAACAATTTTTCACTAATCCTTAGTTAACTCTAACCATGCTTTGACTAACTGGGCCAGATGGGCGACCTCTCATTTAATTACCATTAATTCTGCATCAAAATGTTAAAAGACATTTAAAAGATTCATTTGACATATCTTTACCTATAAACATTGAAAGCAATCCAAACAAGCTACTTTTTGTAAAGAAGCAAAGAATAAAAGACTGGAGGTAATAATTCATAGTAATATAATGATCTGACTCCCAACAACAGCAATATTCAGATCTGTTGTTGTAATCATCATATTATTTATCAAACATTCAATACAATATCCTATCCCTTCAAAGTAAAACAATTCGAAAAAAAAATCCCAGTCGGATTAATAAAAGGACACTTCCATTCATACTGGCATGTCAAGTAATTTTCCACTATATATGTAGACACTTTAAGCATTTGTTCAATTTTAGACAAGTGATATCTTTTTTTGTATTTGAATGGATTCATGTGCGACATACTTGTAACTCCTCCCCACATTAGAAGACTTACATTCTGTAAATGGACTAGAGGAACCTTTAGCTTTCTCAGATCCTCTCTAATCTTGTTTTCTTCCACTTGTGCTTCATGTACAGAGACTGAAAACAAATCATTCACTCACATTCAACGGGACAGCGAGTTCAGTAAAGGGAGACAATACAATGGGACAGTGAGCTCAGTAAAGGGAGACAATTCAATGGGACAGTGAGTTCAGTAAAGGGAAACAATACAATGGGACAGTGAGCTCAGTAAAGGGAGACAATTCAATGGGACAGCGAGCTCAGTAAAGGGAGACAATTCAATGGGACAGTGAGTTCTGTAAAGGGAAACAATACAATGGGACAGCGAGTTCAGTAAAGGGAGACAATTCATAAGGACAGCGAGTTCAGTAAAGGGAGACAATACAATGGGACAGCGAGTTCAGTAAAGGGAGACAATTCATAAGGACAGCGAGTTCAGTAAAGGGAAACAATACAATGGGACAGCGAGTTCAGTAAAGGGAGACAATTCATTAGGACAGCGAGTTCAGTAAAGGGAGACAATTCATAAGGACAGCGAGTTCAGTAAAGGGAGACAATTCATAAGGACAGCGAGTTCAGTAAAGGGAGACAATTCAATGGGACAGCGAGCTCAGTAAAGGGAGACAATTCAATGGGACAGCGAGCTCAGTAAAGGGAGACAATTCAATGGGACAGTGAGTTCAGTAAAGGGAGACAATTCAATGGGACAGCCAGTTCCTAAAGGGAGACAATTCAATGGGACAGCGAGTTCAGTAAAGGGAGACAATTCAATGGGACAGCGAGTTCTGTAAAGGGAGACAATTCAATGGGACAGCCAGTTCCTAAAGGGAGACAATACAATGGGACAGTGAGTTCAGTAAAGGGAGACAATTCAATGGGACAGCAAGCTCAGTAAAGGGAGACAATTCAATGGGACAGCGAGTTCGTAAAGGGAGACAATTAATGGGACAGCGAGTTCAGTAAAGGGAGACAATTCAATGGGACAGCGAGTTCAGTAAAGGTAGACAATTCAATGGGACAGCCAGTTCGTAAAGGGAGACAATACAATTGGACTGCGAGTTCAGTAAAGGGAGACAATTCAATGGGACAGCAAGCTCAGTAAAGGGAGATAATTCAATGGGACAGCCAGTTCCTAAAGGGAGACAATTCAATGGGACAGTGAGTTCAGTAAAGGGAGACATTTCAACGGGACAGCGAGTTCAGTAAAAGGAGACAATTCAATGGGACAGTGAGTTCAGTAAAGGGAGACAATTCAATGGGACAGCGAGTTCAGTAAAGGGAGACAATTCAATGGGACAGCCAGTTCCTAAAGGGAGATAATACAATGGGACAGTGAGTTCAGTAAAGGGAGATAATGTAGGATGTCTGAATCTTGTATTCAAACTTAATAGCTTAGCTGTCCAACATGTTATATTTCATTAATTTTTATTTAGATTTCAGGTAACCTTTGAGCTGAACAACTTTAGACTTTGGCCCTCCAGCTTATACTGTAAATATATTTAATTCATCCCAATTACATTTTGGCGTTCAATTAATTTTTGGCTAATATTGGCAATGATGAAATTGCACATCAGTTATAATTGCTATACATAAGCACCAAAAAGAATGAACAATGAATACAGCCATATCATAGATTATAACATTCAGAGGGAAAAGAGCTAAAATACAACTACCACTAAAATACTTATACTTACAGTATTTAAATCCTTGTCAACTTATGAGTTAATTTATCTGCAGCCTTGGCTTTGGACTAACATTTGAATCCTTACACATACATTTCAGTTGCAGGACAAACTTTCTATTCCTTTTAGCTAACATTAGAAAGTTTCAGACTAACCCTTAAGATTCTTTCCAAGCTGTTTGTGCCTTTCACTTCCATTTAACTAACTTGACGAACTTTTGAGCTCCTTGATAAGCTGTCTGCTTTTAGGTTTCATATGAGTCCATGACTTACTTTTCAGCTCCTTCACCAGCTGTTCCGTTGTTTCAAAAAGGGACTTGTAGGTTTTAATGACAGATCTGAGATCATCCCGTTGCCGTGACAATGAAGTCATCTGAGACTGTTTTTTGGCATCTATAAAATACAAAATGATAAACATATGTAAATGTAAGCTAAAATCTGTGGAACTTGTGTTTCTTGTGTGGCTCAGTGGATGATATACCAAAGTGGACATAATAATAAGTATGGGTTCAAATGCCCAAACCTGTAGGTTTTTGTCTCTAATTATACCCATATTGAGACCTATTTGGGTCCCCATACAGCCTCAAGATTATTGCAACATTAAGACTTACATGGATCTCTATTTAGATTCTAGATGGGAGCGTCTTAGCCCTGTAGTAGATGCGAGCTACTTGGCCCTGATCTAGATGGGAGATCCTTGACCCTGTTCTAGATGGGACATCCTTGACCCTGTACTAAATGGGAGCTCATTGACCCTGTACTAGATGGGAGCTCCTTGACCCTGTACTAAATGGGAGCTCCTTGACCCTGTACTAAAAGGGAACTCCTTGGCCCTGTTCTAGATGGGAGCTCCTGTACCTTTTAATAATTGTGAGCTCCTTAACCTTGTATTAGATGAAAGCTCTTGTACCTTGTATAAGATGGGAGCTCCTTTACCCTGTACAAGATGGGAGCTCATTTACCCTGTACTAGATGGGAGCTCATTTACCCTGTACAAGATGGGAGCTCCTTTGCCCTGTACAAGATGGGAGCTCATTTACCCTGTACTAGATGGGAGCTCCTTTACCCTGTACAAGATGGGAGCTCATTTACACTGTACAAGATGGGAGCTCCTTTACCCTGTACAAGATGGGAACTCATTTACCCTGTAAAAGATGGGAGCTACTTTACCCTGTACAAGATGGGAGCTCATTTACCCTGTACAAGATGGGAGCTTTTTTACCATGTATGAGATGGGAGCTCATTCACCGTGTACAAGATGGGAGCTCCTTTACCCTATAATAGATGGACTTTTGCCCTGTACTGGATAGACTTAAAGTGTCATTTCTATCCTTGCTTGCAGTTAAATTTTGTGGAAATCTTGTTGCTATGACAATTGTTTAGCTATAACTGAAATAAGACAGGATCTGAGAAGACACGGTCCTACTGAACTCCAAAATATATTTCTAATCTATATCAATTGGCAGCAAATCTGCAACCAATTAAAGAGTCATCCTTCTGAAGATAGGTTTGGTGATAATGAAGCTTCAGACTTCCTCTGAACCTAGAAAACTGTAAGACTGTACTTTTAATGAGTTTTCTCTTAACAAACATGCACGCCATGCATGTGAAATAAACATGTTCCAGGATACATCAAAGTTAGACTTATCACTAATTTGGAATTACTGTCTACAATCCTATACTGAAGCACACGGCTACTGTAGAGAGTACTCTTAGAATTGGCCAGCTATACCTAACCATCTTTTTCTAGATTTTGTCTCACCAATGAGAAAATGTGATCTTTCCTAATGCATTAAACGTTTAGCATTTTGTCAGCACTGTCATTGTACCCTTTAACATTCAAATGGACGTTGTTTATGCGAAGTTTAATGATAATCAAAGGTTTGGTTACATAACCTCCATTTTGTTTCAGTGATGAGGAATTTGTAGAAATAGGTGTTAAATGATGTTCATACATGTAGTTGAATATATTATCAATCTTCACTGATCGCTGCCAGGTAATAAGATATGTTTGCAAAGAATTTACAGCCATAATCATTATGTACAGCCCTACCCACCAAACATATTCCTCATTCATTACACCATTCTACACAGGTTTATTTCTCTTTCTAACAACCAAAGTATGTGATACTGATCTTCGACTTTGTCCTTCAGAGTATAAAGGTATAAAGAGAAAAGGTAGACATTATCCATTAAATCGTAAGCAATCAATTGCGAGTCTAATGAAAGATGACCAAATGTTTTAATAACCTATGACCTGTGTGTAATGTTATTTCTGTACAGTCGAACCTTGTTATCATAAACAGGGTATGACCATGGGAAAACTTCGCAACAACCCAGTACTTGATTTAAGCGAGTTTGAATGTTTTGTGTAGCTTTAGGCAGGTACCAACAATATGCTTCTAATTAAACAGGTTCTTCCAGTTATACAAGTGTGAGATAACAAAGTTTGACTGTATGTGTAAAAAATTTTTTTATGAATTTCTGATTGTCTGAAATAAAATATTGAACATTAACAAACGCAAAGAAATCCCTATTTATGAAATTATCATTTGAAGTTTGATCAGTTATAAATTGATTCAAGAAACATTTCCTCACAATGGAACTGTGCTGGTGATCTGAAATTCTTCCATTTCACATTTCTCACATTTTCTGTAGGGAAACTCATTAATCTAGTGACACGTGATATATATTTGACAAATTAAAACACTGACAAGACTTTCCCTTGTTCTTTTATGAACAATTAACCTTTAATTACCACTGGTATCCCACAAACATGAGGTCATGGGCCTAACGGTCACCTGACTAATCTCAACTGACCTTAAACTGCGAAAAAGCCAGAACCCTATAAGTTACCGAATTGGCCCCATCGTTGAACTCATCCAAGATGTTAGTGATAAAAGGCTACATACCTAGTTTAAAAAAATCTGATCATCTTTACTCCATTTCTTGTTTTCAGAAGCCACGGTTATAAGATTGCAAAGGGCCATAACTCTGTAAATTATCATCATATTGATTCCATTGACAAACTCATGTATGATCTTACTGATATCAAATTGCTGATTCCATATTCAAGTGACTTAAAAATGAATGAGAAACAGTTAATGATTCTTAGTTTCATCAAACAAAAACCAAATTTTACCTGACTTTCAGATTCTTTTTTTTTTAATAAATGTTGATGAGTGACTGAAGTTTTCAAAATAAAGTTGGAATCTTATTCTTGAGTCTCCCACGATTAATTCTACTACATAGATGACTTGAATGTCTCCTATTCATTGAAATTATAAGGCAAGCATATTGCATGATAACATTTTAACTGGACTGTATTGAAAATGGATGACTTGGCATGGGCTCATTGCTTAATAAATAATTTAATGTATAAAGCTTCTCACAGGAGATTCTTTTTCATTTTCAAGCGGAGATAACAAAGAAGAAATTTGTTAGCAACTATATGTGGAAATATTTATTTAGAATAATTCTATGCATTAAATTGGAACATTCTGACAGAGTTTCAGGAAAACGTACGTTCACTTTACTATATAAGTGACACGAGACAGAAAATCTAATAGAGGATCTTTAGTACACTACTATATTTATAGATTAAACCCTGCAAACTCAACCTCTATACAGTAACCTATCTGTCCATTGATTTCAGTGGTAATATTAGTTATAATACTTTCAGGTCAGACCCAGTATTTTACAAAACAAGGTTCACTTGTGCATTCCTGTCACAAAATGTTGACACAGTACCATGTTGAAAATTATACTTGCTCACGAGTTATATAGTTCCATCTCCTACCTAACTGTAACAAAGTTTACTGGAGTTTTTCCGTTTAACTTCAATCTTGAAGTTGACATAGAGGTGAAAAATCAAGTGATGATGCTGGATGTCTTGTGTTTCTGTTTACCTTAGATACCAACATCAGAACCGCAGGTACAGTGTCTATTGCGTTACATTCAACATAGCATGCACTACTACTAATGATAGTTGGAAAGGGTACCCTAGGCATGCTATCGCAAGTTAGACAAACCAGGAAAAAAAAAACTTCACACAAAACTAAGCAATATCGCACAGACCCTCGAGACTTGAGACCTTCGCTCACTGGTGTAGCAGGATTCTGATGGAAACCTTCGCAGACTGGGAGGTACGATTGCATTATATCATTTATTATAGATAGCAAGTATACCCCTGTCTGTCATTAAGTCCAATTGGTGCTATCTGTTCATGGCCAATCAAAAAACTAGATTAGTGTGTGCATAATTAATTAGTCAAGTACACTGATCTATTGATTTTGCTACCAGGTAAGTAAAATTAAGATGAGGCTCCATAAGGAGATCTTTTATCTTGTATTATTTGAGTGTAATTTTGGGGTAAAATACCAATTATCAACAGTTAGAAAATTACGTTATTTTTAATATTTTAATATTTTTTTCTATTCTTCAAATATTTTTCATTGCACCATTAATGTTTAATCATATGTGTTATGCAAGCCAACTTTCATCTTAACAAATAATGGTATACTTATTTCCCCAATAAGGCCCCACAACCAAGAGTTACTTTATCACTCTGTAGGGAAGCTGTGATGAGGTCTCTAAAGAGTTTTATAAGAAGAAATTTAAGTCAGCCAGTCTATAGAGTATACTGATGTAGTGATCCGATACTGGACAGACAGATCCCAGGGAGATAAGCTGACGGCGACAGGTAATGTACAACATTTTCTGCCTCTGTTATCTGATGTATTGGGACTACAAATAATTGATATCTATGTTTTTACTCGGATATTGTTATACAGACCTACATTGAAAATGATTTAACATTACAATAATGTCTGTGTCTGCCTTAACACATAAAATCTACTATGTTTTGACTGAACCGTGCTTTCCCTGTATAAATAGTTTTCAGTGTACTTGTGATTACTTTATCTAGTAAGGTTACCAGTGTCACAGACGTAGTTTATGTTATGCTGACAACTGAAAACACCCTGTTTAAGATAATAGGTATTATTCTTCATATAAATTGGTGTACTAGGAGACCTTTATCGCTGTTTAACATGACATCCTGTTTAGTATTCATTACAACTATAAAAAACTCGGAGCTTCCAATATTTATAACAAATTGTAAGAACAAATTTTTGTTACAGTTTAAGACTTTGCTGCACAAATACAATAGTATAAAATAGCTCCGCAAACGCGGGCAACACCCAACAGCCTTATTATAAAGTTGGGTGCAGGGCTGAGATTGTAAAGAACCTCAATAGGCTGTGTAGGTTTATAGGCCCAACATGCCCAGCGAAAATGGTGATCGCTGGTGATGTCGTTCTTGAGATAATGAGCGGAATGCAAATTCAAGATGGCGGCCATAACCGCCATATTGGATATCAAGCGACGACGAAAAACAATAGGGTTGTGTAGGTCCATAGGCTCAATATCCCCAGTGAAAATGGTGATGACCGGTGATGTAGTTTTTGAGATAATAAGCGGAATGCAATTGTGGACGGACGGACGGACGTCGTGCGTGATCACAATACCCCACACCCTTTTGGGCTGTGGGGTAAAAAGATATGCCCATCTCACTTTTATAACAATTCTGTAACCCTTTCCCCAAGAAAAACATACAAACCTTTCTCATCTTAAGTGAATTTTCCATGAGATGTTCCTGTATACAAGCCTTTCTCATCTTAAGTGAATTTTCCCTGAGATTTTTTCCTGCATACAAACCTTTTCCATCCCATGAGAATAAGAAAGAGCAATGGACTACATTATGTATTTTGGTTTTATAAAAATTTCAGTTTGCTCCTGGATTTTTATTTTGAAAGTTAAAAGATTTTGTCACCTTATTGACTTTTTTCATTCTATATTACAAAACAGAATGTCAAGGTCTGCATTCAGTTCTGGGTATTCTACGTGGCGACAGAGACGTCAATCTCGTTCCAAGTCTCGATCAAGAGGCCCAATATCACGACAGTCGCGATCCTTGCATGAGGCCCCTCACCTACTACGCCTACATATCAATCGTAATCACAAAGGCTACTTGGAGTTGAATCTGTCTAGCCAGGGCTTACATGATCTTCCTCAAGACATCTCCTATTTTACACGACTTGAAGTCCTCAATGTATCCCACAATTCCTTAAGTGAAGTTCCAGCATCACTTGCACGTCTCCGTGGGTTACGGATTCTCCTTTTACAGGAAAATAAGATACAGATGGTCCCTGACACCATCACAAACTGTACTCACCTCACCGAGATCAACCTCACAAGAAATAAACTTTCAAATCTTCCCCGTAATATAGATGGCTTGAGGAGTCTTCGTATTCTTAAACTAGGACAAAATGAATTTGTGAGTCTACCTCATGATGTTGGACAGCTTCAAAACCTGACTTATCTTGACGTCCAAGGCAACCGTATTTGGTATCTGCCATTTTCAATGCATGGTCTTCGAAAATTGAAATATTTGAATCTAGCGGACAACAAATTTGAACATCTGCCGATTCCTATCTGCCAGATTTCCTCTTTAAAACTTTTAAATTTAAAAGGAAACAGTCTGAAGACTTTGTCGCCTGATTTTGAGTCTCTGAAAAATCTTCGTGAGTTGAACTTGAGCTACAACAAATTTGACACAATTCCTGGAATTGTGTACAAGTTAAAAGAGCTAAGATTCCTGAACATTGCTGCCAATGACATAAAATACATTCCACATCATATACAAGGTTTATCAAACCTACATATACTCCACATACAGGGAAACAGACTGGCAAACATGCCAAACTCTTTCAAGAATCTTCAATACCTGAACATGTCAAACAACTGTCTATATAATGTATCGCTTGTTGGCATGACTCGACTCAAAAACCTCAACGCTAGCAACAACAACCTGGAGAATATTCCAATGGGTGTATACACCTTGACAAAACTGGAGATTCTCCGACTAAACAATAACCAAATAAAATATGTGTCACAGGATCTTGTCCATCTGAAAAATCTTCGTGTGTTAGATCTGGGCAACAACAAGTTGGTAAGTTTCCCTCAAGTTATGGATCAGATGCATCGTCTGGACTACTTCAATGTCAAGGGAAACCAAATCAAACATAGGATAACACTACAGTACGGGGAAATTCCAGCCAATCAGGACGACATGATGGACAATCGTCATATGTATGCCAGCAAACGTAACCCTCAACAGGAAAACAATCGCTATTTGTACAAATCTAAGAAACGGGGCAAATCCCCGAGCGCCAAGTCCTCCACCATGTTAGACCTAAATAACTCCCAGGATCTTGATGAACTGCTGCTAAACGGTTTCTCACGTAAACACATTGAGAACAATTCTGAATCTGTGATGTGGAGAGACAATAAAAACAAAGGAAATAAAGTAGACAAGGAACCACTAAAAAACATCCTTCAGCATATTGCAGACCTGGACACAGCAGAGGGACAAAACTATCCCTCCGCATCAGAAGGTGAGACTGACTTTCGACTACTTGGGATCTGTAACCAGCTCGAAATGTTGCTCAACAAACAGCTTTTGCAGCCTGTTCTATCCATCAGAGGCCATCCAACAGGGAAAAGGTGAGTTATCTCCCCTTTATTCTAGGTTATCCAAAGTGTGAATTCTTTCCTTGTAAATTATTTCTTTCTCCAGACATTTCTTTAAAGACAAGGGTATATAGGATGGCGTAACTTTCTTCCATGTTAAAAACCTTTTCTCCTTGAATGCACTTGAATCTTGACATTAGTAAGATAATTCAATGTTTGTCTCTCCTGACTAGCAAACTTTTGTATGTCTGACACATGTCACAAATGAACGTATACAAGTGGGATACAATTCTGTCACTTTGTTAAAAAAAATCATGCTGTTATTCTATACATCAAGTACCTTTATGGACATGTAATAATTCAAATACATCAAGAGGTCCATGGGGCCTGCATTGCTCACCTGGATAAATATGCTATTACATTATTTAACAAAGAATTTCAAATATGACAAATACATTTTTAAACAATTTCCCTCGTAGGTCCTGGCCTTGTGTTTAAACAGAAGTCAGATTCTCCATTTATGAACATTGCTTCAGACAAATCTTGGACAATATCCTTGCATTTGTAGGGAAGAAAGGATTTTTAAGAACTTACATTTCCAAAACTCGGCCCCGAAACTCCCGCTCCACTGGGCCTTGTCCTAACATCTATATAAATTTGATTCTTCTTCACCCAAGGATGCTTCAGATCAAATTTGGGTAACATCAATTCATTCCTACAAGGGGAGTAGGATTTAAAAGAATTTACTCTATTTTCCCTGTTGGGCCCCACCCCTCCTGCTCTAATGGCCCAGCACTGTTTACACAAGCTCGCTTCCCTTCATCCAAGACCATATTTGGGCAATATGCATTCATTCCTACAGGAAGAGTAGGATCCATTCATTAATACAGGAGGATTTGGATTACAAGACCAAGAGACCATTTGTCATATGTGACCTTATCTTTTGCCTCCCTTCAAAAGTCACATTGGTATGGGATTCAAAATTTTTTATCCCTCATTTTAAAAATTTTATGACCAGAATACCCTTCCTATTGAAATTGTACAATGTTTTGCTAGGGCAACAAAATGAGCTATTTTACAGATAAATAAGATCATAATGATGAAAGTTATGATGGTGTTTATCAGTTTTAGTGATAAAAGCATTGTTCCTGTTGCCGATGGTGTTTGGCGCCTGAGTGATAATAAGTCCACTGAAGCTGTTGGTGTGATCATGTCCCGGACAGAATGTTTTACAGTGATGCCCAGTGGTGGTGAATTTGTGTCCACTGTTGATCCACAAGTCAGCATCATGGTTCCTAATAAAGGCGTGTCTATTCCACTAGAAGTCAGTATAAAGGTGAGTGCGCACTGACTAACAGACAACAAAATCAACTTTTCACTGTAGTATATAGGGGTTAGGAAATTTTCTGTTTTTTTTTTTTTTTTTTTTTATGAATACCTTCAGGATTTCTTAACGAGTGTGTGAGGTCTAATGTGAAGATTTTCAGTTCGGACTACACCTGCAGAATATACTGATCAGACAGAGAAGTGGAGAATGTATTCATCTTTTAACAAGACTGGGGTTAGACGTGCCTGTCTGGCTATGTTAATCCCTTTAAGAACTCTCACACATTAAGACCTATTTCACGCTAACAGCCTGACCAATGTGTTTGAAATCTAAGGCTCAGTCTGACATTTTATAACATAGAACATGAGATGTATATAGGATTTTACATGAGTTTTCACTTTGCATGAGATTTTACGAAATTTGAAAATTTTTAGTTTTGAGGGCCTTGAAGTATATATATTTTGAGGCAATCTGCCCCTTTATAAGAAATATTACATGTTACATCACAAAAAATATAAAACACTGACAAAGTTACAAAATATAATCGAGAACGATTCTTTACATCGATCATAAATCTATACCAGTAAAAACATATCCAATGAATATCTGATTTTGCTAACTGTCGATATTACTAGACTCTAAATCTTAATATATATTGCACAATGCACCATAGGCAGTAATGTTGGTGATCCAAAGATTCCAGATTTTAATTACCTGTCGTAATTGTACACAAGCTTGATGTATATTGTATGTACAATTCATATCCATGTTTGTATTTACAATGCTACCCAGGTGTTCATATCATGTAATTAGACAATTTGAAACTATGATCATGTCAAGGAAATTCTTGCTGTCTATCAATACAAATTCCAAATATCCTTTTTTGGGGATGTCATGGTGGTGTAATGGTGAGGAAGTCTGGAATTTCCTGGCTAGGCGATTTGATCTCGTAGATCGTGAAGTTCGAGGCCTGAACAGGGCACAGGTCAAAAAATTGTCTTCCTACATTAATTGTATAACAATGTACAAAATATCATTAAATTAACACAATGCATTATATACAGTAATCCTGATCCAAAGGTTCCAGATTTGAATTACCTGTCATAATTGTACCGAGTTATATAATTAAAAGAAACAAAAAAAAAAAAAAAAAACAAAGCTGTCTTGGACAAGCCCTCATCTCCTTCTGAGGTCCCCCAATTTATATCACATGCATTATGTTTAAATGTCTTCACTAACTCTTAATTATTATCATACATGTTGTTTTTTTTGGGGGGAGGGGGCGGGGCTCACTTTTTTTTGGTTTTCCAATAAAATGCTGTTTTTTTTTATTTTGGATGTGTAATTTTGTGGACAAATATAGCTCAGTAAATTTAGTTTTACTTATTCTATCAGTCCATGGTTTAAGAGTGCCCACAAAATCAAGGATAGTAAATCACCTTCAAATCTTAATAATTTAATGGCAGTTGACAATGAATAGTTGGAGACTTGATGGCAGGAACAATTTTTTCACCGTCTCCATTGGACAGATCATTAAAGTGGACCCAGATATACTGGACACCCTTCAAGAGGACAACAAAATTATCAGCAACATAGTGGCAATAGGACCCATCATCTTTCTCAAGATGGATGAAAAAACAGACCTAAACAGCTTAGTGACCATGACGATCCCCTCGCCGAAGGGTCCACCACATGAAGAGAGGGGATATCTGCATGTATTGACAATCAACGCAGATAACACATGTAGTCCTAACACCTCCGGATACCAGATATCACGAGGGTGTATTCGACTCAGTACATGGCATTTGTCAGGGTAAGTGTGATAAACCTGATGTACTGTTGTTGAGTGGAATTATTACCATGTTTCCTATAAATAAGTCTATCTCTTAATTATGTGTCAGATGTTATGTGTTGACCCCCTCAGGTTACTGGAGAATCGAAATAGTCAAGCTGTCTCTTTCCAAACATGAAAATAATATTGGTACAGTTGGTAATATCAATGGGGGATTTAATCTTACTACATTCGCGATCATAAATTAATGTTGCACAAAATTATATGCCTATAAACATCAGATATATGAAAAAGCACAAAATTTGATGCCTCTCCAACTAGCCCAGGTCTGGACAACTCTGAAAAATTTGACTTACAAAATTTCATCAACAGTGAACTAGCTAAGTCGAGGCAACCATGAAATAATGGCTATGTGAAGTTCAATTTTCATGACTTAGCCCAAACCAGGAAAATTATGTAAGATTAGTTTCGAGATTCATGCAATGTGATTCAGCCCTAACTGTATATCACCAAGAAGGAGTGATATAAATGGGTAATTTTAACTATTTCATCATTCTAATATTTAATTGTGATAAAAATCTCATTAAAAACAACAGATTAATGTTAATTTTTCTTTTTATTCTACAGAAAAACGGTGATCCTCGCCAAAGCTAAGTGCAAATATCAAGCTTGTAATGCTGTAGAAAACCTGCTGAAGTGTATGTTTCATGTGCCTGTCAAGTTCTAACACAAAAACTACAGATACTGTTTCAGAATTCAGGAGCGATTCTTGATTGAAAATGTTTTGTCTACTCAGCGTAATAAATCTAGAACATGCGAGATGGGAATGCTCATTTGGTACTAACTGCATGAACGGGGCCTCAACATCTTATTTGTTTATTGAAGGTTAATAAAATGTTGGTTTGCTGGGCTTTTTGCGAAATTGGTATCAAATATTCCATTATACAGTGGACAAATTAATATCTGAAAATTCTGCATGTGTAAACAATTATCAAGTACTGAAATATATATAACTTTGTGTCTGTTATCATTCAGGTTAATAACTTTGTGTACGTATTTGTTGTACATTACAGTAGACTGAGTTAACCTTGAAAATAAATCAATATCTATTACAGAATATTTTGTGTTTAGGGTTTGATATCACAACCAAGAAGAAACAAGGAAAAGCAAAAATACTGAGTAAATCAGAAAGAATCAAAGGAGGAGGAGGGTAGGGAATATGTAGAGACAAGAAATACAGTGAAATTTCACATATCTGTACCTAATAACAAAAAAACACAAAAAAGTTTCTTTATTCCAAGGACCGTCCAACATAGTTTTATCTTTTACAAAGAGGTGAGAAACAGCATATCTAATTCTTGGTTTCTTTTTCCTCTCTTAAAACCATATTTAACAACATCTTGAAAATTCTGTGGCAATAAGATATGTATGAGACAAAATTGATGTGTACAAGAAAAACAAGAACCGGAATCAAACTTACCATTGTAGAAGAGAAAAGGAATGTCCAAAGCCGGAATACTTTTATTACGGGGAATCAAATCACATTCAACAACACATCTCAGAAAGTACTCATAGCCGTCTTTTCCAGCCGAATTTTCTGCCAGAGTTAGATTCTGTAGAAATAAGTGGTCCATTAAATCAAACATTAATATTTTATCAATTTTCTTACACATCATCATTAGTACAGTACTTATTGTTCTATTTTCATTCATTTTCAATGTAAATTCAACCAGAAAATATAAAATACCTTGAATACAAAATGGAAAGAGAAATCAAAGCTTAAGAAACACATTTATTTCTTTGAAGCTTTTGGAAAAGTCATGAAAATTTTAAACTCAAAGAAAATAAAACAAAATTTAAATCAGGAAAAAAGTTCAGTATTATCATCATTTATTGTAAATAGTTTGATCTAATGGATAAAGATGTTTTGTTGTATGTACTTGATGATCTTTAAATCGTTAGTGGTTAAGAAATACTCACAGATAACACACACTGGCCATTGCTCATGTTAAACTGGAGAGTCCTGTTGCCCCCAACAAAAGCAGGTACTTCAGAAACTCCTGGCATACCCATTATCTCTAGGTTAATTTTACCACTGTACCCTAAACCTGCGGTATTGTCAAACTCATCCTGGAAAACAAAAAAATATAATACCATCCAATAGATTCGTCCAACAGGGAAATATAATACTGTGTTACATCAAATATTAACATTTCTCAGGAGAGAGATTTCAATTATTTACAACAACAAACAACTCAAAGAAATTTTAATAAGGATTTATGATAAAAATTTTATTCATAGTTTCTGTGGCAGGCAGTGAAAATATTATAGGTGTGGTAGAATTTGCATATGTCATCTGACTATAATTACTCTAAAGTCAAGTTTGAGAATTTATGGGTAGGGTAGGATTTTTGTACACTATCTTGACAAAGATTACATGGAGCTTACCTTTAAAATCAAGTTTGAGAATATGTATGGGTAGGGTAGGATTTCTGTATGCTATCTTAACAACAATTAAAGGGAGCTTACCCTCAGGTCGACTTTGAGACTACGTATGACACAACGTGCTGCAGCATTATGTGTATTAGATACAGTGGGTGTGCCTGGCTGTTCCATGGATCCGAGCTTCACTGGAGCACCTGGCTTGACATCAACTGTGATCTGCAAACAATCAATATGTTTGAATATAAACTTTATTTAGTTTACAATCATTGCAAAAAGTTATTTAAACTTATAATGATCACTCCTATTGGCCTGGATGGAAGCACATGGGGGCCTTACTGTGGAAGGAAACCAGTGTACCTAGAGAAAACCATGTGGTTGTGTAGGTGACCCCTATACCCTTTTCTTGGTTATTTGGGGAATCAAACCCTGATGACCAGGTGAAAAGTGAGTGCATTAACCACTGTGCCATCCAAGCACCAGTGTATGTTCGTACATAATAGGATACCATCAAATCATTTAGTCGAAAGGTACACATATCTATGTGAAACCTACAACTGAACTTCAAGAACAATAGATTTTGACTGTAAAAATACATGATTGGTATCTATTACCAGTTTATTTTTGTTCACATATTAAACTATAGAGAGACAGAGAGAGAGGTGGGGGGATGGGCGACACCAACACATGATATTTGAATTTATTGAAATATGCCTTATAATATAACTTTAAATATGAATATCAAAAATCAAAATTACAGTATCACAATATTTTTAAGTTGAAGAAATTTCTATTTTATCCATTTATCATGAATGCTGACTTCGTTTCTTCAGGAGTCAGTGAAACCTGATGTCTGACATCTCTACTTTATGTCTTTGTCTGTAATACTGACCACATTGCTAAATAGTTCATATCTGCCATCGTAGTAGGTGATCATTATGTTGTGAATTCCAGAAATCTCAGGAATCTTTCTTTCTCTATCAAATATAAACAAAACATATTCAGGAAAAATATAAACAAGATATATTCAGAATACAAGATTTTTTCTCTACAAAATAGAATCAGGATACCAGATTTCATTCTGTACCAAATATAAACAAGATGTATTCAGGATACCAGATTCCTTTCTCTACAAAATATAGACAAAACATATTCAGAATATATGATTCTTTTCTTTACCAAATATAAACAAAATAAATTTAGAATACAAGACTTCTTTCCCTACCAATTGTACATTTGAAATATGATTCATACAAGGAATTATTTATAGAAAAAGTCCTTTCTTAATATCTAAAGCATGGAAGAACCCTGAGAGATGTAAATGGACTTACTTGAAAATAAAAACACCGGGATTCTGTTTCACTGACTCGGGACTAAAGGACACTGCCTGAGGAAATACAGACATATGCGTATTACAACACATACAAGGTTAAATCAATAAAGCCTTTAATATGGTGGCTGATTAGAAAAATAACCATCTGGATCCATGCATTTTTTAAAATCAATTTTCTCCTCTGATTTTGTGGAGACACATATGAAAATTCTTATTACATATATTAACAATATATCCTTTTTATTTTTTTGAAGTCATGAAAAGAAAAAAGAACATTAAGATAAACGTGTTTGATTATATACTGTAAATTCACATCTGAATTTGTGGTACCCTCTCCTCTGGATATAACACTGAAGTGACTGTCTGGTGATATGTTATACACGACTTCAAAAAGAGAAATGTCACCTTATTTAGTCAGAACCAAGACGATCAGCACCAATCTTCTTTAGCCAAGAGGCCCATGGGCCTTAACGGTCATCTGACATTAGATACAAGATATTTGACCCCTGTGACCTTTAAAGTGGGTCAAGGTCATTCATTTGAACAAACTTGGTAGAGCTCCATGCCAGTATGCTCTGTGCCAAGTATTAGCCCCCTAGACCTTCTAGTATTTGAGAAGTTGTTTGAATGAAGAGTTTACGCAAGAGGTCAACGGCGCACGTCGGACGACGACGGACGAAGCACGATGGCTATAGGTCATCTTGACCCTTTGGGTCAGATCACCTAAAAATGTTGATATCTAAGTATCCTGGAGGTCAACTTTAAGATTAACACAAGTTTCTGTAGTATTACAATGACATTTTAAACAAAAAAAGTCATTCCTTTAAGATGTTCTAACTCCTCTATTTTTGAGGCTGGGATAAAATTGCAAATATAATAAAAAGGCAATACACAAATGTGTTTTTGCCTGAATCTGTAACTAGGCCATAACAGAATAACAGATTTAAACAGCAGAACTGAAGCTGGTTACCCTGGATGGAGGAGTGTTCTGACTGCGGACATCCATTTTCCAAAGCTTCATAGATATACTAGCTGCCTTGGCTCCCTTCATTGGTTGGTTATCCTCTGCCAGGATACGAATGGTAAACTCTGTTGGGAACAGATGAATATAAATAAAATGACATATTACCAAATATGTATAGAGGTGAAGAGATTAGACAAGCTGATGTGTAATGTGAATGTCTGATGACAAAGGCAAGGAAATAAAAAACAATGTAGTTCAGGAAGGAGAAAAAAGATCAGATAGTAGATTCAGTTGCCTACCAACAGAGTACACTACTAGCAGGGACAACCAGCAGGAAGCCAACCAGAAAGGAGCCTACCAGCAGGGTGCCTACCAACAGGGCGTCTACCAGCAGGGTGCCTACCAACAGGGCGCCTACCAGCAGGGTGCCTACCAACAGGGCGTCTACCAGCAGGGCGCCTACCAGCAGAGCGCTTACCAGCAGGGAGCCTTTCAGCAGGGAACACTACCAGCAGGGCACACTACCAACAGGGCACACTACTAGCAGGGCACACTACCAGCAGGGAACCTACAGGCAGGGCACACTACCAGTAGGGAGCCTACCAGCAGGGAACACTACCAGCAGGGCACACTACCAGCAGAGTGCCTATCAGCAGGGCACACTACCAGCAGGGAACCTACAGGTGGGGAACACTACCAGCAGGACACACTACCAGCAGGGAACATACAGACGGGGAACACTACCAGCAGGACACACTATCAGCAGGGAACCTACAGGCGGGGAACACTACCAGCAGGACACACTACCAGCAGAGCCCTTACCAGCAGGGAGCCTTCCAGCAGGGAACACTACCAGCAGGGCACACTACCAACAGGGCACACTACTAGCAGGACACACTACCAGCAGGGAACCTACAGGCAGGGAACCTATAGGCGGGGAACACTACCAGCAGGGCACACTACCAGCAGAGTGCCTATCAGCAGGGCACGCTACCAGCAGGGAACCTACAGGCAGGGAACCTATAGGCGGGGAACACTACCAGCAGGACACACTACCAGCAGGGAACCTACAGGCAGGGAACCTACAGGCAGGGAACACTACCAGCAGGACACACTACCAGCAGGGAACCTACAGGCGGGGAACACTACCAGCAGGACACACTACCAGCAGGGAACCTACAGGCGGGGAACCTACAGCCAGGGAACCTACAGGCAAGGCTACTGATGACAATGCTGACACTAACGACATAATTACAATACTCTGTTTACCTGGCATCATCTGGCCAACTTGGAATGTTGCCTTTTTGTTGTATTCCACCTTCATCTCCACAGGTCTTGTCATATCTGGTTGAATGAGAATGGTAACTTTGGGGCCAACGATCGTCTCACCAGAAACAAATGCTCTTGGTTCTATATCATAGCTTCCCCTATAATATATTGGTAACAGTATATCAATTCACATTGGTCAACATCACAAACCTCTTACTCCATGCTGTCAACAAATACATTTTACAGGTGTGACCTTTGAACAAGGTTGATAGCAAAAACAATCTAAAGAGTTAAAAATGTTTTAATGAATTCCATCCAAGTAACCATCAACTTTCAGAAACTGAAAAGTGGGAGATAAGCGCATCAAAGAAATTTTCCACACAACACATTATCTGTGATTTGCGAAATATGTATTATATTGTACATTGTAGATTTAATTTCATTAAATAGCATATATACATTTAATATCAATTGAAAATATAATAATAATTAAATTATATCAAGACTACAACTTCTAAGCAACAGTCAGAAGACTTGAACTGGCTGTAAGATAGGTTCATAAATAGATGCACAAACTACCTTATCTGTATCTATATTATGAATTCCATTTGTTTCCAGGTCATATATTACAACATCATATTTGGTTTATAACTATTACATGGTTACCTTTAAAACTATTACATGGTTACCTTTATAACTATAACATGGTTACTTTTAAAACTATTACATGGTTACCTTTAAAACTATAACATGGTTACCTTTATAACTATAACATGGTTACCTTTAAAACTATAACATGGTTACCTTTATAACTATTACATTGTAACCTTTAAAACTATTACATGGTTACCTTTATAACTATAACATGGTTACCTTTAAAACTATCACATTGTAACCTTTAAAACTATTACATGGTTACCTTTAAAACTATTACATGGTTACCTTTATAACTATAACATGGTTACCTTTATAACTATTACATGGTTACCTTTAAAACTATTACATGGTTACCTTTATAACTATAACATAGTTACCTTTATACCTATTACATGGTTACTTTTAAAACTATTACATGGTTACCTTTATAACTATTACATGGTTACTTTTAAAACTATACCATGGTTACCTTTATAACTATAACATGGTTACCTTTATAACTATAACATGGTTACTTTTAAAACTATTACATGGTTACCTTTATAACTATAACATGGTTACCTTTAAAACTATAACATGGTTACCTTTATAACTATAACATGGTTACCTTTATAAATATAACATGGTTACCTTTATAACTATTACATGGTTACTTTTAAAACTATTACATGGTTACTTTTAAAACTATACCATGGTTACCTTTATAACTATAACATGGTTACCTTTAAAACTATAACATGGTTACCTTTAAAACTATAACATGGTTACCTTTATAACTATAACATGGTTACCTTTATAACTATAACATGGTTACCTTTATAACTATTACATGGTTACCTTTATACCTATTACATGGTTACTTTTAAAACTATTACATGGTTACCTTTAAAACTATTACATGGTTACTTTTAAACTATAACATGGTTACCTTTATAACTATAACATGGTTACCTTTATAACTATTACATGGTTACCTTTAAAACTATAACATGGTTACCTTTATAACTATAACATGGTTACCTTTATAACTATAACATGGTTACCTTTAAAACTATAACATGGTTACCTTTATAACTATAATATGGTTACCTTTATAACTATAATATGGTTACCTTTATAACTATAACATGGTTACCTTTATAGTTTTTGCTTTACTTTTACATTATGAATCTTTATCTCAGTACTGCAGCATTATTTCATTCTTGCACTTTATTACATTTTAAATCATTAAGATAGCATGCTTTGTTCTGCTATTTATAAATAAAGAAAAGGAAGCATTCTTTGACTGGGATAGAAAATCTAGGTCGCACCAACTAAGAAAAAAAAATAAAATCAGTCTTCATAAATATTACAAAATAAAAGTAGAAATTTGTTAAAAATCTGGATTTATAACCTCCTCTTCTGAAATTAAGCCAACATTGGTTTGTTTTTTTAAATTATCTAACATAACTGTGACCACTGAATGATTATTAATTGACTGTGTGAATTGAACAGCTTTAGAGTTGGTAATGGAATCAGTGCAGGGGCAGTCATGCATGACAAGAGCCCCAGCCCCTTCTTGCCCTGGGATAGTCATAAAGCTATCTTGTGTCAGGTGGTTAGTCCCCCGGATAGTGTAACTAACTACATTGTATGTCTACAGTTATTCAGAAATTAAAGATTAGTCACCATGGTATCACTGTGACCTATATAAGGGCCAAGGACATTCATTTGTATAAATCATATCCAATTCCATCCGATCATGATTCAATGTAAAGGTCCATTAGAATACAAGCAAGAGGTACAATGGACCTGCATCACTCCCCTGATAGTCAATGCTTTTCACAAATATTCAAGTCCTTGGTATTTAAAGGGCATTTATATCAAGTTAATTTACAGAAAAACACTGAAACTATCCTACATACAAGGTAAGGTGAACAAACTTACAACTGATGAATATTGTTGTGACCCCAATGACCTTGAAAATAATGAAGGTCAATTATTTATACGCAGCTCTCTACTCAAAGCAACAGTATTTACAATCAGAGATATTACTATCATTTTATACATTTCATCTATCTACTATATAACACACATGCAATTGTGAATATACAATCGTGGGTTATGACATAAATAACTTGTTTTCTGACCCTATCACTAACCTCTGTCCCATAACTGCTACTGTTCCAAAGTCCACCTGTCCACTTGCATTGGATTTCTTTGGCATCAGGAATGGCACAAACTAGCAACAGATGATTGTAAAGGATGTATTATGTCCTGATTTCAGAAAATCTGTGAAGTGGTAGATAAATCGCTATATCCTTTAATGCTTAAAATCCTTCCTTTACAGGATGTTTAAAGATGTGGACTATTGATTGGATCTCCATATCTTTGACTGAGTACAAATTCTCTAAATCTTTGACCGAGTACAAATTCTCTATATCTTTGACAGGGTACAAATTCTAGGTATCTTTGACTAAGTAAAAATTCTCTATATATCTTTGACCGAGTACAAATTCTCTATATCTTTGACCGAGTACAAATTCTCCATATCTTTGACCGAGTACAAATTCTCTATATCTTTGACAGGGTACAAATTCTCTATATCTTTGACCGGGTACAAATTCTCCATATCTTTGACTGAGTACAAATTCTCTATATCTTTGACTGAGTACAAATTCTCTATATCTTTGACTGAGTACAAATTCTCTATATCTTTGACAGGGTACAAATTCTAGGTATCTTTGACTAACTAAAAATTCTCTATATATCTTTGACAGAGTACAAGTTCTCAGTGTCTTTGAGTAAGTAAAACTTCTCTATATTTATTTGACTGAGCTATTCCATACAGTTGGGAATAGTTGTGAAAGGCTTACTTTGATCTTCGTGTCCTTGGCCAACTGTATCTTGATATCTGGCATGTTGACTTCATTGTCTCCTTCATCCAATAACTGAACTATGAGGGGTCGGGGAAGTTTGTTCTCATTCAGAACAGTCACAGTCTGAAATAAAAATTTTACGTGTTCAAGTTAACAGTCTGAAAATTATATTCATAACTTCCTTCAATAGTAGGAAAGATATTAAAAAAACAGAAAAAAAAATCTACAGCCTCTACTATAGTAGGAAAGATATTTAGAAAACTGAAAACTTCTATAGCCTCACGAAATGTTACCATATAAAACAGACCTATGTATCAGATTTGAAATAACATCTATAACAGTCAGATAGTTTAGACCTGATGCTCAAAACTGTATTTTTTTGAGGTTTCTTGGAATCACATAGATTTCATAGATAACACTAATATTTTTATTAAACCAAAACGATAATGAAGAACCAAGCAAAGTTACTCATTTGTTTCCAACAAGTATCTCAATTATACCTTTTAATCTAAATTCTTTGAATTCTGCAGAAAATTAAATTTTTGTTGAAATCTTACCTCATCAGATTCCCACCCGGGCAATGATAGCTTTGTGGGTGGTCCAGCAGTAAGTTCCAATTTGACAAAATCCCGAAAGTCTTTCCATGCAACTTTCAGGTCTCGTATTCCTGTCTTTCCTCTCTCTAGTGTAACAGATTGTATACTGAACTTTCCCTGTAAACAACATTACAGATAGAAAAAACATCAACTCAACCATCTTATTTTTTATCAATAGTCTCTAAAGAGGTGAAAACATTCGCAAATCCTTCTCTAATTCATCTTTACTATTTATCTGGCAACAGGATATACGGTCAACAGACTTTCCATTACAATGGACAGACTGGCCCGACTCGTTCATCAACGGCTTGTAAAAGACAGGTGTGGGGCCAAAGTTCAGTGCATTTGTATAACAGTATTGTGCTCCCCAAGAATACCAGGTCAGCTTGACAAGACCTACCTTGGAATATGTGACCTTCACCTCATCGGTTCTGAGACCATCACCACTGACCTGTACCTCTTGAGATGTATTTTTAGGCAGCTGCAATTAAAAGATATTATAATTTACAATCACATAGAATGCAGACCCCGAGAAACATAAGAAAATTACACTAGACCCCGCATATCAAATTTTTCTTTCTTCATAAATCAAGTAAAAATCACTGTATCTTATGATACAGTTGTGCATCAAATACCAGTTGATCTTTTTTTTTTTTTTTGGTTGAGAATCAATTTTCGTCAGCCATAACCCCAGGAATTTTACGCATTTATCACCGAAGTGCTCTGAGGTCACCCAGTCTCGCATGTTCAGGTTAAGTTTCACACATTATAAAAGACAAACTTGAGCGATCTAGTTACCTAGGTTGGTGGTAGTTACATCTATCAAAATAATTCCAGTCACCACCAAGGATCTAAACTAGATTCCTAATTAGGTCTAAGTATGAAAGGACTTAAAGCAGCTATATGTCTACCTTACTAGCTGTATATAGCTAGGCTATGAATGATTTTAAGCACCATTTTGTATCGTTTTTGAGTACTAAACACATTTTTGTAGATGGTCTGGTTGATTTCAATAAAATACTACCCTGTTCTAGTGTTAACACATCTGATATTGTGCTCAGAATTAAGAGTGAAAGTTTTGTGTTCTGGCTTAAACATTATTGTGCTGGAAATGAATCCCTCATCAAGCTGAAACCATGGGTTGCATGACAAAATATTACTGAAGTTTATGAGAGCAAGGTTCCAGAACAAATCTTTTCTTTTCAAGACTGATAAATAATGATAATGTATGTTACATAACAAGAGTGCCGTGGACAGAATATACGCCGCCACAAAATATGAAGTTCAAGATCAATGAAAATCTGATGATTAGTTTAGGAGGAGTTGCGTTCACAAGGCTCTACCATTAGCAAGCTACAGATACAAAGTTGAAAATGGCATAAATCTTACAAAAATCAAAGAACCAAAAAATCGCCCCTTCATGTACATCTACCCATTGTAGTGGTGACATTTTGGCAAGATTCATGAAAATCTGATGATTACTTTAGGAGGAGTTGCGTTCACAAGAAATGGACATACAGACAGACGGAGAAGATGACGCCAATATACGACCGCCTCCAGCGGCGTATAAAAATTGTAACGAATATTATATCACAATAACCTAACCTATTCTGCAGACGCTAACCAAACAAAGATCTTACATCTGTGATCTCATTGCCGAACTTGTCCTTGATTGTGACTAGAATAGGAGCATCCAGTGTCTCCCCAATACGGACCCTGTTAGATCCACTACATTTACACTTGATCTGGCTGGGGTCTGTGGGCGTAGGCCTGTAACAAAACAAAACTTTGTAGTCATCAACTTTTACTATATATTTTGTCAGGTATATTTATCAATGGAAGAGCCACAAAATAGCTTTACTTTTTTAGAAAACCATATGATTTGAGCTAAAAAGTATAAGTGATTGCATCGTAACTCCATCAATTATGATCTAGATTAAAAGAATACAGTAAAGTCTCATTAACACAAACTCATATAGCTGGAAGACTCCTTTTATGTTTAAGTATTCTGATGGTCGCAGCCAAATTTCACATTAAACATTCAAATTTTCTAAAAATCTAATATTTGGACAACTCAAAGTTTTCCGTCTGTCCCATCCACTTAGAAAGAGTGATGTTTGACTGTATTGAATGGCAATGAAATCTACATCAGCAGGAACTTATAACCATACTTACGTGACAGTGAAACTGAAGTCAATATTTGAAGAGTCCTGCACAGTAACTTGGCAGTACTTTGTGTCTTGTATGGTGGCTGGTACCTTAATATCGGGGAGGTGTCCCTCGATCACAGTGTCACGTGGAATCTTCTGAACCCAGTTAACCTGTCAAGTCAGGTATCAGTTTTATACAATGCACATCAGAACTATACAATTGAGTGTCTTTTGTGTAGTCTTCAAGACTACAGGTGATAGACATTACAGGCAGACTTTAGTCATGACTTTTCCCGTACTTTAATGTAATTTTTTAAGTCACTGGGATATTGAACATGATTCAGCATAGTCACATGTATTTGACAGTCTTTTGAACATTCAACATTGAAAATTATGGAATATATTTAATTTTAAGGGTTAGCACATCTCATCGTTTTGAATATGACACTTATTTTGAAAAATTTTGATTTTCCTCAATCATGGAATACCAAATACTTACTTTTAATTTTCCTGCCAGTTTTTCATCTATCTCTAACTTTCTTCCCGCTTCATCGAACAATGAGAAACCTAGAGTGAATTTTAAAATGAAAATAGCAGTGTCTTAAGATAGTGTTTACGCAATTTGTAAATAAGTATAAGTGAATTTTAAAATGAAAATAGCAGTGTCTTAAGATAGTGTTTATGCAATTTGTACATAAGTATAAAACTGATCAACACTTGACACTGAATGAAATGGTGATGTACGGAATGACGTCTTCTTTATTATAGTAATAACAAAAGGCCCAAGGGGCCTTAACGGTCACCTGAGGAATATATGTCAATAATCTGGGGATTTTAAAATGTTGCAAAAATGTAACGACACTTGTGCAGGACCATGTGTAAAACATCTGTACCAAGTTTGAACATGACCCACCCAATTGTTCTTGAGAGGAAGTCCATAATGTCTTAGCCAAACAGAGGTCAGGGTGGCCATTTTGGATTTTGAATCGCCCCAAAAAGTTAAAACACTTGCCAGGACCTTGTGTAGAACATTCGTATCAAGTTTCCCCTTTTCCCCCTCCTGGGGCACCTATTAGGGCCACACCCTTTTTCTTCGCAAACTTGAAGCGGTTTCCCATGGGGATGCTTTGTGCCAAGTTTGGTCAAAATCCATCCAATGGTTCATGAGAAAAAGTCATTTAAAGAAGGTTTTTACATATGGCCCCTTTTACACCCCTCATGGGTCCTTTTTTCAACATAATTTCATTTGTCCTTCACTAAGAGATGCTTTCTACCAAATTTGGTTGAAATTGGTCAAAGTTGAATTTTTGACCCTTTTGAGCGCCCCCTAGTGGGGCTGTTTTTGATCCGATTTTTTTTTTATTCGCACACTTTGTAGACCATGCCATAAGAACCCTAAATATTAAATATAAACTTAATCTGACTGTTGGTTCATGAGAAGAAGATTTTCAAAGATTTACCTAATTTTACCCCCTTTTCCCCCCTCTTGGGGCCACACCCTTTTTCTTCGCAAACTTGAAGCGGCTTCCCATGGGGATGCCTTGTGCCAAGTTTGGTCAAAATCCAATCAGTGGTTCTTGAGAAGAAGTCGAATATGTGAAAAGTTAACGACGCACGGTGACAGAGCCTTCAGCTAAGGCAACCTAAAAACCTTCCGTAAACATTAACACTAGCGTGATGTCATAGAATATCTTACTAATGTTGTTAATGTGATCCCCTGCACGGCCTATAAACATTAACGCTAGTGTTATAGAACAGAATATCTTACTAATGTTGTTACTGTGATCCCCTGCACGGCCTGTAAACATTAACACTAGTGTTATAGAACAGAATATCTTACTAATGTTGTTACTGTGATCCCCTGCACGGCCTGTAAACATTAACACTAGTGTTATAGAACAGAATATCTTACTAATGTTGTTACTGTGATCCCCCCTTCAGCCTGGTATACAACTAAAAACATTAACACTAGTGTTATAGAACAGAATATCTTACTAATGTTGTTAATGTGATCCCCTGCTCGGCCTGTTATGGAACTGCCTGACTTCAGCATGGTTATCTTTCCATCATCCTTCAGCATCCGTACCTGGATACTTGCCACACGGTTGCTAGGTAACATCTTAATAAATCTCTCCACTACACCAACCTGCTTGTGATTCTGGAACAAGTCACAAAAGATGTTTGATTAACAATTGAAAAAGCTCAACTGTACATCAGACAGGTGAGAGAAAACTCAACAAGAAGTTTAAGACAGCATATCAATTAGTCACTAAACCAAAGATAGAGAAGTAAATCTGTTTCAATATATGCAAAGGGATAATTCATTTTATAATGAACTGATGATCTATCAACCCATAAATTTAGGCCAGATCAGCCCAAGTACTTCAAAAATTTATCATTAATTACAATATTTTTTTTAGTATAAAAAAATCAATAAGAATTTATTTGAATAGATTTGGAAAGCTTCAAAATAAATGAATATTTGTTTTCACTTCAAAATAAGACCAAAGTACTCCAAATCTCTATTTGAGTGTAGATTATAATTGTTTACTCTAAAATGTCATAGCTGATAGTCTATGACCTGAAGACTTACCTGGTGTTCTATCATAGCTTTGAGTGTCTGATAGTCTTTGACCTGAAGACTTACCTGGAGCTCTATCATAGCTGAGTGTCTGATAGTCTTTGACCTGAAGACTTACCTGGAGTTCTATCATAGCTTTGAGTGTCTGATAGTCTTTGACCTGAAGACTTACCTGTAGTTCTATCATAGCTGTGAGTGTCTGATAGTCTTTGATCTGTTTCAAGTTGATGGGGTCTCCAGTCAATGTACCTGTCCCACTCCCAGAACAATCTAGCGTATATGTGGGTAATCCTGACACCCCAGCAAACTGTACACACAAAGAGTTCAATACCAGACTAGAAAATGTTTGTAACACCTGCATGTCAGTATCTTTGTTTGATGAATTTGAAGATGTCAAATGAGACCTTTGACTTTTAATCATGTGAAAATATTGGCAAATTGTAAAAAACGTAGGTAAAATTTACAGAACGGAACAAACAGGTATTGATATGTCTTACAGGTAAACCAAAGTGACAGAACAAACAAGTATTGATATCATGTCAATTAGTTTGATAATGAGTTATGTCCTACTTCGAGTTAAACATCAGAGAGTACATCCTTAAAACTTACCTTACATGTGATGATGAGTTTGGCATCACTGGTGGGATTACCGGCCTGGTCCCGTACCTCTACATTATAAGCCACAGCCTTACCGTTTTCAATCTCTAGCTCCTTGTCACAATCTACAAACAGGCTGTGAGGGGGACCTAAAACATTATGTACAAATGTTATGCTATATTACAGTTCAAGTTGTCTAATCCGGTAATACATGTGATGTGGAAATCTGCTTAAACTTTCTTCAACTTTACTAATTATCAAATCTTTGTATGATGTGCATTATGTTTTTGAGAAATGAAAATTTCTTTAAAAATGTCCATTATATGAGCAAATTTGCAGTTAAATATTTCTTGTGCTTGTTTTGTGGTACTATTTATAATTGGTTTTCCTATGCTAACATTTCAGACAACAAGGTAATGGAGATAGAAACTGCTTCACAAGTATTTCACTAAAAAATGTGACAGAGATCTGTACTGACAAAGTGATTTAAATATTTACCTGGTACAGAGGTTGATCTGTACTGACACAGTTTTAGATTTACCTGGTACAGAGGTTGATCTGTACGGACACAGTTTTAGATTTACCTGGTACAGAGGTTGATCTGTACGGACACAGTTTTAGATTTACCTGGTACAGAGGTTGATCTGTACTGACAGTTTTAGATTTACCTGGTACAGAGGTTGATCTGTACTGACACAGTTTTAGATTTACCTGGTACAGAGGTTGATCTGTACTGACAGTTTTAGATTTACCTGGTACAGAGGTTGATCTGTACTGACAGTTTTAGATTTACCTGGTACAGAGGTTGATCTGTACTGACAGTTTTAGATTTACCTGGTACAGAGGTTGATCTGTACTGACAGTTTTAGATTTACCTGGTACAGAGGTTGATCTGTACTGACAGTTTTAGATTTACCTGGTACAGAGGTTGATCTGTACTGACAGTTTTAGATTTACCTGGTACAGAGGTTGATCTGTACTGACAGTTTTAGATTTACCTGGTACAGAGGTTGATCTGTACTGACAGTTTTAGATTTACCTGGTACAGAGGTTGATCTGTACTGACAGTTTTAGATTTACCTGGTACAGAGGTTGATCTGTACTGACAGTTTTAGATTTACCTGGTAAAAGCCTAATCTTGAGTGTCTGACTGTCTTGTTCCAGTCCTGGTACTTTAATGGTCATGATGAAACTCTGAAATCATATCAATAAACACCTAAATATAACAGTATCACATCTCTTTTTCTTTAATATTGAAGAAATTTAATTAATATCATAGTAACTTGTTCACTGGTACATGTGACTGGTGTCTTCAGTAATGTTTCCACAATTAATGACACATAAATACTTATTTTAATAAACAACACTTGTACTCTGGACTCACCTTTCCAGCACTACCAGCTACACTTCCTTTGGCCACAATCCCCTTGATGATTAAGTTAAAACCTTTCACCTGTGTTGACTCATAACTCAGCTCTAGTCCACTGTAAAATAAGTCACCATTGTCAGTTTGTATTCACTAAACTCTTCAATGCTTTAACCCTTTCGGCGCCGTAGGCAACTAAAGTTGACATGCAGACAGGCCGCCGTTGGCAACTAAAGGCGACAGGCCACCGTAGGCGATTAAAATCAACATGCAGACAGGCCGCCGTAGGCAACTAAAGTAGACATGCAGACAGGCTGACGTAGGCGACTTTAGTCGACAATTTTTGCCATTGTTTCGGATCTTTTTCGGAAAATATTTGGCGCCGAGCTGTACATTGTGAGAAATATTTGGCGCCGAAAGGGTAAAGAAACACAGCCTAAAGTTTATGGAGTAAGACAAATGAGAAGAGAGTACCTTGTTCTAAGGCATATAAGCATAACAGTACCTTGCCTCCACTTCATACCAGTCAAACAGTACTTAGATTGTTTTTGTGTAAGCGGATGAAACGAATAAACCAGCTGAACCTGCATGAGAAATGCTAGGGACAGATCAGGACTGAAAGTGGACTAAGGAATGTTTACCACTTGCTGTTGGAGAAGTTCAGTCATTCATATCCAACACTAACTTGTTAACTATAATTAGTTGCTTAGAATTTCATCATTAGCCAGATTCAGTGCCCACATATATTTTTAGAAATGTTAAGCTAATAAGTAAAAGTTAAAATGGATGACATTTTATTTTTGGTTAATTATTTATGTTTGAAAGGAAATTCTGAAATTGCATTTTCAGCATTCCGTAAATTAGTTCCAATATTTGGTATAGATGAATTAGTTTATCATGGACTACTTCTGTGCCACCTACACACTTTCAACCAGGTTATGCAAAAGCGGTACCAGCTTCCAATTCATACCACAGTCACACAATACCTAGCCTCCAGTTCATACCACAGTCACACAGTACCTAGCCTCCAATTCATACCACTGTCACACAGTACTAAGCCTCAGTTCATACCACTGTCACACAGTACCTAGCCTCCAGTTCATACCACTGTCACACAGTACCTAGCCTCCAGTTCATACTACAGTCACACAGTACCTAGCCTCCAGTTCATACTACAGTCATACAGTACCTAGCCTCCAGTTCATACTAGTCATACAGTACCTAGCCTCCAGTTCATACCACTGTCATACAGTACCTAGCCTCCAGTTCATACTAGTCATACAGTACCTAGCCTCCAGTTCATACTAAAGTTATACAGTACCTAGCCTCCAGTTCATACCACTGTCATACAGTACCTAGCCTCCAGTTCATACTACTGTCATACCGTACCTAACCTCCAGTTCATACTACAGTCATACAGTACCTAGCCTCCAGTTCATACTACTGTCATACAGTACCTAGCCTCCAGTTCATACCACTGTCACACAGTACCTAGCCTCCAGTTCATACTACAGTCATACAGTACCTAGCCTCCAGTTCATACCACTGTCATACAGTACCTAACCTCCAGTTCATACTACAGTCATACAGTACCTAGCCTCCAGTTCATACCACTGTCACACAGTACCTAGCCTCCAGTTCATACCACTGTCATACAGTACCTAGCCTCCAGTTCATACTACAGTCATACAGTACCTAACCTCCAGTTCATACTACAGTCATACAGTACCTAGCCTCCAGTTCATACCACTGTCACACAGTACCTAGCCTCCAGTTCATACCACTGTCACAGAGTACCTAGCCTCCAGTTCATACCACTGTCATACAGTACCTAACCTCCAGTTCATACCACTGTCACACAGTACCTAGCCTCCATTTCATACCCCTGTCATACAGTACCTAGCCTCCAGTTCATACTATAGTCACACAGTACCTAACCTCCAGTTCATACTACAGTCACACAGTACCTAACCTCCAGTTCATACCCCTGTCATACAGTACCTAGCCTCCAGTTCATACTATAGTCATACAGTACCTAGCCTCCAGTTCATACCACTGTCACACAGTACCTAGCCTCCAGTTCATACTACAGTTATACAGTACCTAGCCTCCAGTTCATACCACTGTCACACAGTACCTAGCCTCCAGTTCATACTACAGTTATACAGTACCTCGCCTCCAGTTCTGGAGAAAACTTGATGGATGGTTTACTGTGATTGTTAAACTCATCCTGAAACTCCAATGGAATCTGGAACGGAACACCAACTCTGAACGGTCCATCTAACATTCCGACAGTGAACTTCTCTGGTTCAGCCTCTATAAATTACAAAAAGATCTCAGCAGCTAATAGGATTATCATGTAGATGTTAATGTCAAACACCAAACTTAATCTTTCAGCTACTGACAACATGTTTTTACAAAGTAAGCACTGGCACATCTGAAGCCCTTGACTTTTTCAACTGATATAATATAAACTTCTGGAACTAGATATTTTGACTTATACTAATCACTCTTGTTGGCCTGCATGTAAGGGCACAAACGGTTTTCTTGTGGGAGGAAAATGGAGTACCTGGAGAAAACTCACGTGGTTAGGCAGGTGACTCCTTACCTGATGTCCATTCCAGGAACTGAACCCTGGATGGCTAGGTGAAAGGTAGGTGCATTACCACTGTGTCACCTGACCACCCAGATTTCTTCTGATCAAAATCTATTGGTTTTTATTTTTAGATATCTTGTACACAATCTCTTTATTTCAACAATGGTCAACAGTGACATTTGACCTTTAACCTTGACCGATGACCATCAGAATCTAATCTGGTGTTAAGACACTATGGTGTGAATATTAACTAAATCCGTTCACGATATATCTCCTACACAAGGTTATCAAGAATGAACAGACGGACAGATGAAATGACTAACTACCCTACCTTACCTTAATCAGGGGTATAAAAAAACAAGCACTAATATTTCAGTAATTTCAACACTTGATCTCACCAATATTTAGTTTTGGAGACCTTACTGTTAATAATATTTATGACATCATTAAAGTGACACTCAAACACTTGTATTGTCATGAGCAACATTTAAATAGAACTGTGATCTGAAAAAAATGATCGCAAATTTATGTGATTTTATAAGTGACAGTCTTGTCAGATTTGTGATCTCGTCAGTAACATTTATATGATATTACCAATGACATTTAAACATTTCTGTGATCTCACCTGTACAGCCACTTAAATGTTCTCACCTGTGACATGGAACTTGATCTTGTATGAGGGTAGTTGTTTACCAGCATAGGTATTAGCTCCACTCTCATTCAAAACCACTTGTAATGATAAAGTATGGGGTCCTAGGTTCTTTATGTTCTCTGTGGGAGATCAACATAGCAATATATAGTATCAACTGATAAAAAATAAATCATTATTGTGTCAGACCTACACAGAGCCTAGTGTTGTGAAAATGTTTCTCAACAACAATTCAAATCTGGATTTACTTTGGATATCCTAAGATACTAAGTTAGTAATTTACTTTTTTCTGAACCAGTAACTCCAGTTCTTGTGTTTATAATGTGTTTAAATCCCATTTTTCTGAACCAGTACCGCCAGTTCTTGGTTTATGTGTTTAAAACCATTTTTCTGAACCAGTACAGCCAGTTCTTGTGTTTATTATGTCTAAGACCCATTTTTCTGAGCCAGTACAGCCAGTGCTTGTGTTTATAATGTGTTTAAAACCATTTTTCTGAACCAGTACAGCCAGTTCTCGTGTTCGTAATGTGTTAAAAACCAATTTTTCTGAACCAGTACAGCCAGTTCTTGTGTTTATTATGTCTAAGACCCATTTTTCTGAGCCAGTACAGCCAGTGCTTGTGTTTATAATGTGTCTAAGACCCATTTTTCTGAGCCAGTACAACCAGTTCTCGTGTTCGTAATGTGTTAAAAACCAATTTTTCTGAAACCCACTTAACCAGTACAGCCAGTTCTAGTGTTGCAATGTGTTAAAAACCCATTTTTCTGAGCCAGGTGTTTCCTATTTTTATCCATCAGTTCTTGCTGAGTTTATAATGAGTTACATACCCATCTTTCTAAACCAATAAGGCCAGTTCTTTCCATGTTGACTAATATGTGACACCATGACTTCATCACCACTGCTAGCTGTTCAAAGGAAAATATTGTGAATGAACTACAAACAATATCAAAGAAGTTTTATCAGCCAATCCTTCCTGAAAAGTTGTTTTAATACATTGCTTATCTGATTGAATGAACCAATACTTTACCAACACTTTACATATATTTCAAGTACCCTTCACCAACATTTTACCAATATTTAATGAACACTTTACCAATACTTTACCACCCCTTTACCAATATTTTTTGAACACTTTACCAATGCTGAACCAATACTTTTCCAATATCATAAAAAGTCCTAAAATGCAGGAAAACCCATAAACTGCAGGTTATTACAAAACATGAAATTTTGTTTCAAAGAATGTTGAAAAATAACCAATCAAATACTATGCAAGTAACAATTTATAAAAAATGCTCCAAGTTCAGAACCACTCAAACCTATTCAGGAAAAGAACAAGATGCTATGATGCGTTAGAGGAGTTGTTGCCCTTGTTATTTGTGCCATTAGGATAAATGATCAAAAAATTGAGCAATGGAATCTGAGTATTTAGTGTGAAACTTTAGCAGTATTAAAAATGATAAACTTTGTCTACTTACAGTGCCACACAACCTTGAGCTCTACAAGGAGTTTCTTGGACACTACTGCAGTCCCTGGGAGCTTGCTGATCAGCTCACCTTTCTTGTTAGCAATCTGGACTTTGATGTCGCCTGTAAATATATATTTTTTAATTAATTACCTGAACACTGACACAAATTTAGTATCTAGATGGATATTTTAGATAAAGGACCATACCCACTGTTTTTCCTGCAGGTCGTCTCTCATTCTGTTTCACTTCATAACCCTCTGGCCAGTTCACGATCAGAGTAGATGGTAATCTATAACGATAAATAAATAGAAATTAACTGAATTCTTTTACCTGAACAATTTAAATTCCATTAAAACAAATTCAAATTTCAACAAAGTTTAAAAAAAGAAAAAATTCATCTGCATTTATCATCAGATAGAGGCCTTTAGAAACATGTTTAAGAATGAGTACTTCCAGACTTTGATTTTAAATCAAACAGACGTCGACCAGCAGAGTCTACCACATGCAATCATGAAAACTGTACAAAGGGTGAATAGCACTATCTAATTATATATCTTGGAAATATTTTAAAATAATTGATAATGTTGAACTATTTGGGCTCACATCTGTCCTCAGTATTATATATGTGCAGGTGATATAATACAACTGGAGTCTCCAGATTATTAAAACAATGTTGTCAGAAGATTTTAACAAATGCTTTTCCAGGACAAAAACCCACTTGCCAATCCAGCAGGTGAGCTGCTAAGAAACTACATAGTGGTTTATGGTGTTGAACTATATGGCTAAGAAATAATGGACTGAATAATAGTTTAAAATATCTTCCTACTTGGCCTCCTCCTCGTCAATGTGTCTACGGACCGCCTGTGAGGAACAGCTACGGTCAAGCTTCGACAGGGGTACAATTTTCTCATCATCGTAGAGGGACTTTGGTTCCTGGCTGACCTCAATATCACCTCCTGTTGCATATACATCATTGTCATTCTCTCCGTACAGCAGGAAACGTTTGATGGTACCTAGTAGCATTGGCACAGTCCGCTGTATCCTCACCTAAACACAGTTGATCTCATTGCAGCTTGTGATATATCAAATTTAGCATCATATAGCCCAGAGTTCAAACATATGAACTCTGACTGAAAGTCATGGGGTGGGCTTATTACAGGATAAAGAGAGTACTAATATTTCCATACCATATAACTTACATCAGAATGATGTTTCCTTTTAAAAACATATTTCTTGGCAAAGAATGCTTTCATTTGCTTTTGTTTTTTCCAGTTTGAAATGCTTGTGAAAATATCGTTGATTTACAATTCACTGAATTATGATTTTTTAAAAAATATTTTGTTTGCGTTAAGTATTTGCCAACAAATTTCACAGAGTGTTGAACTGGAGAATTTCAATTGAAAAAGAATACCATATTTTCCGAATTACAAGCTGACCTATTATTCTTGTGAGTCAGGCATGCAGCTTACACAAAAAAAAAAAACAAACAAAAAAAGATCAGAAAGCATACTAGTACGAGACTGAACTGAGTTTTTTTACAGGTACCCCTGCCCGTCACGTGTTTGTGACTGAAACAGATCATCTACAGCCGTCATTTGCAATCTTATACAGGATGATTTGAAGTAACATTCTAGTTGATTTAATTAATCATACTTTTTGATACAAATCACATGAACATCTTCTAATCTTTTGCGGTTACTTCGAAGCCATAGCAGAAGTTTACAATAGCCTTTTTCCATCCTGGGTTCAAAAGGTCAAATACTAGGCCGACAGCAATGCTTGTTTATGATGTGAATGACTTTGTGTAACTTTGTGGATCAAATCAACAAAAAATTGGTAAAAATTGACTCTGCAGGTTATAACCTGAAAATATGGTAATATTATACAACTCCCAGTCTTCAAGGTTAAAAATATGACAATCTAAAAGGAGATATTCTACATTTGATTACTGATGGAGAAGCCTTATGATAATCATATTTTCTTTTATTCAGACAGACAAAGTCTCCTTTTAAGAGCACAATAACAAAAGGACATCTGTAAAGATTGACCCTTGACCCTTACCAATTGACCTTTCTTGAAGACCTTGCCATCCCAGTCCACCTGTTCGTAAACAGACCAGGGAAACTGTTTGTGTTTGGGTAGGTCTTGGCGAGTCACAACACCTTTGAAGTGTGAGAAACGTATCTGTTTATCACTCTGATCATGGCATTCCTTTAGCCAAGCCACAAACTCCCGATCTATAGCTGTTCTCCGCTCCTGAAAAATCAAACAAATGCCAAATTCATACCTACAGCACACTGTTAGCCATCACTGACTTTACTTCAATGCGAGGTTATTTTATGTCCTATTCCTGTGATATTTGTACTTTCTTTCTCTTTTATGACATATTTTGTTTTCATTGTAAAGCTGTTAAGACCTCCACTATTCTTTTCAAATATTTGATTTTGTTCATTGACATATAACATTCAGATTAGTTATATGATAAAAGTACGCAAAATTATACGACAGTATATCAATATAGTTTCCACAATGACCAATGTGCTTAAAAAATTACATGCAAATAAATCTCTCGTACTGAGAGACTGATCACATCAAGATGGCATGACATGAACAGAGGGGCAAGTATGGATTGGATTTCCATGCCATCCTGTTGTCTTTGACAGAACTCTAATAAAATTGTTATATATATTTTAAACATTATCTTTGACACTACCACAAGGCAAGTACTTGAAAAGAGAATTACTATTCATTTTAGCATCATTGTAAATCTCACTATGAAGCTCTGACTTTCGTGAAAATGCAAAGTTATATATAGATACGAATATATCTACAGAAATCAAAGATAGGGTACTTCACCCTCTGTAGGCTGAATGCTGTAAAACATTTATGTCAATGTCCATACTATCATTATTGGTACTTGTATGAGGGAGCACTTTTACTGTATAATTTTAATCAGGTGGTATTGTTGAGGTGCAGTGGTAAATATGTTACATTGGAGCAAGAACTAGTAGAAACATTCCTGGCATTCTAACCACTTGAAATTCTCACTCCTAAAATTGATTTCATATTAATACAACATTTCTAAAGCATGTTGGTGTTCCAACATTTCTGTAGTAAGACCTCTATTGTAGAAAAGTATGCAGTAACTCATAGATTCAAAAGTATAGGATCACCATGTGTGTAATAGTGTAGTGTGCTTCATCACCACAACCTTGATATGTCCCCACTGACAACATATTCAACAGTGCTGTTCTCTGGTCAAAACAACAAGTTATAATGATGACTCTCAATGTCTTACAAGTTCCTAACATTTCTGAGAATTTTTTTAGGCACACTGGAATGAGTAATAACATATATGTATGGTTTCGGGGTCCAAAAATAAAAATTACTGCTAACAGTTCCCTTACCTGTCCATTGACGAGATGTGAATACACAGTGTTCTTCTCTCGTAATCTCATTTCCAGGTCAATAAACGTGAGCTTATTGGTGCTCACCTGGAAATGGTCATTTGTAAACAACACCCCGGATATTCTAAAAATACAAATTGAAATTAGTTCAGTTCATTTCACTAAGGTCAAATTTGGGTAGGTATCATATTTAAATATGTCAAAATGTTGTTTAATGTCACTTTTTGGTTGAGATGTTGATTCACTAAGGTAAAACTGCTTATTGTCACTGTTTAGTTAATATCATGTTACACTAAAATCAGGTTGTTTAATGTCACTTTTTTGGTTAATATCATGATTCACAGATGCCATATTGTTTGATGTATTTTTTCATATTAATATTGTGTTTCACTAAGGTCAAAATATCAAATACCAACTCTAGGTTAATACATCTGTATATTATATCTTACTAAAATCAGGTTGTTTAATGTCACTTCTTGGTTGAATAAGGATCATATTTCAAGTGAAAAAAAAAGAAAAAACAAAGTTAAATAAAAATTAATATAAAATAAACAAGAGGTCGACTGTCCTTAACCATCACTTGAGATAGATACATTCTCAAACCTTTGATGTTATGACATGTCAAAGAAATGATCCTGTGAACAAACTAAGGTAACTATATAATACATGTGATGTAAATGTAAAATGTGCAAAACAAACTGCTAACCCAAATAAACAACCTGAGTAAGTTTCCTATGTAAAACAAAATACAATTTATCCCCTCCCCTGGGTAATGTAAGGCCCTGGGGTCATGAAATTCACAACTTTGGCAAATCACCCTTACACCATTTTACCCAAGAAGACTAAATGATATTACCATATCTGGGTACTGAGAAGATTTTTGAGTCTATTTGATCCTTTTTTGTCCTGTCAATCTTAGGGGATCAGTCAAGGTCAACATAAGCTTTACATCATATTGTCATCCTACAGTAATAATTCTACCCAAGATGGAAATATTTCCAATGGAAATTTATCGAATTATGTGCAAAAATGTAACATATTTAACGGGTCATAAGGTGCAGCTTTTTTCCTCGGCGGCTTATATACTGGTGCAGCTTATATGTGGACAAAAAAGATCTGCAGAATGAAAAAATTAAAGTCATGAGTCAGAACAGGGAAATTGAATAATTTAAATGCAGTGACTTGAAAGCACCATCCTGATTGGTCAAAACTATCAATTAAAAGCATCACTGAAACAATTACATCATCACTAGTCACATAATCATTTATCATCACTGTATAAGTTTTTATCAAATCAATATATTCCAATTCTTCACTGGCAAAAGATTTTGCGTAATGTCAAATCATCCTAACACAATGTCAAATATCGTTATATAAGGTCAAATGTCCTAACACAATGTCAAATATCATTATATAAGGTCAAATCATCCTAACACAATGTCAAATATCATTATATAAGGTCAAATGTCCTAACACAATGTCAAATATCATTATATAAGGTCAAATCATCCTAACACAATGTCAAATATCGTTATATAAGGTCAAATCATCCTAACACAATGTCAAATATCGTTATATAAGGTCAAATGTCCTAACACAATGTCAAATATCATTATATAAGGTCAAATCATCCTAACACAATGTCAAATATCATTATATAAGGTCAAATGTCCTAACACAATGTCAAATATCATTATATAAGGTCAAATCATCCTAACACAATGTCAAATATCGTTATATAAGGTCAAATCATCCTAACACAATGTCAAATATCGTTATATATGGTCAAATGTCCTAACACAATGTCAAATATCGTTATATAAGGTCAAATCATCCTATCACAATGTCAAATATCATTATATAAGGTCAAATCATCCCAACACAATGTCAAATATTGTTATATATGGTCAAATCATCCTAACACAATGTCAAATATCGTTATATAAGGTCAAATCATCCTATCACAATGTCAAATATCATTATATAAGGTCAAATCATCCCAACACAATGTCAAATATCGTTATATAAGGTCAAATCATCCCAACACAATGTCAAATATCATTATATAAGGTCAAATCATCCCAACACAATGTCAAATATCGTTATATAAGGTCAAATCATCCCAACACAATGTCAAATATCGTTATATAAGGTCAAATCATCCCAACACAATGTCAAATATCATTATATAAGGTCAAATGTCCTAACACAATGTCAAATATCATTATATAAGGTCAAATCATCCTATCACAATGTCAAATATCGTTATATATGGTCAAAAGTCCTAACACAATGTCAAGTATCATTATATAAGGTCAAATGTCCTAACACAATGTCAAATATCGTTATATAAGGTCAAATCATCCCAACACAATGTCAAATATCATTATATAAGGTCAAATCATCCTATCACAATGTCAAATATCATTATATAAGGTCAAATCATCCTAACACAATGTCAAATATCATTATATAAGGTCAAATCATCCTATCACAATGTCAAATATCATTATATAAGGTCAAATCATCCCAACACAATGTCAAATATCATTATATAAGGTCAAATGATCCTAACACAATGTCAAATATCGTTATATAAGGTCAAATCATCCTAACACAATGTCAAATATCATTATATAAGGTCAAATGTCCTAACGCAATGTCAAATATCGTTATATAAGGTCAAATCATCCTAACACAATGTCAAATATCATTATATAAGGTCAAATGTCCAAACACAATGTCAAATATCATTATATAAGGTCAAATGTCCTAACACAATGTCAAATATCGTTATATAAGGTCAAATCATCCTAACACAATGTCAAATATCATTATATAAGGTCAAATGTCCTAACGCAATGTCAAATATCATTATATAAGGTCAAATCATCCTAACACAATGTCAAATATCATTATATAAGGTCAAATGTCCAAACACAATGTCAAATATCATTATATAAGGTCAAATGTCCTTACACAATGTCAAATATTGTTATATATGGTCAAATCATCCTAACACAATGTCAAATATCATTATATAAGGTCAAATGTCCTTACACAATGTCAAATATTGTTATATATGGTCAAATCATCCTAACACAATGTCAAATATCATTATATAAGGTCAAATGTCCTAACACAATGTCAAATATCGTTATATAAGGTCAAATGTCCAAACACAATGTCAAATATCATTATATAAGGTCAAATGTCCTTACACAATGTCAAATATTGTTATATATGGTCAAATCATCCTAACACAATGTCAAATATCGTTATATAAGGTCAAATCATCCTAACACAATGTCAAATATCATTATATAAGGTCAAATCATCCTAACACAATGTCAAATATCATTATATAAGGTCAAATCATCCTAACACAATGTCAAATATCATTATATAAGGTCAAATCATCCTAACACAATGTCAAATATCATTATATAAGGTCAAATGTCCTTACACAATGTCAAATATTGTTATATATGGTCAAATCATCCCAACACAATGTCAAATATCATTATATAAGGTCAAATCATCCTAACACAATGTCAAATATCATTATATAAGGTCAAATCATCCTAACACAATGTCAAATATCATTATATAAGGTCAAATCATCCTAACACAATGTCAAATATCATTATATAAGGTCAAATCATCCTAACACAATGTCAAATATCATTATATAAGGTCAAATGTCCTAACACAATGTCAAATATCGTTATATAAGGTCAAATCATCCTAACACAATGTCAAATATCATTATATAAGGTCAAATGTCCTTACACAATGTCAAATATTGTTATATATGGTCAAATCATCCCAACACAATGTCAAATATCATTATATAAGGTCAAATCATCCTAACACAATGTCAAATATCATTATATAAGGTCAAATCATCCTAACACAATGTCAAATATCATTATATAAGGTCAAATGTCCTTACACAATGTCAAATATTGTTATATATGGTCAAATCATCCCAACACAATGTCAACTATCATTACAAGAGGTTAATTCATCCTAATAATGTCCAATATCCTTATATAAGGTCAAATGTCCTCAAACAATTATAAATTGCATCATTTTAAGCCCACATTTTGAGGCAATATAGACTTTTGTGTCACAGAACACATTTTTAACCTGTGTTACCACATTCTCAATATTCCAGGGGTTACGATTACTTTCCCTCTCTGCACCCTTGGAACATGACATGGCAAAAATGAAGGTTCCAAGTGTGACATCTCTTTGGCAAGATAAAAAGACTAAAACAATCTTTGATGTACATCAAACAAACCTTAGGTCACATTACGGTATATTGTAATACCTTTGAAGTAGGGTGTCCCTCCTTTGTCATCTTAAAAACAAAGGTTTCAGTCTGTGATTGGTTAGTTTTTTTCTTCTTGAACCAATTAAATTGCTTGGCTTGTGCCTTCAATTTTGCCATGACATGTTCCAGGAGTGCAGAGAGCAAAAGTGATCTTAACCCCTGGAGTATTGAGGATGGTGTCACCTAGATAAGCATGAAAGTCCATTGATCATTTAGACAATGGTATCTCACCTGTTATAACATTCCAACGGTACAGCTCTACTCTTCTTTGGTTCAGCGCACCAATCAAAACTGCAACAGACAGATATTTGTATGAATTTTCACTTATATAAGAATCAATTTGACAGAAAGTATAATACAATGAGTGACGACCATATCGCATTTAAGCCTTCGTATGTGATCTTACTTCTCTATAAAAGTATAAGGAATCAGACGGCCATTCCAGTAACATTCAAACACCGGTCGTCTCCCTCTAGCTGGCCGGTCGTTGATGGCATAGTCATGGTCATCAAAAGCTTCTGGTTCAACTGTAACAGTAACAAAACCAGTACAAGCAGTGGTCATGTGTTAATTCATTGATATTTTGAATAATGTGACACAATTGACAATGGATTATGATTTCTGAATCATGCAAGATAATTTTTTACTGGGGCTCTCCTGGCCTCGCACCAACTTATATGTTTATATATAAGTATATATCAGAATAAGTTCAAACCACATGTCAAATCAAGCTAGTGCTTTCATCTAGGAATCTTCATAATGCTTAATAATTGATATATATCAGGGTTTTCCATAATTTTGTTAGTAGTAGGCTGTGTAGTGAAAGTAGGAGGCTGGCCTGCCGTGTACGTGTAGTCGTGTACGGAACATTATTACGGAACTGGATTGGTGTAGGCAGCCAAATGATCAAAGTAGCCGGTCAAATTGGCCGGCGACCGGCTCTTATGGAAAACCCTGTATATACATATTTACTTAGGTTGCTAGACCTGAAACTACTGTGTTGATTTTATCTTTTTTATTTATTCCTTTTAAGATGTTCCTTAATTAACTAATTGCAATATCAATAAATGAATTGTGAGAAAACACTATTGTGGATGATTATTAGTGAAGAAATCGTCTATAAGTATGATTCATGTCAGCAGTTTACCAATTGGTGCACAAAGGAATTACTGTACCCATGAACCTGTGGAAATGGACTACAGTATAATATTCTTGACTAACAGTACTTGTATATGATTCATGTCAGCAGTTTACCAATTGGTGCACAAAGGAATTACTGTACCCATGAACCTGTGGAAAGAGACTACAGTATAATATTCTTGACTAACAGTACTTGTATCAGTATATTGTAGTTCTACTGTAACCTTTTCTATGACTAGTACATACTTCTCGGATCATTGGCGTCAGAAGGATAGGTCTCTCGATCATACAAAAAAGGGTGATACCTAAGCACACCCTCCACAACACCCGAACCCTCCACACTGGCTTTGAACTCAAAGGAGTTGGCTGCAGTGCGTATGAACTGGGTCTGCATGTCATCGTCTACATCTCGTAGATTAACAACACGTGGTTGGGGGTGACCCTTTGTAAACAACTTCACCTAGAAAAAAGATAAGATATGAAACTGAATGCAATGTAATACATCCTCAATTGAAAAAAAAAGTCTGAAGTGATCAGGATTACATTACATCATACTAAGGGTGAAGTATGTTATGTAAAACCTTGTCGGTATGGATTTATTTTCTATAAATAGTAAAGGTAAGAGTAACATTGGAGACTCGAAACAGAAACACAAACAGTGATGAGAGGACAGTTTAGGGTATCTATTTCAATATTGTGCTCAGAGAGAATATGATTTATAAAAGACAGTACTTCAACTTTTGACCGTGACAGTTGACACCTAAAAGTATACAACATAAGTGAGTTATTCCCCACTTACTCACTCTGTACAGACTCTCTGACAGTGACTCATTCCTTACTTACTCACCCTGTACAGACTCTCTGACTGTGACTCATTCCTTACTTACTCTGTACAGACTCTCCAACAGTGACTCATTCCTTACTTACTCACTCTGTACAGACTCTCTGACAGTGACTCATTCCTTACTTACTCACCCTGTACAGACTCTCCAACAGTGACTCATTCCTCATTCACCCTGTACAGACTCTCCAACAGTGACTCATTCCTTACTCACTCACTCTGTACAGACTCTCCAACAGTGACTCATTCCTTACTCACTCACTCTGTACAGACTCTCTGACAGTGACTCATTCCTTACTTACTCACCCTGTACAGACTCTCTGACAGTGACTCATTCCTTACTTACTCACTCTGTACAGACTCTCTGACAGTGACTCATTCCTTACTTACTCACCCTGTACAGACTCTCTGACAGTGACTCATTCCTTACTTACTCACTCTGTACAGACTCTCCGACAGTCACTCATTCCTTACTCACTCACTCTGTACAGACTCTCCAACAGTGACTCATTCCTTACTTACTCACCCTGTACAGACTCTCTGACAGTGACTCATTCCTTACTCACTCACTCTGTACAGACTCTCCGACAGTCACTCATTCCTTACTCACTCACTCTGTACAGACTCTCCAACAGTGACTCATTCCTTACTTACTCACCCTGGACACACTCTTCAACAATGACTCATTCCTTACTTACTCACCCTGTACAGACTCTCCAACAATGACTCAATCCCCTCTCACTTTTTTACCCTGTACAGACTCTCCAACAGTGACTCATTCCTCACTCACATTGTACAGACTCCCCAACAATGACTCATTTACCTCTCCGTTTTTCATCCTGTAAAGACTCTCCAACAATTTCCCATTCCCTCATCTTTGGAAGACTCTCCAATCTTGTTCTATTTCCTATTCTCAAACTCTGTGGAGACTCTCCAATTCTGACCCATTCCCCACGCCCTCATCCTTGACAATTCTCTAATCATGACTTTGTAAAACTCTCTCTCCAATCATAAAACATTTACAAGTCATTTATTCATCAAAGAAAGTGAAAATCACCACATCAACATAATGCTATGATCTCAGAAACGATCTTACAACGACAATATTATGACAAAAAAAACACTGAATGAAAAAATGACCCATTCTCCACTCCCTCATCCTTGACAATTCTTTAATCATGACTTTGTAAAACTCACTCTCCGATCATAAACATCCCCTATTCCCTCTCTCGGTAGTGGCCATCTTACCATGACCCATTCCCTATCCCTTCAAAAACATGACTGATCATTGTATTGTTTTTATCAAACAAAGGATCTTTAGTTAAGCTTTTAATTACTTACCTCAATGTCAATGTTTTTGAAGGGACTTGGAGTTCTGCCGGAGTTTGTTTCTTCTGTGTCAGCATTTCCCCTTGGTCCATGAATGTAGTAATGGTAGATATGCCTATAATACAGAAACCACAATCAGACCCTGACTTCCCCATTCATAATAACAGGGCTCTCACACCCCATTTTGGGACTGGGGCCCTTAGAATTGGGAAAAATAATGGTGTTTTCCTTAGAATTCGGAAAACTTCGGGTCTAAATTGGGAAAAAATTCCCCAAATCTGGCAGATCAAGAGCCCTGAACAACTTCTCTTAAACACAGTTTGAAGTTTAATTATTTATTAAACATTTGCAGTTATGGAAATGACTTTGGTTCTCTATATAAATTTTCTAAGTACACTGATGTCTTTTCCTTTTGTAACTAACTCCATTACAGCCCTACCAGACATTTATATACTATTTATCAAATAACAGGACTTTTTCCAGGTGCCCAATTGAATTTACTCAATAATATGGCCAAATACTTAAAATATATTTATTTTCAGAAAAATATCCTACCGAGGGATCCTTTTCTATTGAAAAAATGAGAACAAAAAGGTCCACTCCCAAATGAGTAGAAAAAAGGCATGAATAATGGCTATTTTCCATGATTTTATCACATTGATGTCATGAACATTACCTATATATGCTGTAGTTACAACATGTTCTAATGCTTAATAACATATTAAATCCTAAATACAATAAGATGTTCACTGAAATATACTGGAAGTATTTTTCAAGGTTTTTTGGTTTATGTCTTTCTGTTGTTTTACGGCCTTTTAATAAGCAAGAACATTTAAGGGACATGACAAGTTTGGTTGGTTGGAGGAAAGCCTACGGTGACTACCTAGCAACTGCTCAACAGAGGCATCGAACCCATGACTCCAGAAGCGAGGGTTAGTAATAAAGATGGTCGAGTGCCTTAACCGCCTGACCATCGCAGCTCCCCTCCCAACCCACCTTTTTTATCTCTCAAGGAGGTTACATGAAACAAAATATGATTTTCTCTACTAGCAGGGCTCTCACACCCCATTTTGGGACTGTGGCCCGGGGCCCTTAGAATTGGGAAAAATAATGTTCTTTTCCATAGAATTGGGAAAACTTGGGGTCTTAATTGGGAAAAAAAGACACTATTTTGCATTGGGAATTCGGCCCCAAATCTGGCAGATCGCAGTATCTTTTTCTCCATTCTAATATATCCTTAAAAGTAGGGAAAAAATAGAACACTTCAAAATTAAGACACCAGTGTATCAAACGATTGTTTAGATTTGTAGAGGTCTTACGCCAGCTGTCGTGTCCACTGCTTCATGTGCAGTTTGAGATAAGACATATGTTGCTGGTTGATTCCGTGAATTTCTACTACAGTGAAATGTTCTCGGTCTTTCTCTTCCTCGATCACCTTCCCAAGGATCTCATCCTCTGCAGCTATGTGGGATGCATCGCCAGGCTGTAAATATGAAGTACTTGTTACAAGGCATAGGCTTATTGCTTGATCAAGAGCCAACAAAAGAGTAATTGTTTTAAACTAAAATAAAACTGGCCCCTACAAAACTATGTAATTGAACTGTATGAACATCCAATCTTTAATTACCTAATACACTGAAACACCATGCAGGAGAAGGGAATGGGTCTTGAAACCAGCATTTAGGGTCTTTTTCCTGTGAATTCTGCTTTCTCTTCTACAGGATTAACATTACAGGGAGACAACTATCAGGAAATATTTTGATTTAATGCTATTTGTATTATCTTAGGTGCAATGATGCTCTAAATCATAATTTCACTGATTAAATACTATAATCTTTTGTACATAATTTGTCAGTCTACCTGTAAGGAGAGGGCTTGAATAAACTTCTTCCTGTTGTCTAACTATTTTGAATATCAATCATTTGATAAAATCTTTGTGAAACAAAATGAATCCTGATTACTTAAAGTTTGGGAAATAGAGGGTGTTATAGAAACCAACAGGATGTCTTTTTCACTTTCTTCAGACAAGTGTTCCAGTATTTTGCGCTTGCCCATGTATAGTCCATAAGATTAAAATTTATTTCTCTGTTATGAAATTTTACATGATTCAGAAACATAACAGATAATAGAGAAATTTATTAAAAACAAAAAAGAAAACAAAATAAAAACTTTAAAGCAAGTTTTAATGTGCCCTGGAACAGGCAATATAAAGAGAAGGTGGTTTTTAAACTTAATTATCCCTAAGACTGAAATGGCCAACAGAGTACTGAGTGTATATAGACAGTCAATCACAATCTATAGATATATATTTACCTGTCTGTTTCTAATGTAACCACTGTATATAGCCTCCTGATTCTTCTCTTTCATCTGGAATTCTTCTTTTGAAATAGTGAGCTCATGTACATCCTTGGATTCTTTGGGTTTTGTTATCATCTACAAAATAATACAACATTTCAGGTCTCTAAACTCAATAATAGAAGGAAAAGTTCCATCCTTGTTTTAACTTCGGGGATCAACCTACTGATATGTGTAACCCTATGTGTCCACCTCACCCACCAACCCCCAACTCCCCTCTCCTAAACAAGAGACTCATGGGTCTTAACAGTCTTCTATATATAACAGAGACCCAATAGGCTGGAATTGCTCACCTGTTCTACTGCTTACAAAGAAAGAATAACTTATTTTGTCATAAAGCCAATTTCTACTTCCTTGAAATCATTTTCCTTCTACATGCTACTACACAAATATGACAAGAACCTGCTGCTTATTGACAGAAGAAATTTTTAAGTGCTCAACACATTTGACCCCAGTGACCTTAAAAGTGGGTCAAGGTTAATCATTTGAATAGATTTGTTAGCCCTTTATACAAGACCAATATCAATATCCTGCACATTTGTTTGTTGCATGAAATTTTTAACACATTTGACCCTTGAAACCTAGAAATTTGGTCAAGGTAATTTATTTGAACAAACTTCAAAGTCTTTAACCCAAGCTTCTACTGGCAAAATAACAGCATCCTTCACCATTTGGTTATTGAGAAGAAGTTGTTTAAAGATTTTAAAACTTTTGACAACTGTGACCTTGACAGTTTACACATTGAGCACAATAACTGTGCAGGACGGCAGACAAAACACAATTAATGGCTATATGTCATCATGACCCTTCAAATTCAGGAAATTTGTTTTCATTAAATGGATTTAGAAGTAGATGTGAAGGTAATGCCTATTACCCTGGTTGAGTTTCCTATAAAGAAGATGGCCTGCTTTCCTCCAACACCAAAATAGGAAATGTCACTGTTGAGGGAGAGTGGAGTGTAGCCTGAACTTTGTGCCAGTTTCTTATCTTCATCTTCATCACCACCACAGCTTCTGCAAAAGTCAAAGCTTCAGTTTTAAAATGACAACGAATTACAGTTCCCCACCAAATCCAAATGTGAAATAACATGCAAAACAAACCATTTGTTTGATGTAGGTCAAAAGTCAAAATGTAGGTCAGAGCGACCTATCTTTGATACACAATACAAAGCCATACCAAGGTAACCCATATTCCAAGTACGAGTTCCAGTGATCAGCAGTGTAGGAGAAAGAGCCTGAACAAGGTAGCGGAATGATGGACGCAAAGCAAAATTATACTGACCACGTCCTGTAACAAAATAGCCCCGGTCTTTGAGTAAGAACTATGGTGTTACTCCCCATGGGTCCTGTCATAAGATTACTCCCTGACTTTTAGTAAGAAGTATGATGTTGCCCCACTCTCCCACCTCCAATCTCCCACCCCCTACCCTGGGTTTTGTTATAAGCTTACCCCCTGACTTTAAGTAAGAAGTATGATGTTGCCACACCCTCCGACCTCTCACCCCCCAGCCCCCTCCCAGGCTTTTGTAATAAGCTTAATAAGTAAGAAGTATGATGTTCTCCCTTAGGGTCCTGTGATAAACTCACCCCCCGACTTTAAGTAAAAAATATGATGTTGTCAAGAAGTCAAGAAGATTCTATTTTGATTTGTATTATGAATTAAATCCACAAGAATGTTACTTCTATTGCCATCTTCAAATCATTCTGTAAACCATTACAAATGGTGTTCCTACATGATCTGTTTCAGCTACATGGTGGCCAGGTACCCATTGAAAAAGCAGTGCTGTCTGGCTTTATTTTTTTCCCCCATTCTGCTGAATTTTTTTTCCGTACACATTTAAGCCGAAAATTCTGCCAATTTTTTTTGTCTACATGTATAATTTTAACCAATATATCAGCTGCAGGCACAACACTTGAGGACAAAAAGTTGTGACTTTTAATCCTGAAAATACAATATATGGGCCCCAAGTCATTGCATAAACTTTCATGAAAATGACGTTTTTGTGTATAGTGGGCATATTTCCAGAAACAATTAACATTGGATGACATACACTTTGCCTCGCTTGTCCTTGCGGATGAACTTTGAAAGACGATAGATGGCCCAGTTGTTGAGTTGTCGTGGCGTCATTCCTTTCCCGTTGTCTATCACATACACACAGTTCCTACTGGGGTTACCATCATCAATGTGCTGTCAACAAAGACAAGACAAATACATGTGTTGTTTGCATCAGGATATGAAATACATACATGCAGAATGTGACCTTCCTACATGTAAAAAAAATTTCAAACCGCCCAGACAAGTTCGTAACTTTTGTTAAGTTTTGAGTAAAATACTCAAATATCTCATAAAGACAGTACACATTCGTAACAATGTTTCAAAAGATCATTATAACACCAACTACAGTAAGGGGTCACTGATAAATCACTGCAATATCTCCACCAATCAGAAAGCTAGGCATGGTGGTAACAGCCAGTGCCAAAGGCTGTCAAAAGACTGAATCTGTACTTGTTACGTTTAGCAAGTGTGAAACTGTATGGTATGACAATATGGTATGAATATAAGTCTGTTGAAGGGGTTCATGTGATATTTAGTATACTAATGCTTTTAATTCCAAAGTGGTCAGGTGTGACCCTTAATACTTTGACAGTGTGATGCTATGTTGTGAATATGAACAAAATTTGTTGAGTTTAATGAGATCTCATATACACATGCTATGGACATAGACACTTGCATGCTGACATATTACATTATATACCCATTTTACAACATAGGGGGTTTAGTGATGTCATCACCATCAAGGTAGCCTTGTAAAGCAGAAATATACCATATTTGTATATAATGACATTGCCCTACTTTCATAATTAGACAAACATGACCAGTGCTTGAACTGGAATAGTGCTTGAATGGAAAGTGCTTGAATGGGAACAGTGCTTAAACACTTTTTATATTTTTTGTTTTCATTCCTGAAAACATCTGATCTGTCCTCACATGATTCATGATAATTATGGGGCATATTGACACTTTTCAACCTCCAACAAGAAAAACTCTCTTACTGCCCTGGTAATCTGAGTCCAGCGTACAACTGTGCAGCAGACCCTGCTGTGCACGAAAATTGTCAAAATAAACATTGCTTCCTAAAGTTTACATATGTTACTTAATGTTTTTTCCTGCTCTGAAATAATCAAAGTGAAATATCTTTCTTAAAAGAAAAGTATTGCATCAGTTGTTGATTTGATATATTTCGCAAAAGTACCATACAAACCAAAATAATGGTGCACATTTTTACCCGTGTTGACCTGTTATGTCAGGCACTGATCAATACAAAATAGGCCTTTATTTATGTCATGTATTTTCACAATATCCGTTAAGAAAAGCCATTTTGTTATATGTGTAGGAGAGATTTGAATGTTATTATAGAGAACAACACCGCAACAACATTCTAAATATTTGATATTTTATTGTGTAGTTTGATTACAGGTTTTGTCAATATCTGCCATTACACCTGTGTTGTTTGACTAACTGCAAAGTGGTAACGCACTCACCTTTCACCTAGCCGTCCGGGGTTCAATTCCCGGATCTGACGTGGAAAGGTAATGGGTAACCTTTTATTGTAAAATAATTGAGGTTTATATTTTAATATAACTGAAAATTTTCATGACAGGTCTCCTTTGTGTTTACAAAACGATAATTAAAAGTGTTGACAAGAATTCAGATTAAAACAGTAAAAAAACTATGTTTTGTGTTCTGGTCAGGCAAGTCTATCCTCAGTAGCTGAAAGTATCAGAAAGCTGGGTCAATGTTATACTTTGCCATCCTCCCCCATTCCCCTCCATTAGAGATTCAATGTATTGTACATGTATTACCGAAATTCTCTGATTATTTTTTTCAAACATATCTTCTTCAGTTCTATTGGGATCATTCCTTCAATGTGCAATTTGGTGTTTAGTCAGGAAGCTGAGAACACCATCCTGTGCCATTGTGGTTGTATCCATGGCAGACTAACATGTTGCCACACCTGAGACCCCCACCTGTCTCTAGGAAATAAAACCCAGCACACAAACAAAAACAAACTTCACAAAGTTGTCTGACACTTTAACAGGTTCATCTCACCTGTAAGATTAATTGATTTTATTTCATGGTTGAGTGCTTTTAATTCCTATGACTTAGACACTGATTATGATCAGGACTGAGGTCAACAAGCGTGACTTATGGAATACCTTAAGGAATGTCCTTTACTCATAACTTGTTTCCTATATCTTGTTTTCTCGTTTACAGATTATGGCGAAGGAAAATTTATAATGAGAATGGAGTCTAGCTATAGTTAGCTTCCACAATGGTTCTACTAGGCGGGTATTAGTTGTAATTAACATAGCATACACCTGAGGATATCAATTTGTTTATATATGTACACAGAAATGTTGTATAATTATTGGTCGGACTTTCGTTTGTTTGGCTTTTGGATCTCATTGTTACTTTCATTATTAGCTTTCATTTGTTCCTTTTTTTCACTGTGATTTGATTGAAAGTGTGCAAGGACAGCGTGTTTAAAAGTAATATTACCAATATGATGAGAAAACAGCCTTTAAACAGAATATACATGTCTTAAACATCAACAACAAAAATTGTTTATTTTAACTACCACTATTCAGCTCTTAACACATAATAAAGTGAACACTTTATTGCTAGTTGAGCTTGTATATACAGGATACATTACCGAGGTATTTTGTACATAAAACCTTACTGGAACTTTAAAGGTATATAGCTCACTAATTGGTAGTTGAGAAGGCGATTAGTTGGATCTCTGACCAGTAATCTGTCCGGGTTTTATATAGCTGTAGGGGAAAGCAGATGGTTCAAAGATTTTACTTATGTATGAGGTCTGCGGACCCCAGATTGTTGTTGTTTAGTGTGTTGATATGGAACAACTATCTATTCATTCTACAGTGCCTTTCAGATAATTGAGAAAAACATACAAACGGATAAAGTACAGACTATTCACAAGTGGATATTCTTCTGACCCGACTCTCAAAAATCAAAGCCATTATTTGTGTACGTGTATACTGCTGACACTGTTACTATGGAAACTACTACTACGAAGAAAAAGGGACCTCGTGATCAGTCTAATTGGGTTCATTTACCCAGCATAGACATGGGTTACCGTGGTAAACCCAAAGTCAACTCTTTGTCTAACGCACGCTATCAACCTAAACAGAGCTACAAGGAGATTCCTTCATTCCCTGTCATTTGGAAAAGTGAAGCAAAAGTCGGGTCAGTTGATCGTGACCACATAGAACAAATTAAAAAAAAGCCAAAACAATGGAATAGCGACCAGCACACAAAGACAATCATCCTTCCTAAAAGCCATGTCAGCAGAGTCAAAGAAAAGTGGGAGGGAGCTAAGGAAAACTCAAAAACAGGAAAACTTGAAATTCCAGTAACACCAAAGAAATTTGTGGGGAAACCTAAAGTTGGATCACTACAGAATGCTGGGTACAGACCTGGTGGAGGAAATGTGGAAATTTCTGACGAGAAACCACAGTGGGATTCAAGCTCCAAGGTGGGTTCTCTTTTAAATATTCACTATATGCCAAAAAATGGATATGTGGAAATTGTCAATAAAAAATTCGACTGGAATGTTGAGGCAAAAGTTGGCTCATTTGATAACATTGGTTATGTACCAACCAAAAAACGAAAGAAGACCATTGAACACCCCATTCATTGGCAGGCATCATCAAAGGTGGGTTCCCTTGACAATAAATACTATCAGCCAGGGGGAGGAAATGTGCAGGTACAGACTGAAAACAAAAAATGGATAGCCCAATCAAAAGTGGGTTCTTTTGACAACAGGGGATATCACCCAGGAGGTGGAAATGTCACATACAAGACAATACCACCTAATTGGAAAGCTGAACCAAAGGTCGGCTCACTGCACAATATGACTCATAAACCAAAGGGTGGCAACAAGGTTTATCAAACTGAAGAACTTGTCTGGAATGCAACCGCGAAAGTTGGATCTCTTGTTAATAAGCATTATCAATCTGGGGGAGGCAATGTAGCCTACAATACAGAGGAACTGGACTGGAAAGCTTCACCTAAAGTGGGTTCACTTGTAAACAAAAAGCATCAACCAGGAGGAGGTAATGTAGAATATCCCACCGAGGAGCTAAACTGGAACGCTGAACCAAAAGTTGGTTCACTACTCAACCAAAATCACCAGGCAGGCGGAGGAAATGTTCAACTAGTACCTAATAAACTGCCATGGATTGAAATATTGGAAATGGATTCCTCAGAACCCGGCCAGAATTCTGAACAAACACAGACCTTCCAGACAAAGGATACAAAAATTTCATCTGACGAGGAACTGGCTGAAAACATGTCTGATGATCAGGTGCAGGATGGTCATTACAGTGTTGACCAGACCCCCACTCTGGTCCAACAACAGGAAAGTTCAGGATTAAATGATTAATAACTGTTTTAGTGTCAATTCATGTACACTAGTTTCAGAATATAAATACAGTGAAACACTAACACCAGGAACCTACATTACTGGAATACCTTCTGTCTCCCTATCTTTTAAACCTTAGTCCTGACTATGTCCTTTCATCGACACTTAAATTCCAATTCCTTAAACTTTTATTCTATTGTATAGTCAGCATTCAGCAAACTAATTCTTACCTCTGTCCCTTCAATGTTGAAATATTTCCCTCTCTATTTGTAACATGTGCTCACAAAAATTTCTGTTATTTGTAACATGTGCTCACAAAAATTACTGTTAATCATTTAGATTTCGATTTAATTCACTAACATAATTCCACAGACATATTCGCGATTCCTGATCTAGAAATACTTTACAATTCCCAAATGGTAAGCTACTAGAGATCTAGACTCTTCCAGACTCCAATATCTATAACTGAATGGATGCAACCCCGAGCTAAGTACAAATAATTGTGAGGGATTTGAATTCACGATTTACTTTCCTTGCATATTGATAAAGTAAATCCCCCATGAAATGTAAGTAATCTATGTTGCATCTTACTGCATCCAACATCAGATTACCAGTTCTTATCATTCCCACATACAGGTGTGTGACAGGACAGCAGATATGATTAACAGTAAAATCATTACATACTGAAATCAGCTGCCTCAGGTGACTGTTTTGTATTTCCTATAAATCACATAGACAGACACAGAAAAGTCAGTCACAGTTCAAATGGAAGTTTGTTTTTAGTGTAAAACCAAATTATGGAATGACACATCTGTATTGGGAAGATATGGATGATTTAGCCTAGATGGCTCTCCAGGTATGTTTATAAATATTTTTAGCAAATGAGGTTAATCAATATTACATGTAAAATAATATATAGAATCAACATTTGTTTATCATTTGAAGTTGTTAAAATATCTATAACCAACATCACAATGCAATAATGAATCAATTAATGTTATGCATTCATCATCATCATATTCATAATCACCATCATCATCATTATCATCATCATCATCATCATAATCATCATTGTCCTGGTTACAAAATAAAGTTGGTATACCAATTATACACCCATATAGTGTTCAAAGTTTGTCATTACATACATCTGTCAATTATTTCCTGTCATGGATCCTATTTTACAGTATTTCTGATAGTTAAAACAGTATGCCTTTTTAATGTTCGTTTAGAAAACGCTGTTCAAAACTAAGTAATTATAGTATTTTAATGATGCCAAAGTGGCATGGAATATGGAGTTTTGAGTCAAAGTCATTATGATAATAAATAAAAGAAACTATGTTTGCAATAATTGAATGCCCCTGCTCATCATTGTTTGACAAATTTACAGAATCTTGACCAAAGACCACGTTTTAATTAATTAATATTTGGTGTAGAACTTGATGTTATGAAATTTAATAAAGGGCAGATATGAACTGAATCTGTATAGAGTTTCAAGACATGACAATGATTCAGCACTGGAGATGACAGATGGACTTACCCCAAACCGGATCATAAAATCACAAAATAGGAGAGCCAAACCACGGCTGATACTTTATGTCCCCAATAAAATCACAGGGGCATATAAACAGGTCGATTACACCACCAGTGATCCTATATATGCTTTAAAATATATATTACAGAAGGAGAATACTGTATTTGATATTAAAATTCTTTCATTGAAAAGATAAAATGAGCTTGGCCCTCTCGCTCAGTCACTGTGATTGTTAGCTAATTATCACCAGTTGAAATAAAAAATAAGTGGACACCTGTGAACACTAAAAAAAAAAACCCCCCTAATAATTACACCTGGCAATTAAATGTAAGCACTGCTTTATCGTCGCATGTGTTGTTTTTTTAAAAAAAAAAAAAGGGGGGTGGGGGGTGGGGGGGCTTAATTGCGAATATTCCCCTATTCCTGGCAAATTTGAAAAGGGGGGGGGGCGGGGCTTATTTGTGGGAGGGGGCTTATTTGCGGTGAAATACGGTAAGTTTCCTAAAAACATCATTCCTTCATCAATTCACATTTATATAAAATATACTGATGATCAACAATAATATTTATATGGTGTTTCAAAAAATTGAATGTATTTACTATTCTAACTTTCCTTATAAGTCTTAAAATTAAAGAACAACACCATCCCCTTTGACAGAAAATGATTTTAACAAAACTTTGTCAACAAGTATTACATGATTACATGTTTGCATGCCCAAGCTTCTCCATATCATCATGTTTAAACAGATATACAGATCCATGTAGAGTCAAATGGAAAACTTAAATACAACATAATTAATTTAGAAAGTCCAATTAATGGTAAACTGTTGGTAAATTCAGGATCTGTGCTTTGGGATGGCCATACATAAAAACATTACTCCAGGTACGTACTTGGAGATGCTAAAAGGGGAGATAATCCTTGATATATATAACATGTGATGAACCATTTACAGTTAAACATTGACCTTCTGTCTACTACAGAACATTTTTATTGTAATTTTTCAAGTCTTTTTGAAACTGTTCAGATTTGTTAAATTCTACGTTATCTGACAGATGTTGATCTGTATTATAGGTTATGATTTAGGTTTGGTTACGACAGCTTAAATACTTTGTGAGGAATAAAGCTCAACACCAACCAAACAGAAAAATAAACGTCGCCCAACGTCAATTCCACCACCCACCTTTTAACTGTAGCATATGAAAGGGCATCATTCCCTTATGTTGTTGCCATATCAATGTGAATATCATTAAGTGCTAAACCTTTCTTATACAAATAGCGTATCACTGCTCTCCCATTGATTTTGTTAGTTTTGTGAAAGTCACTTGCCTTGTTTAGTTTAGAGTGCTACCTCTTTAAAACAAACTGACCAAATGACACTAGTTTTTGGGTACACAGCCTTATAAGAATAATAATAGACTTTATTTAAAGAAGATAATACATGTTTCGCCAAAGGCTAATCTACCAGATGGTCCCCTAGTTAGTAAAATATTACATTCGTTAGTAAAACATGATATCACAATCAGATACTAAAATGCATACAAAATTATAATAGTGAAAGACGTTATAACATATCACAGTTAGTATTAATTAAGATTATCACAGATAGCACAAACACATATTTGTGCTAATTTGATTTGTCAATTAAATGTCTTTAAGCCGTATATACATATATGCTAACATAGCAAAAAGTTAAAAATTAAATAGGGAATAGTAGAGCTGAAAAAGGACATCCTTGCTTAACTTCTTCAATAGAAGGCACAAAACTTATCAATCAGCCCTCATATATATGATACCTTAATAAGTAGGGCATATAACAAGCAAATTGTAATGGAATTCTCTTGATACAATAGGCAACTTAATCTCCTAGGCAAAAGACTTCATTAAAATTAAAAGAACCTGTTGTAAATGTATAAAATAACAAACCTACCAGTCGGATTTCTATAGCGCGAGATCCCTGATTGTTTGAGGTGGCAGCTAAAGCATTGTCAATTAACTCAGCAAATGCATAGGCTGGAAAAAACAAAATAAAATGATTTCAGTATAAAGGAAAAGCACAAGGGCTTTTTGTCTATTTATTTAACAACAAGATAAGAGACCACAGTCTTCATAGTGATCTCATTGAGAAATATTCTACTTCCTTTTACCATATGAAGCTGAACAAGTGTGATGCTTGTTAGTTTGTCTGTTGGTAAGTTGTATATCTTTTTCTCATTTGAGAATGCGACATTACTTTCTTGGATTGACCAAGATTTATATAGTAGGTGTCACTGATGAAGCAGAAGATGCTTACTGTACCAGAACACCTGGTCTAATTATCCTTGTACTCTTTCAGGAGTCTCTGTGTAAACATATCTTTTGTTCCTATTTTGTCCTAGTCTCATTGAATTTGAGTTTGATTATATTGAATGTTGGTATTTTCATTCCACAATTTTGACAAAATTGTACTTTTCACCAATTCAACGATTTTGGGAAAATAACATTTTTAACATTTGTACAAAACACTTTAATAAAGGAGTCCCTGCTCAAATGTAAAATTTTATGCGAAGGATTCACTGTTCCCATAAATTTGTGCAGGAACTAGTTCTAGATATAGAATGTTCGACAGATCCAAGGTATATATCATATATACAGGTATAAATGTGAATTAATGTAATAATATCGATCTTGTTGGAAGGCAAGTATGTTTTTTCTTCAATGTTAGTAAACCCAAGCCTCAAGAAACATGAACCAAATCCCCATTATGAAATTTCAATGACAAGTAGTGTAGAATATCAGGCCTATCAACATTTTCTTTGATGCAAGTCAAAGGTCAAAATGTAGGTCACAGTGACCTATGTTTTGATACACAACATGCTGTCTCACTCAGGTGAACTCATACCTCAAATATGATGTTCCAGTGACTAGAGGTTTTGGAGATAAAGCTTGGACAACTTTTTCTAAGACGTAGGAAAAAGATAGAGTGACCTACTTTTGATACATTATACAACACATCAAGGTGAACCTATATACCATAACGCCCAGGGAAGATCTAAAAGACAGACGGAAAGGACAGGTAAAACTCAAAACTCTACAGTTCTCTCCATCTCCCATTCCCAATGGGATGAACAACTTACAGCATATATTACACATGTATTACCTTTCGGAGTGGATTCTACATGTACCAACTTATGGAGTGGATTCTACATGATTCAATATACCAAGTTAATTCTACATGTTTTAAGGTACAGAGTAGATTCTATATGTGTCAACTTACGAAGTGGATTCTGTCCCTCAGAAGCATAATATTCATACATCCCTCCTTTGACAATAGTGTCATAATGGGGTAGATAACTGACCCGCTGCTGGGCAGGAGCACATAGCTCCTGTTGAATATTTCGTAATATGTACAGCGTATCTCCTTTGTCAATAATATCTGTAAAAAAAAAAGCAAGATTATTAAAAAATTATTAAAAAAAAAGAAAATAAAAAATCATTGCAGAATAACATAATGATATCTACTTATTCCAATACACTATCCTATAGCAGTGTTATTTTGATTACCAGTCTATATTATTTTCCATTCTTTCTGTTTTATCTCCTGAAAGGGCTTTTTGCACTCGTTTGAGAATGGGGCCTGTGGCTTTTGGATTGGGAAAATTGAGCGGTAAAATATCAAATTGGGAAAAATGGATGTTTCTGATTTTCATAGAAGAAAGCCCACCTTCGCACCAAAAACAGATCTCTTGGTGCTGTAAAACTTTTAGTAATGTCATTTAATTGTGTTTTATTTCAAATTGTAATTCCTGATTTGTTATCACCTCCCATCACTACAGATTTATTATGATCTTTTTTAAAAGGCTATTTTTGGAGATACCCCTTTTAAATTTTTTTTTTTTTTTTCAATTGGGAAATTTAAAAGCTTGCATTGGGAAAAATGAACAGTTTTTCCTTGGGAGAAGGGGCCGAAATCGGCCCGAAAAAAACCCCTGGATACTACACTCAGTATTGATGATTATTACATACCCCAGGAATCGTCATCTTTAATCTCCTCTCTGTTGGTTGTGGCTATTACAAAAGACTCTGACTTCTTTATCCCAAGTGCCTGACAAAAGAATATATTGTAGAAATTTTGATTAACAGTAAAACTGTTCTCACAGAAAGCCATTTATAACACTGCAAGCCAACCATAATGTGACACAGAAATACCGGTGACATTGTGCAGTCATGCAGAACATCACAGCCAGTCTTAATTTTTTGCATGTTGTTAGACATGGGTGTCAAATGCATCATATGAAAAAAAATATTTAAACAAATCTTCATAAAAGAATTGCTGTGCATGCGAAGACCTTGCACAACACTCCTTCAGGACAGCCCTATATAGTGTTTTGTCTGCATGCTACATGTTAACTTCAACAGTGAAATTCAATTCTTTAAAGTCTGTCAATGAGAATTATTTTTGCATGTTGTTAAACATTTGTATGAAGTATACAATACAAAAATAATTATTTTTATAATCTCAATTAATGAACAGCTGGGTGTCAAAAAATGCCCAAGACCCTCCCTCCTCCCAGGACACTCATTAGGTACATCCGTGAAATCTGTTTATTTTGTTTTTATTTAACTGCAATTCATAGACCAATTAGATATTTGCAAACAAAATGCATGATTTACATGCGAATGCATTCTGTTGATAATGAAACAACATTTGCAATAGTCTCGTGAGAGGTAAATATGAGCATTTCTTTTTTTTGCGCAAAAATGAATGAATTCACACTTATCCTGCACACAAGTTGTGTTTGTAAACAAATGAGCACAACGTAACAGTAAGTGGCTTCAAAGCGAAAACCTTACTTCACGAACACGCGCTTTGAAATCTACATAAGTGAAAAGTCCTCCTGTTGGAATTTTGATTTCAGGAATATCGCTGTCTCTTCGATCAAAGACATAAACGAACGCATCATCATCTTCTAACTGTGCACTCGTATTCCCCACGCTTCTCCTGGAAGTCGCCATTTTCGTGGGTTGCGCGCGATGACAAAATGGAGACTGAATGCCCGTATGTGTGTAATCGCGAGGCCGTTCAGGGGTATTTTGAACAAGTTTGTATTTTCTGTTTCCCGCAGCGTACTAACTGAAATGTCCCTCTTCTTATGCATGACCGGAACAAGTATTTGTATTAGTTAAGTTTGTAAATATTCGCGTATAGTATTTGTTTTGCTGGTTTTCCATTATCTACAGTTAGTTTAGGTATCACGACGACCCTCTCGGATTGTGTTATCAGTGTCCTCTGATCCTTCTTTACACTATATCCAGTCTGACAGTCGAGACTGTACCACAAGTTGATCGGGTACTACAACTGGACGGCCAGTCTTTCAGACCGAACCTCACTAAATCAAACTGACCATGACTTCTGCTGTCAATCCGGATTTGGAGAGAGAAAGAAAGCGAGCCACTTTTAATGGAGAAATCCTCACCGATTTTATATACGGGGGAGCTCATAAAAAGCAGAGGAGGCGTGACATACGTAAGCAATGATTAACGTTTTCTAACGGTTGATTGTGTCTTACAGTGATTAACAAATACCTAGGATTTGGAGGGAAAATATGATGTAGCAGTTAAAACCATATTAATAGCAGAGTCTTGTCAAGACTAATACTCTCTACATGTAACTAAAAATAAGGGATTGACATCTATAGATTTGAATTGCATTTTATAATTAGATGTAATAAGAAGTCGTTAAGTTGTGTATTGAGCCCATGGCTCATTGCTTTGTACAAAATGGATTGTAGTGTTCATTTGTAAGTTTTCCTTTAGAATTAGCTGTAGAGTCGGAGTAAAAAGGGGATTTGAACAATTTCCTTTGCCTCCAAATATTTGGTATTAGTGTTTGTATTTAGAGCACACTATCTGGTATTTAATAAGTGTGCATTAACTTAGCTGGCTTGGTATGGAGTTGGAAGGAAAGACAAATATTACAAATTAATTTTGCTTTAGTGTCATATGATACCAACTAAATTGCATCATTTATTTTAAAAAGAGAAAACAGCTTGTTCATATTTCAACCAGAATTGTAATATTATTGACATATAGATGGATACACAACTGCTGTATGAATGGTAAATTGTAAGTGTTCATGAGGTGTGATGTGATGTGCTGTCCAAGATGTTTGGGTCCATGTAAAAATATGAAATCAAATTCTTGAATGCACAGCATTACAAGAATATGTTATATAGGATCTCGGTATTACAATTAGGTTCAGGTCAAAAACTAGGACTTCACTTGATCAAATTACATATCTACAGTGCACAGGTACAAATGTGAAGTCATATATCTCATAGCCACTAGCTAGTGTCAATGTTAACTGACTTGATAGAGGTCAATATTTAGGATGTTCCTGTCTATCAACGACTTGATAGAGGTCAATATTTAGGATGTTCCGTCTATCAATGACTTGATAGAGGTCAATATTTAGGATGTTTCTGTCTATCAACGACTTGATAGAGGTCAGTATTTAGGATGTTCTTGTCTATCAATGACTTGATAGAGGTCAATATTTAGGATGTTCCTGTCTATCAATGACTTGATAGAGGTCAATATTTAGGATGTTCCTGTAATCAATGATATTCCGTGTAAACTTTGTACACACTGTTTATTGCATCACAGTGGAGATTATCAACATCGAACTTGAGAAAAATCACGTAACAATAACATACATATTATAAGTAGATCTCATAGCCATTAGCTAGTGTCAACATTAAGTGACTTGATAGAGGTCAATATTTAGGATGTACATGTCTATCAATGATATTCCGTGTAAACTTTGTACACACTGTTTATTGCATCACAGTGGAGATTACCAACATCAAACTTAAGGAAAATCATGTAACAATAACATACATATTATAAGTAGATTATCTGTTGTAATATTGAAACCTCACATTCATTTTCATATGTTTCACTATTCCCTTGCGACGAAGGTCAGAGAGCTGATATAGGGATGTTCTTATATATATGTGTGTACATACATAACACTTCTTCTTTTTAACACTCTTGTGGCTTCATTCCTTGAGAAATTTTTATCAAACTTCACACTTTCATAAAGGCCAATCATATTTTGGAATGTGTAAATCAGGATTTTAAGGTCAAGTGCAAGGTCACCATTACTACTTTTTTTTATTTTTATAAAATCCTTGCTTTAACAGCTACATTTCTTGAAGTATTTCAATCAAGCTTCATACACTTGAAAGGTGTCATTTTATCTTTGATGAGTTTGAATCTCAGGTATCATGGGTCAAGGTGAAGGCACTATTACTAGTTTCAGACATTTCTTTTCAACGCTCAAGCAGGTTCATTTCCCAAGAGATTTTCATCAAACTTGAACACTTGTAAAGGACACTGTATCTTTGACAGAAATCAATGACATTGTTAATATTTTTATAAAATCCTTGACAATTACTCCAGCAGACTAACTTCTTAAGAGACTTTTATCAGTCTTCACACATTACAAAGGCCTATTATGTCTTTGACAAGCTTGGATTTCAAGGTTCTTGGGTTAAGGTCAAGGTCAAGATTACTACAATATATTTTTAGAAAATCCTTGTCAGCATTCCAGCAGCTTTATTCCTTGAGGGATTTTTATTAAACTCTGGAGAATTGACTGTTTTCTTTACTGCATTTCGATCAAGCGAGGGGAGATGTATCATATGTGATGCCTTGTTATGTCAGAAGAGTGATTACAGTTTTTGGGGACAAACAATACAGAGTGGAAAGTAATAAATGAATAGATCTTCACTTATGTGTTTAGTAATAAGCCCATACAGAAATGCAAACCATTGCTAGATATAGTGGTGATTTCTATGTTAGTTGTACCACCAACTTTGAATCACTGACAACTAGGAGGTAGATGCAGGTGTGGTCAGTAAGTTTGGAGATGCGTAATTCGGCATTGTCTTCATATGGCATTGTGTGTTTCTCAGGAAATTGTATGTTGCTCAGTGAGGTAGTCACCACCTACCTCAAGCTACATCAAGTAGATCCCCACCTAGAAATAAATCTGGATGTTCACAGGACAATAAACCAGACAAACAAGCCAACAATTCCTAGAGAGAGATAACCTCTGTAAGGATTGTTCTCAAAATGAAGATAAGCTGTGTACAGTTGTAGTCCCTAAATAGAGGTAGACTGTGTACAGTTGTAGTCCCTACATAGAGGTAGACTGTGTACAGTTGTAGTCCCTACATAGAGGTAGGCTGTGTACAGTTGTAGTCCCTACATAGAGGTAGGCTGTGAACAGTTGTAGTCCCTAAATAGAGGTAGACTGTGTACAGTTGTAGTCCCTACATAGAGGTAGACTGTGTACAGTTGTAGTCCCTACATAGAGGTAGACTGTGTACAGTTGTAGTCCCTACATAGAGGTAGACTGTGTACAGTTGTAGTCCCTACATAGAGGTAGACTGTGTACAGTTGTAGTCCCTACATAGAGGTAGACTGTGTACAGTTGTAGTCCCTACATAGAGGTAGACTGTGTACAGTTGTAGCCCCTACATAGAGGTAGACTGTGTACAGTTATAGTCCCTACATAGAGGTAGGCTGTGTACAGTTGTAGTCCCTACATAGAGGTAGGCTGTGTACAGTTGTAGTCCCTACATAGAGGTAGACTGTGTACAGTTGTAGTCCCTACATAGAGGTAGACTGTGTACAGTTGTAGTCCCTACATAGAGGTAGACTGTGTACAGTTGTAGTCCCTACATAGAGGTAGACTGTGTACAGTTGTAGTCCCTACATAGAGGTAGACTGTGTACAGTTGTAGTCCCTACATAGAGGTAGACTGTGTACAGTTGTAGTCCCTACATAGAGGTAGACTGTGTACAGTTGTAGTCCCTACATAGAGGTAGACTGTGTACAGTTGTAGTCCCTAAATAGAGGTAGACTGTGTACAGTTGTAGTCCCTACATAGAGGTAGACTGTGTACAGTTATAGTCCCTACAATATCTCAGTACTTCCAAATTTGGTCCTGTATAAAAAGAATGAGAATTTGATTTACAAGAAATCGTTTTTATTTGTTGTTTTTTATACATTGAAAAGACAAAAGAAAGTTTCATGAACATCGACTAAATTTTACCAAATATCTTAATCTGTGATCCTAAACATAATTTAATTATTAATCTGTAATTGCTTGTAATTTTTTGTTTGAATTATAATTTCCAAGAAACCAAATTACTGTACCTGAGTAAAAGTCAGAGCTAGCCTGAGATGGTTAGCACTTAATACACATTTCCTTGTAAATTTCCAGGTTGGGTGTTTTGACCCAAGTTAAAATTCTTTAGTTATATTTTGCTATTCTATACTGATCTATCATTTCCTTTATTTGAATCCATCACAGTGTCTAAAAGTGCCCTCGACACCTCAATTTCTAGTGAATCCTTCCAGGGAAAACCCACATGATCAGGCTGGCAACTCCTTTAACTTTTTACACACCTGATGAAAAATCCAACCCTGGTCACCTAGATAATCTCATGATGTTATCTCATGATGACAATACATTTACAGAGAATGCAGTGTTCAGCGATCCTGAATACCAAACTTTGAAGCCATGGGCATTTTGCAGTCGAGAAGACCTGTACTCTAATCATCTACAGAAGGCCAATATGGCAAGGCGTTTACAGGAAACACTAAACATTACAGACCAGGAGGAAGGCTTCATTATTAGGCAGTAAGTTGTACAGAAAGCTTATGTAGACAGAAAATCATTATGTTGTCACTTTGAATAGTCTAACATTTACTGATGTCCTTTCAAGATTCTTTCAATGAATGCTAGACAAATATTTTAAAAAAAAAACTGATAAAACCTCAGAATAATTTTGACTATTTATATATCTCTGTGTACTTTATTTTGTGTTCTAATACATATCATGTAATAATATATCTTCATCATTGAATAAATGACAAATTTTAACTCAGCAATGCTTCTGGTCTGTACATAGAATGTTCATCTGTTTTTCATGACTGTGATCATTGTATCTTAAAATAAACTGTGGTTTTTCTTCAGAACTATAAGATGTTTTTTTTCAGAAGTAAAATTTTGACTTGTATGATTTCTGCCTCTCAGATCTCTCTGTTCCAATGAATACTTTGGCCTTGGAGTCCATGGCTTCATGTTCATTCCTACTATACAGAAACTTGGCACAGAGGACCAGAAGAGAAAATGGCTGCCACTAGCAAAAACTCTTAAAGTTGTAGGAACATATGCACAGACAGAGCTAGGTCACGGTAAGAATGTTCAAATGGAATGAAAATAAAAACTTTTATTCACAAACTGATGAAATTGAAAGCATTAGTGTACATGTATGGTGTCCATCTGTCAAATTTTTTTAAAACTTGTAACTAGTCGTGAACGACTGAACAGATTTGGTCAGAAGAATCCTTAGAGGAAAGGGAATGTATTTGTATAAATTGTGTGTCCACTCTGGGGTCTGGCCGCACCCCGAGGGACTTAGTTTCAGGGTTATTGGTATATCATTAAAACAGTGGAGATCTCCAACCCTAAACCATATATAGCAGTGCTGGGCATCCAGAGATAAACACTATCATTATGTAAGAATTGGCTCTGGGGTGTGCCCGCAATCCTCGCTACTTAGTATCTGGTTTATATGGTTGAAACAGTTGAGATTCTCACCACTTACCCATATAGAGCAATGCTGGGCATCAAGAGATAAACACATTTATGATGTTAGTAAGAATCGGCAAGATGGTGTGGCCTAACACCTTGGGATTTAGTTTCTGGGTTATATCTTTGAAACCGTTGAGATACCCACCCCACAACCATGCATAGAATTGCTTGACATTTGAGAGATATACAAATTCACAATGTGAGAATTTACCCTTAGGTGTGGCACATCTTTAGTGACTTCATAACATCTAAGTCATATTTTTGAAACAATTGAGATTCCAACCGTATTACCATAAAATGTGTTACTGGGCATCAAAAGAGAAAGACAGTCCTGATATTAGGGTTTACCTATATATATATTGCAGTTTAAAAGTGATTATAATGTAATGTTTTGCTAGATCTTCACACATTTTCTTTCCATATATTTTAGCCTGCCAGATGATTTAATCTTGTAATTAGAATTTAAAGTTTTCTTCGTATTCAGTGTTTTATTTATTTCAGGAACTTTCCTGAGAGGTTTGGAGACTACTGCAACCTATGACCCTGAAACACAAGAATTTGTGTTAAATTCACCTACTATCACCTCGATGAAATACTGGCCTGCAAATTGTGAGTTAAACATATCACCATGGATGCTATATAATATATTATCAGTTCTGTCCTCTGTTTTTATCACTCTGCACAGCTGTTTAACAGTAGTATATAAATAGTGAATCAAAAAGTCTACCAACACACTACATGATTGGTAGTAGTCAACTTTTTTTACGATAAATAGATTAAACTGTCTTCCTCACTTATCTATTCAGCATGGTTAAGTAACTCACTTCATATAAATGTAAAAGATCTGCCTAAAATTTTAATTTACAATGGTTTCCTTTGAAATGAATGCATTTTTGTTTGGATATGTTTTATAGTGGGGAAAACTGTCAACTGCTGTGTTGTAATGGCAAAGCTGGTTACACAGGGGAAAAGTCATGGCATCCATTCCTTTGTGGTGTCCCTTAGGGACCTTGAAACACATAAGACACTTCCAGGTAAGAAAGAAAATTTCCAGGTAAGGAGGATAATTTCTATGTATGGAGACAAATTTCCAGGTAAGGAGGAAAATTTCTAGGTAAGGAGAAAAGGAGGGAAATTTCCAGGTAAGGAGGAAAAGTTTCAGGTAAGGAAGAAAAGGAGAAAAATTTCCAGGTAAGAAGGAAAATGTTCAGGTAAGGAAGAAAAGGGGAATAATTTCCAGGTAAGGAAGAAAAAGGAGGAAAATTTCAAGGTTAGGAAGAAAATTTCTAGGGAAAGAAAAAAGGAGGAAATTTTCCAAGTAAGGTAGACAATTTTCAGGTAAGAAAGATATGGAGGAACATTTCCAGGTAAGGAGGAAAAATTACAGGTAAGGAGAAAAGGAGGTAATTTTCAGGTAAGGAGGAAAATGGGAGAAAAATGATATTTAATTACCATGGATATTTTGGATGTGGTTATATTTGGTGTCTCGTTTGAAAGTATCAAAATTAAACACACCAATCTATAGTGATGTAGATATTAAACATATTGTTTGATATGTTTCCTTCAGTAAAGCTGTCAGTGGTTTCTAACAATAGTATCTAATCTCATTCATGAGTTGGTAACCTGGGTATGATAATATAAGAATATTTGGAAAATTAATTTAATGTTGATATTGATCAAATATATACAGTCATGTACAGAAATAAAACTGAAAGTTGATCCAATAAGTGTATTAAGGTCTCTAAGCTAATGTATGTAAGACTCACCTTGACTGTGGACTTTTTTTAAACAGAAACTTGTAGAAAGTAGTTACATAAAGAAGAATTACTAGTTAATGGAAAAATTCATTAAATTTAGTGCCAAAATAAAATTCTCGCATTTTGAACAAAAATACCAAATCTTCATGATTAAAATATTCCATTTGAATAGTATGTCCACGAGGTTGTAGACTGATAATCGAGAATTATCTGTGTCGTAAAAAATAATGTTTCATTACACAGTTTGGTTCATGATTCTGATTCTACCACATGACATGTTAGATTAAAAGTTGTGTCACCCTCTATTTGGTTATTGTTGTGCCAATGTTTATGTTTAGGAATTGAAGTCGGAGACATTGGACCGAAGTTTGGCTTTAATGAAAATGATAATGGTTATCTGAGGTTTCACCACGTCCGTATTCCTCGAGATCACATGCTCATGAGATATGCCAAGGTACACATATTCTTTGATATTCTTTCTCTTTTTCATGCTCCTATCAATTTGTGTGGAGAAACATAAAGTATTACCCATTCAATACTGACTGTAAGTCTCTTGTATCACAAGTTATTGTCCTGTACTGACTGTAAGTCTCTTGTATCACAAGTCATTGTCCTGTACTGACTGTAAGTCTCTCGTATCACAAGTCATTGTCCTGTACTGACTGTAAGTCTCTCATTTTCACAAATGATCATCAGATGTTGATGTAATTAACAGTAGAGTGTCCTATACAACATTGTAATATTATCATCAGTCTTTGATCTGACATCATCATAAAGCTGTGATGTGACATCATCATAAAGCTGTGATGTGACATCATCATAAAGCTGTGATGTGACATTTTCATAAAGCTCTGATGTGATATCATCATAAAGCTGTGATGTGATATCATCATAAAGCTGTGATGTGATATCATCATAAAGCTGTGATGTGATATCATCATGAAGCTGTGATGTGATATCATCATAAAGCTGTGATGTGACATCATCATAAAGCTGTGATGTGACATCATAAAGCTGTGATGTGATATCATCATAAAGCTGTGATGTGACATCATAAAGCTATTATGTGACATCATCATAAAGCTGTGATGTGAAATTTTCATAAAGCTGTGATGTGATATCATCATAAAGCTGTGATGTGATATCATCATAAAGCTGTGATGTGACATCATAAAGCTGTTATGTGACATCATCATAAAGCTGTGATGTGATATCATCATAAAGCTGTGATGTGATATCATCATAAAGCTGTGATGTGACATCATCATAAAGCTGTGATGTGACATCATAAAGCTGTGATGTGATATCATCATAAAGCTGTGATGTGACATCATAAAGCTGTTATGTGACATCATCATAAAGCTGTGATGTGAAATTTTCGTAAAGCTGTGATGTGATATCATCATAAAGCTGTGATGTGATATCATCATAAAGCTGTGATGTGACATCATAAAGCTGTTATGTGACATCATAAAGCTGTGATGTGATATCATCATAAAGCTGTGATGTGACATCATAAAGCTGTTATGTGACATCATCATAAAGCTGTGATGTGACATTTTCATAAAGCTGTGATGTGATATCATCATAAAGCTGTGATGTGACATTTTCATAAAGCTGTGATGTGATATCATCATAAAGCTGTGATGTGACATCATAAAGCTGTTATGTGACATCATAAAGCTGTGATGTGATATCATCATAAAGCTGTGATGTGACATCATAAAGCTGTTATGTGACATCATCATAAAGCTGTGAAGTGACATTTTCATAAAGCTGTGATGTGATATCATCATAAAGCTGTGATGTGACATTTTCATAAAGCTGTGATGTGATATCATCATAAAGCTGTGATGTGACATCATAAAGCTGTGATGTGACATCATCATAAAGCTGTGATGTGACATCATCATAAAGCTGTGATGTGACATCATAAAGCTGTGATGTGATATCATCATAAAGCTGTGATGTGACATTTTCATAAAGCTGTGATGTGACATCATCATAAAGCTGTGATGTGATATCATAAAGCTGTGATGTGACATCATAAAGCTGTGATGTGACATCATCATAAAGCTGTGATGTGACATCATCATAAAGCTGTGATGTGACATCATCATAAAGCTGTGATGTGACATCATAAAGCTGTTATGTGACATCATCATAAAGCTGTGATGTGACATCATCATAAAGCTGTGATGTGACATCATAAAGCTGTGATGTGACATCATCATAAAGCTGTGATGTGATATCATAAAGCTGTGATGTGACATCATAAAGCTGTGATGTGACATCATCATAAAGCTGTGATGTGACATCATCATAAAGCTGTGATGTGATATCATCATAAAGCTGTGATGTGACATTATCACAAAGCTGCGATGTAATATTACTGTAAAACTGATGTAACATTATCATAAAACTGTAATGTTATGTAATCTTATTGTAAAGCTGTGATGTTTTATAACAGGTAGCAGAAGACGGGACATTCACTAGTGCCACCAATGAAGGAACAATTTTAACGTACGGCACCATGTTGTTTGTGCGGGCAATGATCGTGACAGGAACTTCCTCTACATTGGCAATGGCATGTACCATCGCTACAAGATATGCTGCAGTGAGGAGACAGACAGAGGTCAAACCTGGGTTCGTTTTACTACATCGTAAACTCCATCAGAATGTCAGATCTATCTAGCAATCAGCCCATACCTAGTCATGGGCAAAACAACATTCTTGTAAAAAAAATGACAAATCAATTTCATTGTTCTGTATAATACTGTGAATATCTTTCATGACTACTATCTTTAACAGCTACTATCTTTCATGGCTACTATCTTTAACAGCTACTATCTTTCATGGCTACTATCTTTCACAGCTACTATCTTTCACTGCTACTATCTTTCACAGCTTCTATCTTTCATGGCTACTATCTTTCACAGCTTCTATCTTTCACTGCTACTATCTTTCACAGCTTCTATCTTTCACTGCTACTATCTTTCACAGCTTCTATCTTTCACAGCTTCTATCTTTCATGGCTGCTATCTTTCACAGCTTCTATCTTTCACAGCTTCTATCTTTCACAGCTACTATCTTTCATGGCTACTATCTTTCACAGCTACTATCTTTCACAGCTTCTATCTTTCACAGCTACTATCTTTAACAGCTACTATCTTTCACAGCTACTATCTTTCACAGCTACTATCTTTAACAGCTACTATCTTTAACAGCTACTATCTTTCACAGCTACTATCTTTCACAGCTACTATCTTTCACAGCTACTATCTTTAACAGCTACTATCTTTCACAGCTACTATCTTTTACAGCTTCTATCTTTCACAGCTACTATCTTTCATGGCTACTATCTTTCACGGCTTCTATCTTTCATGGCTACTATCTTTTACAGCTACTATCTTTCACAGCTACTATCTTTAACAGCTACTATCTTTCACAGCTACTATCTTTCACAGCTACTATCTTTCACAGCTACTATCTTTCACAGCTACTATCTTTTACAGCTACTATCTTTAACAGCTACTATCTTTAACAGCTACTATCTTTCACAGCTACTATCTTTAACAGCTTCTATCTTTCACAGCTACCATCTTTCACTGCTACTATCTTTCACAGCTTCTATCTTTCACTGCTACTATCTTTCACAGCTTCTATCTTTCACTGCTACTATTTTTCACAGCTTCTATCTTTCATGGCTACTATCTTTCACTGCTTCTATCTTTCACAGTTTCTATCTTTCACTGCTACTATCTTTCACAGCTTCTATCTTTCATGGCTACTATCTATCACAGCTACAATCTTTTACAATTTCAGTAAATTCACCATTCTGAGCCATTCAGAATCATATAATAATGATATATGTAAACTTTAAGATATGCGACTGAAAAAGTCTTCCTCATTTTAGTGTATAAACTTTTGCTACTTATCTGTTGATATGAAATGAGAACTCCTGTAAGCTCCTCTACATATAGGTTGTTCATCAATACCTTTTGTTATTCTACCAACTTTAGTAGTGATATTCTGGTTAGAATAGATAACAAGCACAGTGGTTAACAGGAGGGCTGTTGATCAACATGTATTAAATCTGCTATAAGTAAGTGACAGTCTGTTTACTACATTTGACCTCATAAACATACCGGGACTTTGCTGTTCCAAAAACATGAAAAGGATGTGGTTGATTATCTTCAATTTCACATGAAAGGTGTTCAGACATTAAATTTTGAATGCAGAAATCATCATTCAAAAGTGTAATATATTTGTATTAAATTCTTATGAATGTTTATTGAAGAAAATGCCTGTACATTGACAGTGGGCCAGAGGCACAAATCATGGACTACCAAACACAACAGTACAAGTTGTTTCCACTGATCGCTACAACTTATGCGTTTCGCTTCACTGGACAAAGGATAAATGATCACTACACAACTATAAATTCCAACATAGAGAAAGGAAACCTGGAAAATCTGCCTGAGGTATATGTTACACCTTGTCACACCTATTTATCAGGTACACATCACACCTTTATATACCTGTATATCAGGTACACATCACACCATGTTACACCTGTATATCAGGTACACATCACACCTTTATATACCTGTATATCAGGTACACATCACACCTTGTCACACATGTATATCAGGTACACATCACACCTTGTCACACCTGTATATCAGGTACACATCACACCTTAACACACCTGTATATCAGGTACACATCACACCTTTATATACCTGTATATCAGGTACACATCACACCTTGTCACACCTGTATAACAGGTACACATCACACCTTGTCACACCTGTATATCAGGTACACATCACACCTTTATATACCTGTATATCAGGTACACATCACACCTTGTCACACCTGTATATCAGGTACACATCACACCTTTATATACCTGTATATCAGGTACACATCACACCTTTATATACCTGTATATCAGGTACACATCACACCTTTATATACCTGTATATCAGGTACACATCACACCTTGTCACACCTGTATATCGGGTACAAATCACACCTTTATATACCTTTATATCAGGTACACATCACTCCTTTATATACCTGTATATCAGGTACACATCACACCTTTATATACCTGTATATCAGGTACACATCACACCTTTATATACCTGTATATCAGGTACACATCACACCTTTATATACCTGTATATCAGGTACACATCACACCTTTATATACCTGTATATCAGGTACACATCACACCTTTATATACCTGTATATCAGGTACACATCACACCTTGTCACACATGTATATCAGGTACACATCACACCTTTATATACCTGTATATCAGGTACACATCACACCTTGTCACACCTGTATATCAGGTACACATCACACCTTTATATACCTGTATATCAGGTACACATCACTCCTTTATATACCTGTATATCAGGTACACATCACACCTTTATATACCTGTATATCAGGTACACATCACACCTTTATATACCTGTTTATCAGGTACACATCACACCTTTATATACCTGTATATCAGGTACACATCACACCTTTATATACCTGTATATCAGGTACACATCACACCTTTATATACCTGTATATCAGGTACACATCACACCTTGTCACACCTGTATATCAGGTACACATCACACCTTTATATACCTGTATATCAGGTACACATCACACCTTGTCACACCTGTATATCAGGTACACATCACACCTTTATATACCTGTATATCAGGTACACATCACACCTTTATATACCTGTATAGCAGGTACACATCACACCTTTATATACCTGTATATCAGGTACACATCACACCTTTATATACCTGTATATCAGGTACACATCACACCTTCTCACACCTGTATATCAGGTACAAATCACACCTTTATATACCTGTATATCAGGTACACATCACTCCTTTATATACCTGTATATCAGGTACACATCACACCTTTATATACCTGTATATCAGGTACACATCACACCTTTATATACCTGTATATCAGGTACACATCACACCTTTATATACCTGTATATCAGGTACACATCACACCTTTATATACCTGTATATCAGGTACACATCACACCTTTATATACCTGTATATCAGGTACACATCACACCTTTATATACCTGTATATCAGGTACACATCACACCTTTATATATCACACCTTTATATACCTGTATATCAGGTACACATCACACCTTTATATACCTGTATATCAGGTACACATCACACCTTTATATACCTGTATATCAGGTACACATCACACCTTGTCACACCTGTATATCAGGTACACATCACACCTTAACACACCTGTATATCAGGTACACATCACACCATGTTACACCTGTATATCAGGTACACATCACACCTTAACACACCTGTATATCAGGTACACATCACACCTTTATATACCTGTATATCAGGTACACATCACACCTTGTCACACCTGTATATCAGGTACACATCACACCTTGTCACACCTGTATATCAGGTACACATCACACCTTTATATACCTGTATATCAGGTACACATCACACCTTTATATACCTGTATATCAGGTACACATCACACCTTTATATACCTGTATATCAGGTACACATCACACCTTTATATACCTGTATATCAGGTACACATCACACCTTGTCACACCTGTATATCAGGTACACATCACACCTTAACACACCTGTATATCAGGTACACATCACACCATGTTACACCTGTATATCAGGTACACATCACACCTTTATATACCTGTATATCAGGTACACATCACACCTTGTCACACATGTATATCAGGTACACATCACACCTTGTCACACCTGTATATCAGGTACACATCACACCTTAACACACCTGTATATCAGGTACACATCACACCTTTATATACCTGTATATCAGGTACACATCACACCTTTATATACCTGTATATCAGGTACACATCACACCTATATATACCTGTATATAAGGTACACATCACACCTTTATATACCTGTATATCAGGTACACATCACACCTTTATATACCTGTATATCAGGTACACATCACACCTTTATATACCTGTATATCAGGTACACATCACACCTTTATATACCTGTATATCAGGTACACATCACACCTTTATATACCTGTATATCAGGTACACATCACACCTTAACACACCTGTATATCAGGTACACATCACACCTTTATATACCTGTATATCAGGTACACATCACACCTTTATATACCTGTATATCAGGTACACATCACACCTTTATATACCTGTATATCAGGTACACATCACACCTTGTCACACCTGTATATCAGGTACACATCACACCTTGTCACACCTGTATATCAGGTACACATCACACCTTTATATACCTGTATATCAGGTACACATCACACCTTGTCACACCTGTATATCAGGTACACATCACACCTTGTCACACCTGTATATCAGGTACACATCACACCTTTATATACCTGTATATCAGGTACACATCACACCTTTATATACCTGTATATCAGGTACACATCACACCTTGTCACACCTGTATATCAGGTACACATCACACCTTAACACACCTGTATATCAGGTACACATCACACCTTTATATACCTGTATATCAGGTACACATCACACCTTGTCACACCTGTATATCAGGTACACATCACACCTTGTCACACCTGTATATCAGGTACACATCACACCTTTATATACCTGTATATCAGGTACACATCACACCTTTATATACCTGTATATCAGGTACACATCACACCTTGTCACACCTGTATATCAGGTACACATCACACCTTAACACACCTGTATATCAGGTACACATCACACCTTTATATACCTGTATATCAGGTACACATCACACCTTGTCACACCTGCATATCAGGTACACATCACACCTTTATATACCTGTATATCAGGTACACATCACACCTTTATATACCTGTATATCATGAACACATCACACCTTGTTACACCTGTTCTTTAGGGTAGAGAAATCTGGCTAACATTCAGGTGTTTTTTGCATTATGTTTTAGCTTCATGCTCTGACTGCTGGTCTGAAAGCTTTCTGCACTGCTGTGGCTGCTGATGGTGTAGAGGTTTGTCGCCTTGCTTGTGGTGGCCATGGCTATTCACATGCTAGTGGTCTCCCGAAAATCTATACAAGTGCAACAGTGGAATGTACATATGAAGGAGAAAATACAGTCATGTACCTTCAAACAGCACGGTGTGTGGTATGGAATTTTAAATTTCTTATATCTTTTGAAAAACTGATCAGGCTGTTATTAATGTTGTTGTTTGGTCATTTCTGATGTCAAAAGAAGAAGGTTCGAGATTTTGAATTGACCATCGTGATGTTGCTGCTTTTTAATTTAAGATGGTTTTTGGGGTCAATGTCGAATAAAATAACCAGTTTCGACAGTTTTTATTCTGCAGCAGGACTTAGATTAAGTAGTTTGACTGTAACTACAGTGTTATTGAAGTCTGTGTATAACAAAGCATTTGAAATTTTCTTTGTAGGTACTTAGTAAAGTGTTACAATATGATGAAGGCCAAGAAGACACTTCCCCCCACCTTCTCATACATCACTGATAAACTGTCAGGAAAGTCAGACCTCGACAGCAAGCTCAACTTTAACAGTATCATAGAGGCTTACGAACACAGAGCAGCCAGGTAAGCGTGATTAAAGTCACATAAATAAAAAAAAACCTGTTATTTCTTAACATGTTTCATTTGCTAAACAGTTGTCCAGATTAAGCTATTTCAATAAACATCTTGTGAAGCTTTTGTTCCAAATAATACACTCCATTATTACCTGAGTTTCAGATGAATGACTTTGACATGCTTTCAAAGTCACAAGGGATACGTATATTAGAATCTTCAAACAAATTCTTCTCAGTAACAAAATGGTGCTGGATGCTGATGTTGGGCGTGTAGCATGATACAGATAAGATAAAGGAATTCCAAGTTTGTTGAAATGAATAACATTGACCCACTTCTAAGTCCACAGGGATCAAATGTCTTAAAATCTTCTTATCAATAACCAGAAGGTCCAAGCAATTGATATTGGTTTTGTATCATAATTGGATGAAGGGTTACCAAATTTTTTTAAAAAGTATATATATACCTTGTCAAGCCTCTTCCAACTTTTCTTCATTATGTTTTCCCGTTTAATATTTTGAACTGACAGATTAGTCAAGGCAGCTGCATTGAACATAAGTTTCTGGATGAAGGCAGGCAAAAACCCCTGGGAATCCACCAATAAAAGCTCCATACAGTTAGTCTGGGCAGCAAAGGTACTTTGTTCTCATACAGTATAGATTGTCTGTGGTAGAGTTAGCATCAACAGAACATTTTATGATGCAAATGTCATGAAAGTAACTAGTTGTTTTATAATAAATTGAAGTGTATAACCAAGAAATGACAGTTTAACATAAAACACTGATTATTATAGTTATTAACCTTTTCTACTCTTAAAATAATGTTTTACTTTCAAAACACAAATTAAGTACTCAGCAACATTAAAGTGAGAACCATGGTAGTTCCATTGGTTTGAATTTCTGAAAAGTTGGTTTTGGCATGTTACCAGATGTGGACCTATTAACATATACATGACAGTATGTAAATATTTCAGTCAAAGATTTCAGTGAAAGATTTTAGGAAGGATGATCAGACATTGACTTGTTTCTTTCCAAAGGCATGTTGCCATCTGTTTGTGGTGAAGACCTTCATCAATCAGGTGACCTCTATTGACATTGACCCTAACGTGAAGTCTGCTCTGACAGTGTTATGCAGATTGTATGCTGTTAATGGTATGATAGAGAACATGGGGCAATTTTCTCTGGTAAGTTTTTTCTCACCTGAAGGATATGGATGTGGTATATCATTATTTTACTCACATTGTAATGGAGAGATATTATATTAAGTCTGTAATTATCAAAGTGGTAATTTATAAATGTTTATCTATTCTGTAAGTGTAATTCTGTGTGAAAATAGAAATCTTTGAAATAAAGTTAATAAAGCAAATGGTTGTCTGTTTTTCTACCTTTATGATTAATGAAACAAACAAAACAATCCAAAAAGCCTTAATCATAGTCTATTCTGTCCTTTAATTAATCTATCATATTCATGTTAATAATTTTGATAATTTGTAGTAAACAGCACTCACACTATAATGATTTATCTATCTATCATATTCCATTACTGTGTTAGTCTCGTGTTCATATGTTCACCATTCTGTGTTGACAGGATGGGTTCCTGAATGAGACCCAGATCAACATGTTGACCAGGAAGTTGTCCGATCTTTTGGAGGAGGTGAGGGTAAATGCCGTCACCTTGGTGGATGCCTTTGAATTCAGTGACAATGAACTGGACAGTTGTCTTGGACGCTACGATGGACAAGTTTATGAAGCACTGTACAAGTATGCAAAGTCTTCACCGCTTAATGACACCGATGTAAGTACAGAAATATATGTATCTGACAACACAGTCAATCTAATCATTTCATTGTAGGGTCAATATTACCATCTTGATTTCAGTTTTGAAGCCAGGGTGACATTAGTGAAAGGAATATTGCTAATTATGCTACATGTATTATGGTATAAACCAATTGTGAAGTAGAGGAAGGAACTGACAAGCTGATTCTTTTATCTGGGAAACTTTCAGACAGGGACAGAACTGACAAGCCGATTCCTTTATCTGGGAAACTTTCAGATGGGGACAGAACTGACAAGCCGATTCCTTTATCTGGGAAACTTTCAGATGGGGACAGAACAGACAAGGTGATTCCTTTATCTGGGAAAACTATCAGACAGGGAGAGAACTGACAATCTGATTCTTTTACAATATCTGGGAAACTTTCAGACAGGTACAGGACAGAAACTTTGACAACTGACTAGCTGATTCCATTCAGCAGGGAAACTTTCAGACAGGGACAGAACTGACTAGCTGATTCCATTCCCCAGGGAAACTTTCAGACAGGGACAGAACTGACAAGCCGATTCCTTTATCTGGGAAACTTTCAGATGGGGACAGAACAGACAAGGTGATTCCTTTATCTGGGAAAACTATCAGACAGGGAGAGAACTGACAATCTGATTCTTTTATCTGGGAAACTTTCAGACAGGTACAGAACTGACAAGCTGATTCCATTCCCCTGGGAAACTTTCAGACAGGGACAGAACTGACTAGCTGATTCCATTCCCCAGGGAAACTTTCAGACAGGTACAGAACTGACTAGCTGATTCCATTCCCCAGGGAAACTTTCAGACAGGTACAGAACTGACAAGCTGATTCCATTCCCCTGGGAAACTTTCAGACAGGGACAGAACTGACAAGCTGATTCCATTCCCCAGGGAAACTTTCAGACAGGGACAGAACTGACTAGCTGATTCCATTCCCCAGGGAAACTTTCAGACAGGGACAGAACTGACAAGGTGATTCTTTTATCTAGGAAATATTCAGACAGGGACAGAACTGACAAGCTGATTCCATTCCCCTGGGAAACTTTCAGACAGGGACAGAACTGACAAGCTGATTCCATTCCCCAGGGAAACTTTCAGACAGGGACAGAACTGACAAGGTGATTCTTTTATCTAGGAAATATTCAGACAGGGACAGAACTGACAAGGTGATTCTTTTATCTAGGAAATATTCAGACAGGGACAGAACTGACAAGCTGATTCTTTTATCTGGGAAAACTTTCAGACAGGGACAGAACTGACAAGCTGATTCCATTCCCCTGAGAAACTTTCAGACAGGGACAGAACTGACAAGCTGATTCCATTCCCCAGGGAAACTTTCAGACAGGGACAGAACTGACAAGCTGATTCCATTCCCCTGGGAAACTTTCAGACAGGGACAGAACTGACTAGCTGATTCCATTCCCCTGGGAAACTTTCAGACAGGGACAGAACTGACAAGGTGATTCTTTTATCTGGGAAAACTTTCAGACAGGGACAGAACTGACAAGCTGATTCCATTCCCCAGGGAAACTTTCAGACAGGGACAGAACTGACAAGGTGATTCTTTTATCTGGGAAAACTTTCAGACAGGGAAAGAACTGACGAGCTGATTCTTTTATCTGGGAAAACTTTCAGACAGGGACAGAACTGACAAGCTGATTCCATTCCCCAGGGAAACTTTCAGACAGGGACAGAACTGACAAGGTGATTCTTTTATCTGGGAAATATTCAGACAGGGACAGAACTGACAAGCTGATTCTTTTATCAGGGAAAACATTCAGGCAGGGAAAGAATTAACTTGCTGATTCCTTTCGTGGAGGCAGGTATCACTATCAGATTGGGAAAGAACGGACTAGTTGATTCTTTTCCTAAAGCTTGGCAAGAGATGTTGACTAGAACACTTATACACATTTGTATGAGCATTCAGATTTATTGACCTAGACAATTGCTAAAATGTTATATCTCATTTATTTCAGGTTCACAGCTCCTTCCAGAAGTATCTAGCTCTGCTGAAATACCAGGGTAGTAAGCTGTAGAGTCAATTCATAAAGTGATGACAGCATAACACAACAGCTGCCTATTATCCTGAAGAATTGTTAACCTTCAGATCTATATAAAACAGAAACAAAACTAAAACATGACTCTGAGATCAGACAGCTGGAGTCAATATCTGTTGAAATTAGTGAAAATGTGATTGACATAATTCACAAGGACAAGAATTTATGAAACAGTCAATAGCAGATGTTGTTGATTCCATAACAGTTGTAGGGAAATACTTAAATTTAGAATGATTCTGATCAATCCATGCAGAACCAGTGTAATACAGAATTCTCATGTTTTTTGGTACAATTTCTTCATGTTGGTAATGTCAATAGAATAGAAGTTCTCATAACACAACCAGTAGAAAGAGTGTTTAAAGAGAGTTGCCAAATTGACTACAGTACATTGTTACCATCTTGTGTGTTTTTTGGTCTATAAAATGTTTACTTTCTCGCCATACTATCTTCGACCTTAGTGTACATAGAATTATAGCTGACTAAGTTGGTGGATTCCTTACCATCTCGTACACAATGTATTCACTGCTAGTACCCTCCACACTGGTCATTTGTCTGATGAAGGTGACCGTGTAGATCTCATACACTACATACTTCACTGCTAGTACGCTCCACACTGGTCATTTGTTTGATGAAGGTGGCTGTGTAGATCTCGTACACTACATACTTCACTGCTAGTACGCTCCACACTGGTCATTTGTCTAATGAAGGTGACTGTGTAGATCTTGTACACTACGTACGTCACTGCTAGTACTCTCCACACTGGTCTTTTGTCTGATGAAGGTGGCTGTGTAGTTGAAACGACACACTCATCTTTTACCAGTTGTGTTATAAGAACTTCTATTCTATTGAATTCTAATGTTCTTATGAAACTGGTGTAAAAAAATTGTATTGATAACATTAAAATCAGCATGTGATATACTTTGATTTGTACTGAACAAATGAAAAATATCCCTTTGATATTTGATTCTGTATATTCGTATTACTATTACACATATTGTAAAGTAATTTATTTCTTTGATTTTTCTCAGATTTTTAGGTCATCTGACCTGAAGATGACCGATGCAAGATGTAGCTATTGTGCTTCGTCCGTCATTGTGCATCTTTCGTAAACTATTCCTTTTAAACACTACTGCTGCTTAATGCTTGGGTAAATTTCAACCAAATATGGTCTGAAACATCACTGGGCTAGAGTATATTTTCTTTAATTCAGAAAATTACCTTGACCCCTAGGCACTTGGATAAGGGGCCTCAAAAGGAAAAATTAGACAATAGTTTACTTCATAGCACTACTCTACTTTAATACCTGAATGGATTTGATTCAAATTTTGTCTTAAACATCATAAGGGGTAGGAAATTAACCTTTAAATTCAAAGTGTTGATTTGACTGCAAAAAATCAGGAACAAGGCCATAAAATTGGATTTACTTCAAAATCCTACTCTTCCTTAATGCTGGAATGGTCTTCATTCCAATTTTGTCTGAAACATCTTGAGGGGTAAGCAGTTGACTTTTTTATTGAGAAAGTTGATTGGACCCTTAGGGACTTTTGAGCAGGGACCCAAAAGAGTAAGTTGGACAATGTTTAGCTTCAAAACATTACTCTTCCTTAATGATTAATGGATTACATTAAATTTTTTTGTCTGAAACATCATCAGATGTTGGCAATTGATTCTTGATTAAAATACTAAAGAAGTATATTCATATCCTGCAAGAAGTCCATCATCCTTAAATTTTGAGTCAAAATTGTAGGTGTCCCTCGACTTATTATAGGTTCCACTTTAGTCTATTAATCCCTCCTCCCTCTAGCTTTGATTCCCGGTGTTATTGTCACTTCCTATGCAAGTAGATGTTCTGTTAGCATTACTATGTTCTATGGTTTTCATTGTTAAATTTTTAGAATTTTAATGTTTGTGTTGTTGAATATGTATAATGTTGCAACAAATCTGAAGATTTTATGTCAAGTTTTCAAAGAATTGTTTTTAAACTCTTTTGATGTTTGTGAAGTTTTTATACGTGTTACCAATGCAAATTATGAATTTTGATAATATCTATTTTGTGATGAATTTAATATAAAAATACATGAAATAAAATACTTTATTTGATAGCATACACAATTTTGTAATTATTACTGTATTTTTATAGCCTTACTAGCAGGATGATGGACTGAATCTGTAACATTTCAGTATCACTGAAAAGTTCAGTCATACAAGACGAGCAGTAAACCATAGCAACCTGCATTTCGTCCCAATGTTGGATTCGCTTAAAACCTATATTCTACGATAACAGACCATTAGATATGAAGATAAAGTTCTACACTACACCAAACAGTAAATGCTGTCATGACAGGTGATTATTTAAAGCAGAAACAGAAGCCAGATGGTATAATACCCCTGCTCTTGAATTTAAATATATACCATTATTAGGTGATCATAACTGTAGAATAACGAAACATTTCACCTTTTGACCTTGACTAAGTAGCTCACCTGGCTCTAAGTTTCCAGTGAGCTTATGTTGTGGTATGGCATCTGTTCATTATTGTCCTTCCAGTATTGACTTTTCACTTACACAACTTCTTTTTAATAACCAAAAGGCCAAGAGTCATGACATCTGGCTGGATGATTCCCTGGATGACAAAGTTCGGAAAAAGAAATGCTTTGACCAATATTCAAGGTTATATGAGTCAAATAAATATATCAAGACCAACAAACCACTTCTGATGATTAACCAAAATGTCTAGAATCATGCCTGGATGATAGATTCTGATGATGAAGCGTAACATTTTTTTCAAAAAAAAAAAAAAAAAATCTGTATCTATATACATGCTCAAAGGGTTCAAATTTACTTGAAACTTTCAAATATCTTCTGTAGATTAACCTAAACTTTAAAAAAAATTCCCAACTAAGACACTGCATGCCAATGATATAAAATGCTTATGTATTTGTGAAAAGTATTGAAGACCATGCAGGCCTTTCAGGTCTCTTGTTAATGACCCGCCGACAACTTTGATTCTGATTTTTTGGGGGTCAGTTATCTTGTTACAAAGATAAACAAGGTTTTAGTAAACTGAACTTGATAAATTCAGTTGTTTATGGAGTGATTTATACAAAATGAGACAGCAACATAGGACTACAACAAATCTGAAACATTTTCTGCTTTATTTGATATAAAACAAAATTTACATCATTGTGTCATCACAGTCAAATGTGTCCTGATACACTTCAGGTGTTGGTGATTACCCGTAACATTGTGGGTTAGAAAACTACCAAGCTGGTAACACATCCTCCTTACTGTAACATTTAACTAATAACATCACACTAGCATGCTGCCTTCACATGACAAACACCAGCATGCTGCCTTCACATGACAAACACCAGCATGCTGCCTTCACATGACAAACACCAGCATGCTGCCTTCACATGACAAACGCCAGCATGCTGCCTTCACATGACAAACGCCAGCATGCTGCCTTCACATGACAAACTTTTGACTATTTTTCCACATTCTTAACATTTTCAAAATAGTATACTTGCTTAGAAAGCAAATTTATCATATTCTTGGTGACATGGTTGGATGATTTGACATGGTTGATGAAATGTTATAACAACATAACATTTCCCAGGTCAATACTTTGCCAATCCGTGTAACAATGGGTATAGATTTCACATTCTGTCCTCTCCTTTTCACAGCAAAATCAATTTCTCTCAAAGCATTTCAAATTCTCTCCCTTCCATAAAGTGGTACGGTGTGTAACCTGATGTTTGACAAAAATATGACCAACAATGATATAGAAAAGAACAATATTCAAATACTTATTTTAAGAAAATTTTGTCATGTATTATTTTTTAAAGGTCATCAACATTAAGCAATAAAAGATAAAACAAAAGGTTTCCCCAGCTTCAAATGCAATTTGAAGGTAGCAGCACCAAGTTTAAATAAGATCATGTGATCATGAATGAAGGGAAAACAAATGGAACTCATTTCTACGGCTGTCATGGGAACACAATTTTCGCCCTGGGTACTCAATCATTGCACAGTTACCCGCAAGTTTCAGTAATGTGATCACCTCAAATTCAAGAAAGGACAGTATTGGTGATTAACGCCAATTTTTCAAGTATTATTGACAAATCAATATGATTTAGACTTACAAAGTAGCCTAGACATTATCGACTATGTCAGGGAAAACACAGATTCGTTCAAAGAGTCTCAGATGTGTATGTATACTTAGGAACTCAGGTCAAGGTGTTAGGTCAAGGCTGTTGTGGAGTGTTAGGTCAAGGCTGTTGCGGAGTGTTAGGTCAAGGCTGTTGCGGAGTGTTAAGTTGTTATCCATCCATAGTTGATATAAGTAATAATTGTGAAGATTAAAACTCATAAGTAAAACTAATAAAAGTGATGCTGTACAAGTTTATATCTTTTGATCTAGATTAAAACATGGCAATTTCAGAAATATATCTGAGAACTAGAATTACTATCCATTCTATATCTTTTCTAAAAAACAGAAGCAGGTATTTATTCATTAAACACCTCCAAAATATTGGCCATGCCACTCAACCTAACAGCTCAGATATCAGTAATTATAACATTCTAAGTTGATAAAACAATCAAACTCCGTCAATTAAGAAAAAATATATTGATCACCAGTTTGCATTTAGTCTCCATATCATAAAATTAAACATTTATAACGTTCAAGAGATCATTAAATTACAGAAATTTAGTCAAAGACTTGTTCATTTAACCATGCTGCTATGTCCTCTGTGAGCGTTTTCCTCTTTGTTTGCGTTCAATGTAGCGTTTCAGTTCACGGTCTTCCTCTAGACAACTGCATCTATGTCCTCTGTGAGCGTTTTCCTCTTTGTTTGCGTTCAATGTAGCGTTTCAGTTCACAGTCTTCCTCTAGACAACTGCATCTATGTCCTCTGTGAGCGTTTTCCTCTTTGTTTGCGTTCAATGTAGCGTTTCAGTTCACGGTCTTCCTCTAGACAACTGGCATCTAAAGTCTTTACATTAACACATCCATTGATTGGACACCTGGAAATCACCAGTGTAAGAACTGTACACACTGTGCTTCATCTGATATACCTTTGTCAGGTATGTTATATGATAAAGTTGTATTAGTAGTGAAAATGGTAAAGTTTCAGTCTAAATTAAAATGCATCAGGATACTAATTCAGCAGTTTACATTTACTTTGATTTAACTGATGTAAATGTTATTTGAATAATGTGACCAGTTTCTAGCTAAAAAGGTCACGTTACTATAATCTATTATCTATAAATTTACCTTGCTGAAATGTCAATAAGACCTGTATGACGGATTTTACTTCCTGACAGTGAGCCTTGGGTTGATAACAAACCTCTGATAATATGATAGTGAGTCTGAGGTCGATTACAAACCTTTGACAGTACCTCAGTGAGGCTGGACTCCATTACAAACCTTTGACAGTACCACAGTGAGACTGGAGTCCTTTACAAACCTTTGACAGTACCACAGTGAGACTGGAGTCCTTTACAAACCTTTGACAGTACCACAGTGAGGCTGGACTCCATTACAAACCTTTGACAGTACCACAGTGAGTCTGGAGTTCATTACAAACCTCTGACAGTACCACAGTGAGACTGGAGTCCTTTACAAACCTTTGACAGTACCACAGTGACAGTTTGACATTGAGTCTAAGGTCGATCAAAAAATTTCTGACAGTTCGACAGTAAGCCTAGGTTGATTACGAATTGAATTTCCGGCAGAAATTCAATGATCCTGGATCAATAACAAATTGCTAAATTTGAAAATCTAAAGATCAACAATTATTAATGGACAGGAAAGCCTATACATGTCAGAATTTTTTTTGCTTACTTAGCACGCTTTCCTTTGTTCTTGATATATTGCAGGATACCCTCCTTATCATACTTGTGTCCACAAGCTTTATTTTTAACTGGATTTTTCATTTCCATGCCTGTGTAGGGACATCGAGTGTTGATCTCTGGCTGCGTCATGGCAACATCATCATCACCTGTACTTGATGGCCCAGTCAAAGCTGATGCTGGTACCGACTCATCTTTTATGCAAATAAAATACTCTTAACTTAAATGTTTTAAACAATATTTCAATCAATATTACCATAACATTACACAAAGATTTGTGGCAGAAAACATCAATTCAGTCATAATGTTGTTTACAACATATTTCTATACTGCAATTTACAGGAACCAAACAACCACTTTTTCTAGTTTCTGAATCAGAATAGCCATGGTTAGACAAATATTGCATTACCTGGGTGTTGAATTTCCAATATCCTTTCCTTGAAATCTTGGAATTTAACATGATCATGACATAGAACCTCCACATTGCTCTTGGGCAATTCCTCCAATGTTTTATCTAGCAGACTCTCCAAGTCCATACGTTCCTTTGATTTGGATGCCTAAACGAAAACAACTTTTTAATTTGATGACACAGTACTTTTATTTTCTGTAATCTCCTTTCCTCTTTGTTATTTCTATACACTCACTCTTAGCGAGGTTTGGTGACAAACTTCTGAAATTTTATGTACAAATTGATCAACAGCTATATCAGTCAAGTTTCTCAGCAATATTTCACAAGATTATGTTGGAGATCTTTTCATGTATGTGAATAAGAATGAAATTTGGCAAAGGGAGATAATCTTAAAATTCTAGTGGTTACAGAGTGAAATGGGGTAAATGCATGATCAGTGGTCTAAGTTCAAGTGATGCAAAATATTTGTAAGGTCTCAAAATAAAGTTCTTAATGTAAATTTCAATGTAGAAAATCTTTTTTGCTGCTTGAAATATTACTTACATAGATTCAAGTAGATATCTACCTATATAAAGGATCAAAGGTATTCCAGAGCACGAAATTTTATTTCTATTTTTACTACTCATGGAAAGAAAATCAAAAGTCTGGTTATTTAAATGAATCAAAGGTTTATTTATGTTTATCAGATCAGTAATTACATGTGGCTTTAAGCAATCCCAAAACAAAGGAGAAAGGCTTTGTGAAAAAGATGAAAATTCCAAACCTACAGACACAAGAGAGATAAACGTAAATGTTGGAGATATGTACATGTCTTTCACTTTGAAATCTTGGAAATTACCACTTGAATTATGTGATAATTTTGTATCTTCTGACAAGTGACCTGGTCTCTATGTTCTTGGAAGTGATCCACATTCAGTTTACCTGGCTCATTCATGTGTTAGAAAAGGAAGTGATCCACATTTAGTTTGATCTGGTCCATCCTTGTGTTCGACATACTCAGTCACTTATATAATCAATTCTTCAATTCTCCGAGGGCATCTGTATCATAATTAACTCACCTTATGTTTGACTTGTTGGACGGCCTCCAAGAACCTGTGAAGATCGGATTCCATCTTTATGTAACTTTTCATCACTTTCTCTAGCTCTGCTACTCCAGCTTCATTTTCTGAATGACACACAAACCCAGTCATTAAAAGACTTTTTGTTTCATATCAAAACTGCATATTAATACAAAAATGTTACATACTGTTTATTCTATACATGTAAATATGCTGAAGAACATCTGGTTCCTTTGATATAGAAGATTTCATTAATCACATTTCAATTCATTGAAGTTTCTTTATGATTTCCATCACCAGGAACAAATGTTGGTACAGGTGAATATGATTATGGGTTACTAAAATTTAAATTATTCTTTTGTAATGATAATGAGTTTTTGGATAATGTAATTAATGCTGGGATACGATAATTTATCAAAGATACGAGGACTAATATTTTCGTTTATATCAAGTAAATGCCAATTAATCAAATCTATACCTTTATCATTCTCCACCAAATCTTGTACAACATCTATGGTTGTTTCCATTCCAACATCTATATATTCCTCAACAGTTTTCATTGACTTGATCGCCTGGTCAACGACACCAAAATGCGTCGCCCCCGAAGACATGATTTTGATTCTTCCTGATCACATATTAATAGTCATCATCACTCTGAAACTGATAGACATTCAACATCCACAGTTTAAGATTCGGAACTCTTTTAATGTAAAGTATTTCAAAACCAACAGTGCTAGATTAGACAAAAGACACACAGGTGGATAGCATCTTTCAATACATATCTAAAATTAGATACAGTAAGCAACAAAGCCAAATAAAGATTTAAACTGCATAATAGAGTTGTTTTGTCCTTATAAGACTTGTCAATGATGCCTACCGGCCTAAATTTTGAAACAAAGGAGGTGACTGAGGAAAAGATGTGAATTTCCCCAGCAAAAACGACCAGCCAGACATTATTTAGAGACCCTTGATCATGACCAATTAAATGGGCTTTATTTGGATTTCCAATTGTTAGGATACTGTGCTTTTTGCCAGTGATCCTGCAGACTTGCATTATACAGCTTCAACATAGCATTGTCCATCATTTCATGAAGCTTGCAAAATTTGATTTACTTTCTATTAAAATAACTGTGAAGTTGTAACTTCAACTTACACAGAAATTCAAGACTTGTTTATGGCAGGTGAGTTATGACAACAGAGTCCCCAACTGTCCCTTACCTAAGGTACGTACCCACAAAACATTTTCACCACAGGACTCAAAATGCTTTGTCAATACAACCGTTTGGTGTCAGTACAGAGAAGGCTTGAATAGCCTTTGCAAACCTGCATGATCTAGAAAAAGATGTTTTCAAAATTTCTAAGGAAAATAAATCCGTTTATTTTCCTCTAAGTTGGAAAATGAATTTTTTTATTACTATAAAGTCAGTGCTATGAGAATCGTAATTTTCGTGGGAGACATCAGGCCAGGAGGTATGTCAACCTGGCTTGATATCCAGAATAGAATTTATATGCCGGATAAAGGATTCCGACAAGGGGCATTGTCAAACGTCCGATATACATGAGCCGCATGGAGGATTCCCAGAAAGGATTATGGTAAGGCGACCCCTGTGACACTACTCCCTCCTTCGCCAAAGTTTTCGCCAGTGACAACAGTCCCCTATAGCTCCTATCCTTCGTGGTCAACGCCACCAAGTTTGTAATAGGAAGGTAGATCTTAAAGGCCTAATGAAATATATTTTGCCCCGCTGAGGTTGGAACAACCGACCCTTTGGTCACTAGTCGCGCACCATAAAGAGATATGCCTAGACATGTACTTTCAATTTCTACGGAAATTGGTATAGCTGCCCTTCAACACCTACGTTTTCCTCTGTCAATGAACTGGTCGCCTGTCTTCTCTCTTTTCGTCTCGCCGCCTTACGTCCGAACTCCCGCTTTTCTGTCAAAGATTTCCCAACAAGGGACGTAACTCTAACTACTGATTCAAGTATATACAATGGTACAACAAACGGTTTCTCTGAAGATTTTAACATTAGTCGGAATTCCACCTTTAAATTTAGATGCAGTATTCATTGCATATCTAAATAATGAATGCATCCCACAATAATCCAGATATTATATATATTGTGATCGGCAAATCGATTGCAATAAATATTATTGTTTTCTATATTTTCTCCAATTTGAAGATTTTGTAAGAAGAACAATATATTTTACAAACAAGACTGCGTTGATAAAATTGAGTGTCGTACAATATAAATAATATACAATATCAACAATGTAAAATTAGCTCAAATCAGAGACATATATAACACCTGATATATACGTCACTGCTCAATTTTAAAAAAAAGACTTTCAGAGAGTAAGGAAAGGTAAGATAGATTCCCAACGTGCATTGTTGCACAAGTGTCTGGAACAAAAATATTTACCCAGTCAATTGTGTCTAGCGTTTTTCAAGCACAGAAAGAATTATAAATATTAATCCGTTATAGGCCAATTGCATTGAAATTTAAAGAATTTATTAACCCTAACAAGTAAACAGTTTTATGAGTTTATCAGAATTATCTCTAGTATTTTAGTGTTATTTGGCTTTATGATATAAAATTACGTAGATAATGTTAACGCATTATCACTTTTCAGCGCAATGAAGAAAAAGCGCATCTCCAAAAGCCGTAATTGGCCGATCGACAACGCAAAAATAACCACGCCTACCGAAAATCAAGGGAGGCTACTCTCACTATCTCCGACGAACAAAATGTCGTCAGCATTGAACGTCATTCCCGATGATATCGGACTTAATTATACTTCTAACGAATCGAAGACAAAATTAAAAGCGAACGGTTTCGTGTCTGGGTCATACTTTCAACGAGCGTCCTTCCAAACAAGAGACGATGATACAGTTGAAATTAGTGGCCATGGTTTCCCCAGTCAGCGGGAAAATTTGGGGATATACCCGTTTTCAGTCGAATATTTATGGGGTTTTCCTTTTCAAATAAGGTTAATATGGCAAATCACTGCATTTATTCAAAGACAATATATACATTAGTCAATAGGGAATTCAAAATACTAAATTTGTATCTATGAATTACAGCCCTTTCCGTTGTTGAAGGAGTGAAAACTGTCTTTTTCATTTGACGCATATTGCCAGAACCCAGTAAGTCGCCACATTACTACGATCCGTTTTTCAGACGAGTATTTCTGAGACGGTTTTTACTTTTTAAACTAAGTTTATATGTGGTAGCAGTGCAATAATGAAATAAAGAAATATACCGGTCATTAGGGAATTTAATAACCTAAAATCATGTATATATATTTTAGCCCTTTTCCTCCTTGAATGACTTAAAACAGTCCATTTAAGTAGTCACGTACTTTCATTTCCCTATACTCGCCGAATGCACCTGTTGCATCTCGCAATCCAGCTGTCAACATTTTTAGACATAGATGCCCAGTAAAAACGGTCTCTACACAGGGATAAAGTTTTGGCTACTGCCAAATGTCCCATCTGGTTATGGAGACTCCCAATCATCTGGAGCACCAAAAGGTAATAGGACTAAACAGGGAGGAAGGAATCCCCAAGGCAGCCAGGGGCAGAGGGATTATCACCTGGATCATCGTGAGGATTATCCGGCGCAGTCTAATGGTGGTCGTGACAGGAAATGTGAACAGTTCTACCAGCCTGGTTTAGCTCAGCCTCCTTATCCTCCACCTACTTTCCCTCCGCCATCCGTAATGGAACCACAGGCCCAGTACCAGTCGAACAGAGACAGTTCACAGGGTCCTCAGTGTTATAGATGTGGCCAATACGGACATCTCCAGATAGGCTGCCGTGTTATCCTGGACCACTCCAGGAAGCATTTAAACTTCAATCGGCCTATGAGCAGGGAGTACCCATAGGTCAGAGAACGTCAGCCCAGAGAATGACGAACCCCATCAGACAAGGAGTGACAGTTACAAGGAAACATGAAAATCCATCAGGGTTAACAGGGAACTGAAACATTGTTGATCTTTTTATAGATGGATTACCAACTAAAGCTCTGTTGGATACTGGGGGGCTACAGTGTCCAGTGTTAGCCAGGAATTTTATCAACAAAATTTATCTTATATACCTCTGCATCCAATTAGGGATGGATCTCTGGACATTCAGGTTGCTGGTGGTGCCCTTCTGCCTTACCTGGGATACATTGAAGTCTCTATACAGATTGACAGGATAACCAGGGATGACTGCTCAACATGTCTTCTTCTTGTAGTTCCTGACTATGATTTTAACAGATCAATACCAGTGTTGCTTGGAACTAATGTGTTGACGCACTTTATGGAAAAGTGTCGGGAATGGTTTGGGGAGAGGTACATGCAACACGCTCCATTATCCACGCCTTGGTATACGTCATTCAGATGTATCTCACTGAGGGAGAAGAAGCTTACTAGGAATATTTATTGCCTTGGTATAGCCAGGAGTGCAGAGCCAACTAACATTGTGATACCTCCTAATGGGAGGGTCGATATACAATGTAAGCTTGACAAGGAAGTGTATTATCCAGATGTGTGTGCCTTGATGCAGTCCACCCACTCATCCGTTGTCCCAAAGGATATGGACATTGCCCCTACGATCTTCACTTATCAGCATGGGAGGAATGGACTTCTGTCAGTCAATGTTACCAACCTGACTACGAATACTGTTGTTGTCCCCACAAGAGGCGTCGTCTGTGAGATTCAGCCTGTACGTGTCCAGCATTCCTTACATGGGATGGTGCCACAGGATGAGGAGGAAGATAAGCTTCTTAGAAAAGGTCACATTTAGTGTGGAGTTGGATGATTGTTTGCTGAAGCGAGGAAGAGAAGTATTATCTTACTTTCCAGATGTATTTTCTTCTGGTGACTTGGACCTTGGTCGGACCGATACATTTCCTCATAGAATAGAGCTTATGGACACAAAACCCTTTAGGCAGCGACACCGTAGGATACCTCCAGGAATGGTGCAGGAGGTAAGGGAGCACCTTCAACAGCTATTGGCATGTGAAGTGATAAGGAGGTCATGATCCCCATGGGTATCAGGTGTTGTGTTGGCAAGGAAGAAAGACGGGACACTACGCATGTGTATCGATTTCCGCCAGCTCAATCAACGAACCATTAAAGATGCGTACGCCCTCCCAAGGATTGAAGAAATACTTGACTCTCTTTCTGGATCTACATTCTTCTCCGTGTTAGATATGAAAAGCAGGTACCATCAGGTTGAGGTTGCAGAACATCATAAGGAGAGGACGGCATTCACCCTGGGGCCACTCGGGTTCTACGAGTATAATCGGATGCCATTCGGCCTTGCTAATGCCCCTTCTACCTACCAAAGGCTAATGGAACAGTGTCTAGGGGAGCTACACATGGTAGACTGTTTCATCTACCTTGACGACATAATTATATTTTCCGCAACATTTGATGAGCATTTGGAGAAAATTCAGCGAGTGCTACAGAGATTGAGGGAGCATGGGATCAAGTTGTCTCCTAAGAAATGTTCATTCTTTCAACGCCGTGTTAAGTACCTTGGATTTATAGTGACGTCGGCAGGGATAGAGGCAGACCCTAGCAACGTGGAAAAGATAATCAACTGGGAAAAACCATCGAGTCCTTAAGACGTTCGTCGGTTCCTCGGCTTCGCTGGCTACTATAGGAAGTTTATAAAGGATTTTGCCAAGATAGCCCGACCATTGTGTGATCTCATGCCTACTCCAAAGAAGCCAAGCAGGAAAGGAACTGCTACTGCTTGTTGGAATAGGGAGAAGATCAGGAATATGCATTTAATTGCTTAAAGGAAAGATTGACTTCCCCACCAGTTCTAGCCTACCCCAATTACTCCGAGCCTTTTGAGGTACACTGTGATGCAAGTCATAAGGGACTCGGGCAGTTCTTTATCAGAGCCACGACAACAAACCAAAAGTTATCGCGTACGCCAGCCGTGGACTTTCCAGATCAGAGCGAAATTATCCAGCCCATAAGTTGGAATTTTCGGCGATGAAATGGGCAGTGACAGAAAAATTTAAGGACTACCTGTATGATCATCGGTTCACAGTAGTGACGGACAATAATCCGCTCACTTATGTGCTGACGAGTGCAAAATTAGATGCCACGGGTCATCGCTGGCTGGCTGCTTTATCTGCTTACAATTTTGATATTCGCTATCGGCCAGGGAAATCTCTTGTAGATGCGGATACGTTGTCAAGGCTGCCTACCAAGGAAGCGATGGAGCATGGGACCAAAAGAGATACCATTACTGAGGACTCCGTCTCTGCAGTGTGCCAAACATTGTATGATCAGCCCCATTTCCAAAGCATATGTCTAGCGGATACTACTCCTGATGTCATACGGGAAACGTACTTGGAGGATTTGGAGCTGGAGCAGCTCAATCTTGGTGATGTCAGGAAAGTACAGAGGATGGACAGACTTCTTGGACCATGTATCCATAATATCCAGAATGGTCTTAGGTCTTAGTTACCAGAATCGGCTTGGAATCCTGCACTATACCGACATTTCGATTCCTTGGCTGTTAGTCGTGCAACCCTCTACCGTGAGGTGTCCGTGGAGGGGAAAACAAAACGACAATTAGTTGTCCCATCAGCTCAATATAAGCTTACCAAACAAGGTTCTTTAATCTTTAATGATGACGATCGTGTCCAAAACACACAAAGGAAACATCACACTCCTGTTAGAAACTCGAACATCATGAGTCGTCCCATCACAACTTCCGGTCAGTCACACAAGTGGGGTGCGTTCGATGGTTATTTGATACCAAGTTGTCCCTACATGGGCACCAATGTAACATAGTCGGATTTGCGGGTCCTTGGTATAAACAACAGCAAACCGCCTGATGCCCATTCATTTATTGAGATGCTTAATTCTATACTTAATCCCTACAACAAAACAAAT